GTTTTTGGGAATTCGGGCCGAGGAGCCGACATGGGCGAGATTGTCGTTGATTGATTTTCAAGCACCAAAGATTCCCCCATTAGCACACAACAAGCAGGCAGGCAAGCGACATGGCGTTTTTATTTCTTCTGATTCGGTCTGGGCTGCAGAGAGACTCTTGCGGCCTGGGAGGGAACCACAGGAACCAGACACCAGGAGGGCAGATTTTTCTACCATGATGTACTCACTGTCATTATCGAAGCGACTGTTTTATTTTTTTATTTTTTTTTCGTTTTGGGCATTGGCGGGATGGAGCTGATTGACATTATGGGACATGGGAAGTTATGGATTGGGCACTTTGGGGATTGAGGGTGGACATATGGTTGCTTTTGGCAATTGAAAGGACAGTGCCCTGATGGCGACGGCGAAGCTGGACTAGGGATCATTTGCGCAAGACTGGGAGGAGGAGCATTCGAGTTGTGATGAACAGCAACCTCCATTGCATGGACATTTTATGAGATGAAGAGCAAAGGCATGACACACACACACACACACACACACACACACACACACACACACAGGAGCTCATTAGGACGGTGCGCATTTGATATGATTTGTGTTTGCTTTGTTACCAATGAAGCTGGATGAGTAAGAGCTTTCGAACCATAGCGAGGCATGTAGTTAGCGACGGCACGATCGACGGAAGGGTTGGTTGACATGATGCGGAGGTGGATGTGGAGGAGGGCGATGGAGTAGGATTCATCGGACATTGTTTTCTAATTGATTGATATAGAGTGGGGAATGGTGATTTGCTGCTTGGCTAGGTGTTAGGATAACGCTTCGATAGACAAGAAGTCGGCGGAGAGAGACAGAAACAAGATGAAAAATTGAAGCCGTTTTGATCGAGATGCGTTGCAGATTTTAGTAGGTGGTGGTGATGGAGAAGTGGATGATGGCCTTGATGGCCTCGGTGCATTGGTCGATAGAGTTTGGGTGAGCTGCGATACGGCGGTGTTGGCGGCAGCTGGTAGCGAGTGGCAGCGACATGTCGGAACGGAGGATGAGTCGGTAGCGAGTGATAGCTAGGTACTGGGCATGGTAGTTATGTAGGAGTAATGTAGCTAGTGGTGGGGGGAAATGCAGAAGAGAGACGAGTTGAGAGTGAAAGTGAGATTGAGAGAAAGAGACGCAGGGAGAGAGACAGGCAGGTAGACAGAGACAGACATCGAGAGTGAGAAGTGAGAGCATGTCAGGGACTCACTCAATCTACCTAGGTAGAGAGCGCAGTCACTCAACTCACTCACGCACCCTCTATCTACATCCACTACAAACACAAAGAGCATTACTCGGTCTTCGTACAAATTACTTTTCGGCTGCTTTCGACATCCATACCTCTCCTAGCTATTGCTCGCCTCAACCACCTCATACCTAGTAGTGGCTGCACCATCCTGCCACAGCTTCTCCTCCTCCTCCAGTTCCTCGAGCTCCTCCAGCTTTCTCCAGCTCACACCACACCACACAGACCAGCCAGATACATAAGATTCAGGCAGATCCACTGCTTGGTACCATTGACAACCTCGTACCCTGAACTACGAGCCGCCAGCAACCCCAGTGCCCTCGTCTTCCGCACTGCTTTCTCCATGAATGACTGAAACGAAGGGATGACCATTTTCTCGGAATGGGGGGTTCCTCTACCACCACCATTACCTTAGCCTTTGCCATCGTCCTTCCTCCTCCAGCTGTGTCCAGTCCCCCGGGATGCCGTTATCGAGGACCCGTCAACGTCCGCGCATTCCTCTGTTCCGCAGCCTGAGTGCAAGCGCCGCGCCCACAGATAACGCCACCAGCGCCCAGGATGAAACCCAACCCCGTCAACGCTCGTCTGGTGGCTTCAGTCTTCCCACCTTGTCTACCCTCGCCAGCTTGAATTTCTATCGCCGACCACGCACCAAATCTACAGGCAAGCGAAGGAGTACTCCCGTAGAAGACGCCCAGAGTCCCGCGCGACCGAGCACCACATCGCCTCCGGTCGCCCCTAGAAAGAGGCCTAATAAGCCCAAAGATCTACCGCTGCCGCTGGGGCCGCCCAATAGCAACACGGGGGACACCAACACCACCACCTCACCAGCCACAGTTGCACCCACAACACCCACCCGACTCGAGCCCGAGCCAGAGCCAGAGCCTGCGCCAGAGCGTGAGCCTAGTGATCCCGAATCCACCTTGGCCAGTGCGGCTCCAGCTTCTCGTTCAGTTTCACTTTCTCTTCAACCAGACACCACCTCCAGCACCACCGCCGACACCAGAACCTCCGTTCCGACAACAAACACCCCTCCTACCACGGCTTCTCTCGACAGTTCAAAACTGACTGGGCCTGCTCCTCCTTCGTCCCCATCCCTTGCTCAACCCTTCTGTCCTGAGGTCCGTATTCAACGTCCTTCAACTCCGACTATCCCGACCCTCTCCACTGTACAATGCCTTCGACATGAGACGCTCGACGTTATGCAGAGAAAAATATGGGTGAAACGACCCGGCGCCTCTCCGACCCGAGTCGAAGTTGCCGAAGATGACCTGGTCGACAACGTGCGCGATGTCATTCTGCAAAAATACGCCAACTCGCTGGGTCGCAGCATCGACGCTCCAGACATCACCCTCAAAATCATTAGCCGAGAACATGGCAACAAAAATGTGAACGCTGAGCGTGCTTTGGGTCCCGAGGAACCCATTGGCGCCACTCTCGACGCCTATTATCCCGGCGGCCAGCAGGTCGACGAGGCCCTCATTATCGAAGTGGCTACCCGCAGAACCCCCCGCGCCTCTCCTCGCCCTGGAAACCACCAGATATCCTACTACTATACCGACCAATACCGCCCCGATGACGCTGCGCGAGAGTACTTCCCTCCCATGCCGCTCCACTCTCCTCACCTAGCCCACGTTCCGCATCCCAATTCGGCTCATTCCATGGCCGTCTTAACCACCGGCCAGCTGCCCCCTTTACCTAGTCCCGGCTCACATGGCCAGAGAAGACACGCAAGGCCGAAATATGCACGACAGCACACAAGCAGTCCCACCATCCTCCATACCGTTCAGCCGAATGGTCAAGTTATAGGTACGTTTTTGTCACCCGGCGGTTGAGGTCAGGGACGGTGCTGAGTTTTCATGTACAGAATCCAAAGCACAGCTCAACGGACCCGCACCTTCATCAGCTCCTCTTCCTACACCGCCTGCCCAGGGATCGAATGAACACAAACCCTCGATCACACCCCCCAATCGAGTCTCATCTCCACATCCGGGGCAAAAATTGAGGAGGCGAAAAGGTCCTGCCTTTGGTCGGTCCGTCAACGGTGACCCGCAAGCCGCTCCCAAGTCTCTCCCCGCTGCCGCAAGTCTGTTGGACGGAACGGTTCCACCCATCAACGTCTTGTTGGTGGAAGACAATGTGATCAATCTGAAGCTGCTCGAGGCCTTTATGAAACGCCTAAAGGTGAGATGGAAATCTGCAATGAATGGTAAGGAAGCGGTGGCAATGTGGAGAACAGGTGGATTCCATTTGGTTTTGATGGATATTCAACTGCCGGTCATGAATGGGCTGGAAGCCACCAAAGAGATTCGACGCCTCGAGGCCGTAAATGGCATTGGTGTTTTCAGTGGCAGCCCTATCGAGACCGCCTTGAAGAGCCCCCAGGTCAACGGAAGCCCCGTAGGCGAGGCGGATGCCCTCCCCGACCGCAGCTTGTTCAAAAGTCCTGTCATTATTGTGGCTTTGACCGCAAGTAGTTTACAGAGTGACAGGCATGAGGCTCTGGCTGCTGGCTGTAACGACTTCTTGACAAAGGTATGCATCCACCCCCCTCCACAAGCTTTCTTCCAGTTGCTAATCCTTCTCCTTGCAGCCGGTCAACTTTGTATGGATGGAGCGTAAAGTCACGGAATGGGGCTGTATGCAAGCACTGATTGACTATGATGGGTGGAGGAAATGGAAGCAGTATGCCGAGGACAAGAATAACGAAGATCCGGCCAAGAAAGCAGCCGACGACAAAGAAGAAAAGTCCAAAGCGAAGGCTGCACTCAAAGCCATGTTCTCGAGACCTCCCCCGACCACGAAGAAGGACAAGGATAGTGGAACAAGCAGCGGATCCAACAACACCACCACAACAATCTCGTCGACAACGACCAACCCCAGCACCGAAAGAACATCAACCCCGGTGCAGAACGGCACGCCCAAAAAAGGAAGCGGTTCAGGCCAAGGCTCCAATCCAAGAACCCACAAGAGCAATCGAAGCATTGCTAGTGGAGGTGGTGGAAGCCTAGAGAGCATGGCCGAGGAGGACGAAAAGGCAGCATGAAAAAGAATCTTCTATCGGTTGGGAGTCAAAGAGGAGGATTTTTGTTTCCGTACATGACTCTTGCCTGGTTCGGGCTGGGGCTTTTCTTTATGCGTTTTCGTCTCCATTCGAGCGCGCATGATACACGGAGTTCGTCGCCAATTGGAACCAAACACTCAGTGGAGTGGCCAGCATTTTCCTTTTGTTTCTGGCAGCGGGCTCGTTGCGGGTTTAGTATACGGCTGGGTAATGTCGAGAAGGTCATGAAATGTTTGGGTCAAGGGGGGCTGTTGTCCTCTAGTCCCCTTTTCTATATTACTTGCAGCACATATATCACGCATTGCTGTCTTTGGAAGTTGAGCGTTTAGCCATGCTCCAGATTTCCAGACAATGACGATTTATTTTCACTTAGCAGAGCTGTGGCGCAGTACGGTTTGGATGCATTGAAGTCGTGGCAGAGACCACCCAAAGACGAGGTGCGTGTGTGCTGTATGTATGGACTAAGGAGATATCGGGGGTCAATTGTAGAGGACGGCAAGGCTGAACCGCCGACGAGGCTGCCAAGTCCTGCAAAGCAGCATGACGTCGACTTGATCTGCAACCCGCCCAAACCTCAATCTGATTCTCTCCAGACCAGTGTAGGCTGCCGTTCAAGACCAAGATCAGTTTGTCCACTATATCCTAAACCACATTCGCGTCATGTCGGCCAAGATAGCAAAGACTATCGCTCGCCAGAAAGAAAAGTACGTGGAATCCTCGATATGAACAGACCGCTGTTGAGCTCGATGCCCCTCGAGCTGCAGCCAATCTGCAGCACGTGGCAGTTTCAAACACCTCGTTGCTTCACGCACAGAGACTCTAACATGAGGCTTCCAGGATTGCCGAAGGGAGTTTCTACGAGGCGCACCAGCAACTCCGTGTCATCACCGCCCGCTATCTCAAAGCCTCCGACTACAACTCGGCCTGCGACGTCCTCTACAATGGCGCCCTCCTTCTGCTCCGCGCCGACCAGGGTGGCTCAGGCGGCGATTTGGCGCTCATGCTGTTGAACGACGTCTACGTCAAGGGCGAGTATGGATGCGACGACGAGAATAGAAAGAGACTGTTGGAGATATTCCATGCCTTTCCCAAAGAGGAACCGACCAGGAAGAGATTCGTGACCGAGATGGTTAACTGGAGTGGGAAATTTGGGGATTTGGAAAGGGGAGACCCAGAGATTCATCACCAGGTGGGCAAGGCGCTTGCGGAAGGTAGGTTTGAGGGCAAGACTTCGTCAGAATATCAATGTGGACACAGTCGCTGACATTCTACAGAGGGTGAAGCATACGACGCCGAACGACATCTCGTCATCGGCACCCCAGAATCGGCCCCTGTCCTCGCCAGCTTACACTATGTCTGGTACAAATTGGACCAGCCGCACCTTGCACCCATCTACGCCTCCCGCTCCGTTCTTCCCTATTTGTTGGTTGGGAATCTCTCCAGCGCGAACCTCGCCCTGTCAACCTTTACATCGCACCTCACAACACAAAACCCGAACTTACTGTCCATGTCTCAACCCCTTGAATCCGCCAAGTCGGGCCTCTCATTGCGAATATTCCCCTCGATCCCTCTCCTCAACTTCCTGTCTCTTCTATTACTCTCCTGTCAGAAAGGCGATGCCAGTTTATTCCGCCAGCTCGCAAAGTTCTACGCCCCGCATCTGAAGGAACTTGAAGGACTGTGGAGTGAAGCTTTGGCACATATTGGAGAGATCTGGTTCGGAATCAAGATTCCCCGGCAGAATACTGGGAATCCATTGTTTGATATGATGGGCAGTATGCTTTTCGGCGGGCAGCAACCGGGGGCGAAAGCGGCGACTCCAAGATCGGGCACACCAAAGCCTGCAATAAGTGGCAGCAAGGCCCCTCCAAAGGAAATCGAGAAGCCTCCAACAATGGATTTGGATTGAAGTCTTGAGCGATATTTTTGGGATCGTGGCTGGGTTTGCGGGTAGTGACGGTAGTGGTGCTTACCGAGACATCAAGCAAGGTCACGGTTATGGTCAGGTCTGATATCAGCAAGGAATATTGATCTGTGCGAATGGTGAGAACCATACAGGACAGGCCTGTTCGTTCTGTTGTTTCATGTTTGTCTCCGCTCCACCCCGCTCCCGTTCCGCCCCGCCCATTTTTACCAGACTATAATTCCACACCGCCATGGGCCACAAACACACCAGATTCTACAGACCAGACCGCCAACGACAAGAACCTGCGCGAGGAATCAATGACCAAAGAAAAGAAATCACCCATGGCTTTTGTCTTCCAGCGTTCGCACTGAGCTACGCATCCACGACTTATGCATGCGCCATAATATATATGTTACTAACTCCATTCGACCACAACACTTCTTTTTTGGGGCGGAGAAACAAAAACAATCGACAGCCAGGATTCCCACGTGGTCTCCCACCGTGGTACTGACTGGCCGGGGTATAGCTTAAGTACGACTGAGCAAACGGGAAGTCCTGTTTTCTAGTACCCTGTGGTCGATTGCGGAGGGATATGTGGGGGTTGTGGTTATATATCTACAGTATTTGTTCTGTACTGGGGGGAAAATGGACTCGGGGATTGTAGCGTCGTGTCGTGTATAAGGTGCGTATACATGCGTGTAGGGTATAGGGACAGGTACAAGTATAGGTATAAATACAAATACAAATACAAATACAAGATCTCTCTCCTCTCTCTTCCTCTCTTCCCCCCCTTCTACGTGTGTCTGTATGTGTCTTGTCTTGTTACTGTGCGACTTAGCTACACCTTTGGTTCAACTCGACCGGTAGGTAGGTATTAATGCATTGTTCATTGTGATTTGTACAGACCCAGTATCCGCTTCATGGTATCGTTGATCTCATAATCCGGTAAACTCCGTCCTCGCGCTCGCCTGCACGACAGCGGTTTCGCTTCGCTCCTTGTTGGCTAGACCTCTGGGTCTCTAGACGGGAGCTGGGCCCCATCCACATGATAATGATGAAAAAGGCATATACCCGTCACCGCAAGTCCCGTCCATGTTTGTATTGTACACCATGATTGACGAAATAGACAGAAAACCAAATCCGTGCCCTTTTGTGAAACAGACTTCTCCTCATTCGTACACACCTACCTCGTCCCTCCCTGCCGCTCCTCCCATGCCCAAGGACTCGCCAAACATCCAAGATTCCTCCTCTGCCCGGGCCACCTCCCTGCGGAGACTCCCCATGATCAATCCCATCAGTTCGTCTCTCTCGAGCTCTTCGTCCTCGTCGACGGCAGCCGAAGTCGACACTTTGCCCTTGGCCCGCGCGCGTTGTCGCGCCATCATCTCGCGCAGGAGCCGCTCGATGCGTTCGCGGTCTCGTCGTTCTTCATCCGCCTCGACCTCCGCCTCCGTGGCCATCGCCGCGACGTGCTCATGGTCTGCTCTTGTGATGTGTGACGACGGCTGGCCATAGGCATCATGCCCTCGCGCTCTCCGGCCTGCCGCGACTCGGGGGTGTGATCGGGCAACGTGGTCATGGAAGTCCTCGTCGTCGTCCGAGAAATCGTGCTGGTGAGCGTCATCATGCTCATCACCATCCTCCTCCTCGTCTCCTCCACTCATCGCATGTTCTTCTCCAAGTCCATCGTCCGAGTCCGACAGTCTGAGTCTGCCGGGTAAGACGGGAATCTTGGGCAGCACGGGACGGCCTGTAAGCGGATTCAATGCGACAATAGACTGATTAGGGAAGAGGGCTGCTGAGGATCGAGGACTTAGCGGTCGATGGGGGGAAATTGTAGGGTCGTAACCATCCACTAGAGCTGCGCGGTGGGGCGGCGAGAGTTGCGGTATTGGACGGGGGATGAAAGTAGAGCTGTTGCCGTTGTCTGCGGCATCATGAAAAGGAGAAGAACGGGGAGGAGATGGCGAGAGCGACGGCGTGGATACCGAGCGTTGGTGACCTCGAGGGCGCGGGAGACTACTACCGTACTGTTGCTCCTGGTTTTGCGACTGCGATTCATGTCGTCGAGTTTGACTGGCTGTCTGTGCTTGCGGTTGTGCCCCCGAGGCCGGGCGTCGCGACAGATGTGCAGAAAACAGATTTCTTCGCACCGAGCCCGCGGCGACTTGATTGGGATTGGACGTTGAGGATAGGAAGGACGACGAGTTGGGTGAGAGGTCGGCGGCGTCGCGCGAAGGAGGAGGACGGGCCATTTTTAACAAGATAAGCCGGGGGTCAACACCACGCCGCACTCCTGAACGAAGATGAAGGATGTCTTTTGACAAATGATGTGTTGGGTTCCCCTAGTCACGGCCAATTCCCAGAAATGCCCAAGCGAAAAGCGGCCCAAAAGTAAACAAGCACGAGGCTCCGCTTCCGCCAATCAAATTCGCCCTGAACCACAACATCTCAGCCTCGTCATGTTCCCCGCGAAGTCTCCCTTTTTCTGGACACAAGATCACAGATTATCACACGGTGGTCCCCAGTTCGCCAGCGACGATCCAGTGGGGCGATGATACGACATGGCCACACACGATGTCCGTTCTCGGCTGTCCTCTCGTCGACGCCCACTCCAGAGTGTCATCCCGTTGGACGATCCTGACACCAGCATTAGGCGACCATCGAACTGCATACTGTGAGGCCAGACAGGCAATACAAGGGTCGTATTCATATGTCCTACCACGGCACAGCTAGCCCTACGGCCCAAGTCTGTGCCGGCCTGACTGTGTGTTCCCGTCTTATGAGGTCCACTATATACTGTACGTGTCGTGAGAATGTCTATGCTACTCGTCTTTCTAGGTTGCTCCATCAAGACTGCAAAAAGTAGTAGCTCCGTCAATACTGCTACACAATGACAACTAAACCGGAGGAACGGCCAACCAACGGTATTGGACCGCTCGAGCCACAGGCCGATGTTATCAATGGTGGCGAACCTGTCAGAGATTCAGACCGTGTTCTCGTTATTGGTGGAGGCGCCGTGGGCTGTCTCGCGGCCCTCAAGCTAGGCCAGGCAGGTATCGATGTCGATATCATCGAGAGGCTCCCTGAGACGAGCAACGCTCCACGTGCATGTGGCTATTTCGGCGCCGTACATCACATGCTGAACGACATCGGCGTGTACAGGTTGATCAGAGAAGAAGGCTTCATGACTCGGGGCCTCTGCTTCCGCAAGCCCCCCAAGGACGATGGCCAAGGTCGAGGCGGCAAGGTCTTCGGCGACATCATTGCAAATCTGCCCCTTTGTGCCCCTGATGACAATCTCACAGAACCAGGTGCCGGTCTGCTGAATCTGCCGCAGGCACAACTCAACAAATTGTTCCTGCGAGAGGCGCTGAAGACGGATCATGTGCAGATCCATTTCAACCGTGAATTGGTATCTATCACAAACAACGACAACGGCGGCGTCGCAGTCCTTACACGCGATCCTGACACTGGCCTCGAACGAGAATATAAAGCCAAATACGCGGTAGCAGCAGACGGTGCGCACTCTGCGGCTCGTAAAGCCCTCGGGCTGCCTTATCCGGGCCACACCTGGCCCGAACGGCTCATCGCGACAAACGTGGTGCTCCGAAACGTCGAGGAGACACCTATGCACACGCATTTCGTCATGCACCCGACACACTTCAGCATCTCGACTCCCCTCGAAGACCCTGTCACAGGGCAGGAGACGCTCTGGAGGTGGACGTTGGCGGCGGACCCGGCGTTGGATAAGTGCTCCGACGAGGAGTTGTTGACGGACGAGGTCATCCATGCGCACTATGAGAGGTGTATGCCGGGGCCGAGGCCGTTGGCTGTCGACATCGTGGCGAGGTCTGTGTACAGGGCGCACCAGAGGCTTGTGCCGACGATGAGGAAGGGGAACGTGCTGCTTGCCGGAGATGCTGCGCATTGCAACCATGTGAGTTTATCCCCGTCTTTGAGCGTGGTTATCATGACGATTGTTTGGCTGACATATCCATCAATCTCCTTCTCAGCCTTTTGGCGCCCTTGGTCTCAACACGGGCATGCTCGACGCCGACGCCTGCGCCGAGGCCCTGATCATGATCCTCAAGGACTCCTTCCCCCCTGTCGAGACGCTGAACACGTACTCCGACTCGCGCCGCAAGGTCTTCCAGTTCTTTGTGGACCCGACGTCGACGCAGAACAAATTCCGCGTCCATTCGAACCCGCCCGAGACGGCGGCCGAGGACGATTGGTTCCTCAGAGACCTGAACCACATGACGTCAAAGAAGGCCGTGGAAATGGTGAGGCCGTATTTCGAGGGGTGGAGGACGGATATGAGGAAGGCCGTACAAGAGAGAGATGATGGACTGCCTGCACATGGATAGTCTAGTCTGTTGTGTGCATACACACTTTCTCTACTGGATAGAATCAGGGCAAGGAGAAGCATTCCGACTCAGTGAATGATCCAGGGCTTTATCGAGGGAAAGAACAACAATCAATCAGACCACACGCCTTGGTGCTTTTTCGCGTAAAATGCGGCTTCGATCTTCTTATCTTTTCTCATTCGTACACGTAAGTTGGAGTCCATGGCCTAGCATTTCCCGCCACGGTGCTTTGGCCATCATCTCCGAGGTGCTATCTAGTCCTCCTACCAGGAAAAACGAAGATGGCACCATCAAAGGTCCCAGGGGTATCTCAAGAAACACGGACACTATATCTCACGCAGCTTGGGCAGTTTGTCGTTGCCTTTGCTTGATCTTTTTCTCCTCCTGCTCTCAGTTCAACTCACTCCAGATCTTGTCCTTCGAACGTAGGCAGCCTCTTGACAACGTCTTCCCAAGTCTCCTCCCCATCGACCAGGGCCTTGACAGCGCTGATGATCTCATCCTCGCTCGCCCTCACCTGCTTCGTGGAATCTCGCTCTCTGAGTGTCAACGATCCATCTTTGACCGTCTGGAAATCGATTGTAATTCCAAATGGTGTTCCCAGTTCATCATTACGAGAGTACCTCTTGCCGATGCTTGCAGAGGAGTCGTCGACTTTGTTGGAGACTCCGACTCGGCGTAGACGGGCGGTGAGTTTCTTGATGAAGGGCTTGAAATCTGCGTGGCCAGAGAGTGGGACAAGGAGGACTTTAGTGGGAGCCACCGTAGGGGGGAACGACAGGACTCCACGTGCAGCATCCCCTTCACGAACCCAGAAGACATGTTCCATGAGACTGTAAAGAATTCGTCCGATACCGAAGGAGGGCTCGACGACATTCGGCGTGTATTCGCGCACGTGTTCTGTTCGCTTCCTCTTCTCAATCTTAATCAGATCTTTTTCGAGTTCTGTTCGTCCGCTCCCAACACCTGGCGTCTCGATTTCGATTTTCCCAGTCTTCTCCAGCTCTAACGCAAGCTTCTCGCGCAGATCCTGCGAAAGGGCGTCCACGGCAGCCTCGACTGCCTTTGCGTCCTTGCGGAATTTAGGTCCAAGTTTCTTGCGTTCCAGATCAACTTCATATTCTTCGACGATCAGCGGTTGGGCTCGAGTTTCGCGCACAACGAGCGGGGCTCCAGTCTTCTCCTTGTGGACAGTCAAATCATAGGCACTTCGGTCAGCACACCCAACACACTCAATCCAGCCGTAGGTGGTGAAGAGTTCGGCGTCCCAACAGTCAGCAGCATAATGAGCCATTTCATTGGCCATGTGCTGTCTGAATCTCAACTTGGTCTGGTCAATTCCGAGCTTGAGTAAAAACTCCTGTATCCTAACGAGGAAGTAGCCGAGAGTCTCATTGTCGACCAAGCCAGAAGATACCGCGTCCCCGATAGCCACCAGGTCGGGTTTGGTGCTTCCCGCAAGCTGGGTCTTCCGGTTCAGGAGAGATAGCTTGGTGTCTTTGACATCTTCGAAGCGAGGGTGCCTCTTCCCGCCTTCTGGGTCTACGAAATGCTCGATTTCGGCCATGAGGAACTCGCGGACACGGAGAAGCCCAGAGCGAGGCGAAATTTCGTTGCGGAAGGACTTCCCAATGGAAGCAGACGCAAAGGGCATAGATTGCTGGTTGAATTCGAGGAGCTTCTGGAAGTTTAGGAACTGTCCCTGAGCGGTTTCTGGACGAAGATAGCCATTGGGTTTATCGGCGCTGGGCCCAATCTGGGTCTGGAACATGAGGTTGAAGGCTTTCGGTGGCTCAAGTTCTGCTCCGGTTGAAGGGCCTTTGATGTTGTATTTCTTGATCAGTTCGGCAAGCTCGTCACCTCCATAGTTGTCAATCTTTGCCAGGGTCTCCTCGTATTCTTGCACCAGGGCGTCATCAAGCTTCTCAATCTTTGTGTCCTTGATCTTCTTCTTCTTTTTGGCATCTTTTGCTTCGTCGACCTCGACCTTTTGGCCACGTGCGTCTTTATCGGCTTTCAGTCTCGCCTCAAGAACCTGCTCTACCAAATGGTCTGCGCGGAAGATTTCTCCACTCTTTGGATCTTTGCACATCCAATCTGCAAACTTATCGACGTGGCCACTGGTCTTGAGGACTGCCTCTGGGGTCAGCATGGTGCAATCAACCTCGAGCATGTCTTCTTCCAGCACAAAGTGTTTGCGCCAAAGATCGACCACATTGGCTTGTAGTGCGCATCCTGGTGGACCATAGTCAAAAAGCCCGCGTTCTCCACCGTAGATTTCGAAGGAGGGCGTGTAGAAGAGCCGTCGGCGTAGAAGAGATTCTAGGACTGAACGATCGAGAGGCTGACCAGTCTTGGTCGTGCTCTCAGCCATCTTGAGATCTAGTTTGGGCGCTTGGAATTTTGCTCTGACGAAAGTGGCAGCTGTAAAACTTCGGACAAAGTGACCAGACTGAAAAGAGGTGGCTCTAGAAAGGCAAGCCAATGCACGCATAGAACCAAGGAGGAGGAGGAAGAAGGGACTTGGAACGGAACCCCTGCAGTAGATATACACAGGAGTCGTGGGGTGTGATGACTCGAAACTCTTAATGAAGACTCACAGATTATGGGAAAATGACACAAAATAATCTCTCCCTGCGCATCCAGGCCAGCCTCGTGCAGCCACCAACAGCCACCAACAGCCAGCCACACTTCATTCAGCCTTCCGGCTTTCGGGGAATCTCTTTTCTCCGCACAACTTTTTTTCTGAAGTGGAATCAAGCACATCAACCCGCTCGCTCTTCAACGACACTACGTGGATCAGCTCGACATATGTACCACGTGCACTGGCCCTTCGTCATCGCCCGCAATGCCCTCTCGAACCACAAGACTCTCCGACAAGGCGGCCTTGCCCTTCAAGACATCTAACAAACAGCGGAGACAGGACCTCCACGTCAAACAGAAACGTGCACGAGATGCCCTGAAACGGGCCGAGAGATTCAGTCGCAAAAAAGAGGAGGCGAAGAACCCGAGATTGCGGGAGGAACGGCTGCGGCGCAATGTCCCCATCACGCTGGACAAGAAACGGGTCTACGACGAAATCGGGGATGAGCCTGAAGACGGTGGTCTGGGAATGGTCTACGACGTAGAAAGGCTGAAGAGAAGGAAATTGGCAGAGGAACAGGAACTACAGCCCTATAACGATGGAGAGGGACACACTGCGGAGCGTCAAGGGGACGACGATGATCACGACTCCATGCTGGAGGAAAGCAGCGACAGCGAAGACGATGGTGACAACGACGAAGACGATCTCGAGCCAGCGGAGCTCGACGAAGATACCCACGACCCTCTACCATCAAAGTCCCAGCTCAACTCCTCAAGATCTCGACTGAAAGATCGCGCAACTTCACCAACACGCTCAACGACCTCGACCAACCTCTCCCTTGCCCCCGCCGCGCTCGCCGCGAAGTTTCCGACTCTGTTTTTGCCGCCAGACTCGCCTCCTCCTCCCCCTCCCAAAATCCTAATTACCACATCGATAAACTCGACCTTGCACAACGAAGCTGCCATCCTGACCACCTTATTCCCAAACTCAAGATATATCCGTCGCTCCTCTCACAGGTACGGCTACAAATTCTCCGTCCGCGAAATCTCCACCTTTGCAGCCAAGCAGGGATATACGTCTGTCATCGTCCTCGAGGAGAATCAAAAGAGGCCCTCGGGCATGACCGTGGTGCATTTACCCCTTGGACCGACATTCCACTTTACAATCTCGAACTGGTATTCAGGCAAGCAGATTCCTGGCCACGGTCGCCCCACAGACCACATTCCTGAACTGATCTTGAACAACTTTACCACCCCGCTCGGCCTGGTGACCGCCCACCTCTTCCGCTCTCTTTTCCCTGCTACCCCGGAGCTCCAAGGCCGGCAGGTTCTGACGCTGCACAACCAGCGTGATTACATCTTCCTCCGCCGGCACCGGTACATCTTCCGCGCAAAGCGGGAGACGGAAAGATCCGTGGTCGGCGCTGATGGGAAGGAGATGAGAGGCACAGAAGGCATCAGAGCCGGGTTGCAAGAACTAGGGCCAAGGATGACCCTCAAATTGAGGAGGGTAGACAAGGGCATACAGAGGGCAAGTGGCCAGGAGTGGGAATGGAAAGCCAAGACGGAGAAGAAGAGGACCAAGTTCCAGCTATAATCTGTTGCTGCAGACCGCCGGACTCTCCAACACAAGGCAGCATTGGGCTTTACTCCACATTGGGCACGCATCAGAAGCGATGACGATTCAGAAGGTCGAGGGCCAGGGATCGCAGCACTTGTCACGTACAGAACTACAGAACCAGCAGAGGAGCAAGACTCAAAAGGTGGAAGTTCGCTTTGGGAATTTTCTGGACGCTGCAAGAACTCTGGCCTCTTCATCCAGCCCGTCGACTCTTCCCGACAAGCCAGGAATAGTTCCCACATGGTCCATATGTCTCGTGTGTCTCCTTTCCATGTCAGCGCATAAGGCTTGTTGTTGACACCATTTCCATTCACGTGTGAGTAGATGTCGACACCATCCTTTCCGTTTGCCAATTGCCGGTGCCAGATCAGTGTCTCCAACTCCCTTTGCTGAGCCCATTGCAGCGGGCCCTCATGAACCTGACGTGTAGCCCATTCGTCCATCCGTAAAGCAAGCAAAATAAAACAGGGCTAAAAGCTGAAACAGCAAACTTTCCAATCTGGCCACCCATTCTTTCTCAAGCTCTAACTGCCTTGAGCCTGGGTCCAGAAGTCAAGACTAGCGATGACATCCTCGCCGGTCTCGTCTTCGTAAGCGTACAGAATCTAGGCACAGGCTGTTAGCAGGGCAGTACTCCCCAGAAAAAGAGCAGATAGCAGCCACTCACCTCTCTCGTACTCGAATGCAACATCCTGACATTCTTGCCCGTCATCACATGAATCAACTCGCTCGTCTCAATATGCCGAATCTCGATGAAAGACGGCTCGAACGCGAGGATGTAGGGATAATTCAGTGCAAATGCCTGTGGAGTTCCCTCCCATGTGATCTTCCAGTCCTGTCTCGCACGCCATCCGTTCCGGTTGACGAAGAAGCTGAAGTCAGAATAGTTGAGCAGGAATTCGCCATTGAGACGTTCAATGTGGATGGGTTTGACGTTTTCCTTGCGCGTCACGAAGTCAAGCGAGGTGTCGGCTTGATCGAGCAGGGATTGTCGCTCGGTGGTCTCAAGCGAGACGACCTCAAAGCCTTTCGCACAGCCAACGCATAGTGTGGAGCGGAGGTAGTGTACTGATGTCGACTCAGCTGGGATGTAAAATTCCTAGAGTACTTTGTTAGCATCAATTTCGCCAATTTCGCAATTTTCGCAATTTTCGCGACAGATGGTTTTACCTTGAAAGGCTTTAGAGCATCCTGGCCACTGGCAAACATCTTACTGATTGCCGGCTTCTTCTTACCCTTAGTAAGATCATCCATGGGCTCGTATACCTTGATGGTAGTGGACAATGCCGAAGTCTTCACAGAGCACACCAAATGTCGCCCCAGTCCAATTCCAGCTTTGAAGAAGTTGGAATGACCCTGGATCTTGCGAGGTCTAGTCGCCAGAGGATTCTGATTATTTGGATCCAGTGCATCAAAAGGATATGAAGTGAGAGTTTTGTTCGACAGCACCAGCAACAGTCGATACTCCTCCAGCGTATCGATCTGGGACACTTGGGTCGCGTCGAGAATACGCTTGGGCTTGATGGATTTGTCCTTTGGCCATCGATCGGCGATATAAATACCGTTGTCGGTACCATAAATGAGCTTGCGACCTCCGTCAGTTGGCACCAGACAATTGACCCGATTCTGAGCGTTGAAGAATCCTTCGCATAATATAGTCTTTGTGTAGAAGGCACTACTTCGGTCGCGAAGTTTGCTTTGCTGTTGCTCCACCAGTTCAATAAACTTTTTGCGCTGGGTGATGGAGGTGGCATATAGCTGAAGCTCATATGCCCCTTTTCCAAGATGTCGGAAAGTGATGGGATACACCTCTTTTTGACCGGGGGTGCTTGAAGTGGACGGTTTGTTGCCGGGAATGAGACTCGACGAGGAACGCTTTGCGAGACCCAGGCGGGGGATGACTTGATCCATCTCGGCGATAACGAGGAGCTCCAGTGGAATCGGCTTTCTGTACACTCGAAGTTCCTCTCGTTTGTTGACATTTTTGACACGGCACATGAGGACTGCGTGATCGAAAAGATACACTTGAACTTCGGCACTGTCGGCGGGGGCCTTCTTGAAGCTCATCTTGGTCAGGATGACCCGGTTCTCCTCTGTAAGTTTCAGATCCGTGTACTCTCCAGCATTCCACTTGAGCTGTTGATTCAGCTGAAGCAAGTTGAAGTGATTCTCGGCTTTACCACTTTCCGCGTTGACTCGGGCCAAGAAATCCTTGATCAGACCGATGGCTTTGGGTATATCCTTCTTGTCTGGGTTGTCATCTTTTGTGTACTTCAACACGTTGTCCAACAATAGCGGATATCTGGCTAGGCGCGTTGTTGGTTTCGTAAGGTAACCATTCAGCTCAAGCTTTCTCGACTCTTTGAGGCGCTCAGTCTCGTCGACAAATCGCGAAAAGGCCGGATTGGCGCCTTTCTCTTTCTCGAATTCGTATTTGCCGTACATCTGATTCGCACCGTATTTGATGAAGGGGTCGAACTGCGGCACAAATTTGAGAAAGATATCACCAATGCTGTGCACCACGTGCTGTTCTTTCTGCCGCTTTGACAACTCTTCCGCGAACCTGCCATTCACTGCAAGCACCTCCAGACAGTTACCGAAGACGGTGCGAACAAATTTCTCTCGTCGCTCCTCCTTGATGGGAGACATGACATTGCCGGCGCCGCGAAGTGGCCTTATCCAGAAATCGCGGAGATATTCCAAATCCTTGACAAAGTCACGTTCTGTGTACATGAGCTCTGAGATGACTTCCTGTCTCTTCTTCTCTCTGTCGTCGATCTTGTCGGCGACCTCCTTAGGAACGCTGTTGATCCAAAGCTTCTGTTCCTGGTCTTCCTCGCCGTGCAGACTTCCTCTCGAGTTGGAGTGTCGCAACCCGGGCTGTGGCCGTAAATTCAGGCGAGCTTGCTGTTCAAGCCGCCGAGGACACGCGATCGAGTAGCAGAGGTGGTCTTTGGTGCAGGTTGGAGAATAACACTCCGTTAGCAACGTGAAAACACCGTTGACATCTTTTGAGGACGCCTCCTCTCCCATGGTTTCCCGGAACTGGTACACTTCTCCAGGAGCATCTCTCAGTCGATGCTCATAGGTAACGTCGTGAAAGAACTTTTGGGCATCAAGGGCTCGTCCGAGAAGCAACGCAAGGTTTCTGTCTGTTGTCTTGATGATGTAGGCGATTAAGTCGACAGCCTCTGCCCCTGTGAAGGCATTCTTGTAAGAGAGATCATTCTTAGTTCTGTCGCCAACGCCGATCCTTTCCTGAAAAGCGCTTGCAACGCGTGACAGAAGGGCAGGGTAGACAAGAGGCGACTTTCTTTGGACAACAGTCGTTGTTTGACTGGCTGACGAATGAGCCGAGCCTGTCGGCCTACTCAGCATGCTGTCGTTACGCGACACATTCATGGTGGTTGTTGGCGTCAAGTCGGACGCAGCTGAGGTGCCAGAAGCGGCAGACGTAGTGCGCGGGGGGTTACTTCCCTCACTAGGGCGTCGCGCCCGTGGAGTGATACCGTATCCTGGAGAATTAGTTGAACTGAACGAGCCGTTCGACGAGGCATGATGATCTGCAAAAGGGTCTGATTCTGATTCCCGACGACGATGAGGCACGACTCTGCCACTTGTCAATTGCTGAGTATGATCTCGATCCAAGGCGAACGATCCCATCGACATGGATCTGTCCCCATCGACTCTTTCCGGTATGTGTCTGCCTTGAGCTGTCGTCCTTGAACCACCGATTCCGGCATAAGGTTGCTGTCTAAAGGCACTGGCAGTACCCTGCTGGAAGCTGCTGGGTGGTGGACGATAGCCCATGGTCGGCTCTCCAGGCCTCACCATGGACCGCGACCTATATCCATCATTGTTTAATGCCGGAGGAGGCATTCGGTTGGGAACAGGTCTGCGATCGTAGGACGACATCGACATTGACGAGGGAACACCAGGCCGTGTGTCTATCCGCTGAGGCGGAGGGTAGGGTCGCCGATCAGGAAACATTGGCGCGGGATTGTGTGGCGGCGGTCTTGCATTATTTGCGCCATTTGTATACGGCTGGCCCGGAGCAATGCCGTTGGAGCGGTCGTAGGATTGAGGCATCTGACGCATGGGTGGAGGGGGTCCGTGTCTCATGGACATGGTATGTTGCTGGTGTTGCGAAGTCATGCTGGGCAGTCGATCGTACATGCCTCCGACGGATTGTGTTGTCATTGTCTGGGACCTCCCTGGAGGTGGAGCACCGCCAAAGATATTATGGAAGGCGGTATCTCTTTGATCGGCCGGGCCTCCATGCTGTGGAGGAGGTGGTCTTGCACCATAATAGCGAGAATCGGGCAGACCATAGTCTGCCATGCTCGGTCAGAGGAGAGGGAAAGAGCGATATAGCACAGGCGTAGTTATTGGACCAGCATGGAGAGTTGTAGTGATGGAGACTCTGATCTGCCGCGTGTGGAGTGCAGGGGGCTTTTTCTGTCTCGTCTTTTCGCGATCTTGAATTCTCTCCCCCGCCCCCGACTTTTTTAATTCTTTAATAGCGACGGCAGAATGAAGGGCAGCGATCGGAATCGTGGTCTCGACGTAATGGAATGAATTGACAGTCGAGGACAGTGGGTGGCCGATATTCAGGTTGGGGATATGTGTGCGTGCTGCACGAGTGGAGGAGGTCGACGTGGATGAGGGATGGTCAGAGATTACAGATGATGGTCGCACAGATTCCGCGTCATGCTCTCACCGTGCCAGCAGGGAGAGAAAGGAGATGTTCTCAATGACTATGTACGAATTAATGAGTAGTAATGGTGAGAAGATCAATAGATAGAGCCAGTATAGCATGTAGTGGGAATGGAAATGGAAATGGGATGGGGGAGAAAACGATGCAGTTGGACGAGGATCGACCGCTGCTAATCCAAGCCTGAATCTGGGGTCGCCATTGGCTGCGCCTGCTCCTCTAACCTCCTCTAAGCAGCAAAGCCCAGCTTCCCTCCTGCCTGCGGTGGCAGATGCGCAGGCACATCATCACCATCATCCTCCATCCCAAGCTTCATCGGCAGAACGTTACCCACAAGGTGCCTCGAGCACCCACCTCTCCTATCGCACCTTTTCAAACCACTTCTCTTTCCTGCTTTTCTCCGACAACTTACCATTAGACACTGACATCTGCCACCATGGCGACAATTACAGAAGGACCTGGCAGTGAACTCACGCCCAACTTTGCTCCCTTCTTTGGCATGGTAATCTCTCCCTAGACCTTCTCTGATGAAGCAAAACTAACATGCAGAATCATACAGGCCGGAATTGCCTCTGCTGTACGTCGAGCTAGCCTCAAAACACCGAGACCGTCTCTGCTGACCCTCCATGCGCTCTAGATGATCTTCGGCTGTATGGTTTTGAAAAGATAAATGGAGATACACACAAGATACTGAGCAGTTATACAGGTATCGGAGCCGCCTATGGCACCGCGAAATCAGGCATCGGAATTGCTGGTGTGGGAACTTACCGTCCTGACCTGATCATGAAGGTATGGAACGCGCAATAGGATCCTTGGTGTGCTTTGTTTGACGGCGAATGGCAGTCCCTCATCCCTGTCGTTATGTCTGGTATCATCGCCGTCTACGCCCTCGTCATTGCCGTGCTCATCGCCGGAGACATGGGACCTCCGCCGCAGCAGAACTACAGCTTGTTCACCGGATTTATGCACCTGGCTTCCGGATTAAGCGTCGGTCTGGCCGGTCTTGCGGCAGGCTATGCCATTGGGATTGTGGGAGATATGGGAGTGAGATGTTACATGCAGCAAAGCAGGATATTTGTGGGCATGGTGCTCATTTTGATCTTTGGTGAAGTATTGGGGCTTTATGGGTTGATTGTGGGGTTGATTCTGCATTCGAAGAGTTGAACGACCGCCCAACAATGTTGGAGGAGGATAAAACGTCTTCACTTCGAAGGCTAGTATTTCAAGAATAGAGCCTGGCTGTTGCCACTTTGAAATGAGAGGGTTCGGAGCGACATTTATCGCATCTTATGACTATGAATGCTATGTGCGCTTACTGCAGAAATTTCCCAAGATTGCCACCAATATGCTCCAAGTCCAGGAGGAATGTGTCGTGTCCGAACAAACTAATATCCTCACCAAGCTCCACGTGCGTTACTTGATTGTTTCCCGTCGCCCTCAAGGTCTCGGCAATCTCTCTTTGCTGCCATGCCGGGAAGAGGATATCACTCGCCACACCCATCACCAACACAGGATGACTGCGCAAGGGTGCCATTCCCTGGACGAGATCTCTGGGCGGCCCTTGATTGCCGGGGGTAACAGCTTCATCCATTGGCGCGGTGGAGACTTTCTCTTCGTAATTCTTCGACGGTAGCGTCAGGCTGCATGCTGGGTCATTTCGAATGGTCGCTGCCCCGTGGAAGTCGACTAGCTTCTCCTGGTTCTTTTGCCTCCGTTCTCTGGTACTTTCTTGGTGCGCCCACCCAAGATCGAAGAGATCCATAGCCTTACTCACATAAAGTAGAGAATTTGGATCATATTCCAAGGAAAATTTCTCTCCAGCGTGGTCCAGGTACGTTTCGATCAAGAAATCCGGACAAAGAGCAGGCTGTTTACTGGGATCGGCTCGCTGCCTCCCAAACCGGTTCTCCCACTCTGGCCCACTGCGATATGTCACTGTTGCAATCTCTCGCGCGAGCTTCATCCCCGTGTGTGGAGGAATACTGTCGTAGTAGAAACCTCTGTTCCACTTGGGGTCCATCATCAGCACTTGCCGTTGAGTGTGCCGCATTGCGATACTATACGGGTGACTTCTTGCACAACCCGAAATGCTGACTATTTTGCCCACTCGGTCTGGGAAATGCACGCCGAAAGCGAGACTTTGCATTCCACCCATACTGGCGCCAACGCTGGCGTAGAGCTTATCGATGCCAAGACCATCCAAAAGCCGCGCTTGCGCTCTGACCATGTCGTCCATGGTCAAGATGGGGAACCGAGTGGCATAACGCTGACCGTCGGACGGGTCGATCGAAGAAGGTCCAGTTGAGCCATAGCAGCCGCCTATAACGTTGGTGCAAATCACAAAGTGTTTGTTGGTATCTAAGGGACAACCAGGCCCAATGAACTTTTCCCACCACCCAGGTTTTGGGTTGGCTTCAGTGCTGTGTGCATGGCTCGACGCCGACAACCCAGTGTGTAGCAGAATTGCATTGCTCTTGTCCGCGTTCAATGTACCCCAAGTCTCATGAGCAATATCGAATTCGGGTAGGATCCCGCCCCAATCCAGCAGCATGGGCTCAGAGCTGCGAAAGACCATGTGTTTTCCCGTGGTGTAAGACGGTTCGGGTCCTGATTCGAGAGAACGGTTCTGCAAAGCGGCCGTCTTCAGTTCTTGAGCGTCAAGACACGGAAAGGACATTGCCGGGTTTGTGGACTCGGACACCTCGAAGGAGTCTTCTTCTCGTACGGCGGCGGCGGCAGCCTGCGCATGATGGCTTGCTCGTGTGTGTAGGGACGCATTTCTAATCCGCTGGGTCTCCGATTTTGCAAGCGAGTGGGCGAACCTGTGTTCCCTTATAGATGAGGATGAGTTGGAAGTGAGAGCCCTTGAGCCTCGACTAAGTAACCGTGCTGCGATCTGGGCACCTCGGGGAACAGCCATGTTGAGCTGTGCAGGATTTCAAACTGGTAGAGACCACAGAGGAGGGAGCGGGGCCCCTCCAGTTAAGAAGTGTGACATGCATTTTCCAGGGCTTTCAACAATTTTGGGACGAAACTGGTAGGGGAGTCGACCGCGCAGTCAATGATCACGACATCAGCGACCAATAACAAAGCAGTAAAGGGATTATTCGCCTAACCTGCCTCGTATGGGAATACAGCCTTGTCGCTGTGTTTGCTCCAGCCCTAGGTGACAGCCTCGTCGATGGAGAACCCTTTTACCTGAAAGGACCCGATATTGACCATGACATTGGTCCAACCCAGATTGTTCTACGCTTGTTGCTGTGATGGACACCCGAAGTGGGAGATGTCGATATGGCTGTTCCGCTTGGGCAGGGCAGGGAAGTCAAAAAATTGTGATAAAGCAAGACATGATGCTCAAACCCAACTCCTCTAGCAATTGCGGCGCGGTCTCGCTGAAGCTTTCTATTCAGTCGGCTGAGTAGAAACAAACAACGAGCCGGGAGCCGAATCCCCTTCTGATTTGACCGTAGGGAACGATGCGGCAAAGCGAGTTGGTTGATATTCCGGCAACCTCGGCTCAGTTCCCAGCGCAGGGACTGAACCGCCAGCCGATGCATCTCCACACTTTGACCCGCCACGAATTCACCGTTCAATACTCCAAGCTCCTTCTTGATTAGTAGTCGTTCACGGCGATAGCTGTCTTGGAAAGTGCCGAGGGTCAATGATTGAAACCATTTTATATACCTAATACTAACCCCAGGTCTTCTCGGAGCTAGAAAAGACTCCAAAGGATCCATCCACCAGCTTATTCCAGGCTCGTTTGCTTGCCTTTGTTCAACCTCAGGTATATCTCGACGAGTATCAAATTCCTCCCCTCTTGCCCTCGAGCCGAGCACGTCCGCCGTGTCCCTCCCTTTGCGATCCTACCGTCTTCACTCCATCCTCAGCAACCGCTATCATGGCTTCCCCAGAAGAAGCAGTCCTCTACAGGGAGCAAGGCCGCATCGCGATCATCACCCTCAATCAACCCAAGAAACTCAATGCCATGAGCCAACCTTACTACTACCGCATCTCCTGCCTACTCCGGGAGATCGCAGAGAATCCCAACATCAGCGTCACGGTGATCACAGGCTCGGGTCGGTTTTTCTCCGCGGGTGCAAATGTCAATTCTACCAGACCTGGTGTTGGACCGGGCTTGGACAAAGATGCCGCACGGAATGATATTTTGAAGGGGTTCGTGAGCAACAACTTGGATATCACACGGTCGTTCTATACGCACCCGAAGATCTTGGTCGGTGCGCTGAACGGGCCAACAGTGGGGTTGTCCGCAGCCATATTGGGCTTCTGCGACTTCATCTATGCCACCCCGCATACCTTCCTGTTGACGCCGTTCTCCTCGCTTGGACTAGTCGCAGAGGGTGGTGCGAGCATTGGGCTCGTGCAGCGCATGGGTCTGACAAAGGCCAATGAAGCACTCATCATGTCCCGCAAGATCCCATGTGATGAGCTCGTGGCTTGCGGCTTCGTGAACAAGGTCTTTTCTGGCAAGGATCAGAACGACTCTGATGGGTTCCTGAAACAAGTGTTGGCAGAAATCGATGACAAATTGGGCGAGCACCTGAACCAAGAGTCCATTCTGAAGATCAAGGAACTGATCAGACGGCCGTTCTTGGAAGGCCTCGAGGCACAAGGAGTTCGGGAGGTGATGGAGGGCATGAAGAGGTTTATCCAGGGGGCACCGCAGGAAGAGTTCAAGAAGATTGCTAGTGGACAGAAGAGACACAAATTGTAGACATCCTGGGTGTAGGCAGAACAAGATTGGTTGACTGTGATGGCGTGTCAATGCTCACCGCTAGGGTTGTATAGAACCAACTCAGAGTTCAAAAGTGCTGTACATGAACATACTCACTTTCTGCAATATAAAACAAAACTCCTACATGAACTGATTCCTCCTGACTTTGACTTATTCTGCGAAGCATTGCCGTATTGCGTTCTCGATGTCTGAAGGCTCTCTTCCCCTCTTCGTTCCTCGCGTGCCATACACTCCAGGAATATCCACATCTGCATGACGGAATCCTGTGGGCGTGGGAAAATACATGCTCTCCCAACGTATACTCGTATTGATATGGCATCATCTCCTCGCATCCATGTGTCCACTCCATTAACGTTTCCTCTTGAGCTGGGCTCACAACTTGTTGTGCGGCAAAACTTGCTCCACAGAAGGCAACTAGCCGGTTCACGAGGTGAAAGACCAGCATGGACATACAAAGCAGCGAGCAGCAACAAGCTGAAAAGCAGCAGGAGCAGTTGTTTCGCTGGTTCATGAAGTGGACTAGTCAGGCCTCATTTGTCCCAAGTCGGTCTATGGAGATACAGCTTTTTGGTCTCGACGCACACCAGCATAACCCGTTTGAGGGACCAGGGGTGTCCTGCCGCCTTGCGCTCTTCTCGCTCTTCATAAAACCCAGGTATCGATAGGACCATTAGTTTCCCGCTTCGCCACAGGGTAAAGGCCTGAAGCAGCCATGTTGTTTAATCACTACTCCACTGGTGGCGGAAGTGAAAAGCAGCGAACACGTCTGAGATGAAAAGCAGCAGCAGAATGAACTTTGCTGGTTCACAAAGATGTTCCTTTAGGAATCAATGTTGCCAGATTCATGCTCCTGGAGACCTTGTGCCGCTGACGGGAGTGACTTGGCCACAGCTGCTGTGGTGACTGGTTCATCGTGACCCTGTCATCTCGGTCGAGGCTTGCTTAGCTTTTCCCAGCTTTGGTATAGACCCAGGGGAACAACTCTAGGACGCGGTCGTATCAGCCAGATCTACTCCACAGTTTGCGCAGGTCAGCGGTGCCATCAAAAGCAGCAATCGGCCTAATTGCAAAGCAGCACGAGAAAGGACGGCAAGCCACGAAGAGCGCTATCATGTGGATGAATGTAGTTCAGCCGTGATATGTAACTGGAGGCTGAGTTGGTGAGTTTCATATCACGCTGACCTGAGGCGCAAAAAGAGCGGGATGTCCAGGAGGCCTTAGGCCGTTCAGGGTAAGTTTCGGTTTCTTGAAACAGAAATCGGAGCTTGCTCTTTTGTCGTGGGGGTTCTCGCGATTCCCAAAGCGTACGCATGTATCCTGCCACTTTTAGTCCCTCTGAGGTCATCTTGGAGCGGCGACTTGTCTACAACCGTGGACGACCAGCATGCAGGCTTAAAGTGACAAAACTCAGATACTGCGCCAATTGCTCTTCTAGTCTTCTTTGTCAGCAGTTCCAAGATCAAATATCAATGCAAAGAATGTCATATCGCATCTCTAGGCAAACTCTCAGAAGTGTCCTGTTGAGCTTTGAGATAGCTGTGTTTGTCAGATGACGTTTCAATAGGTCGGTATAATGAGGCCTAATTGGATCTGGGAGCTTGTTCATGGGCTAAGCTACAGCTCGAGCTTGAGCTGTGTCGAGTTGCTTGAGCCTTTGTGTTCACTCATCTTGTCCCAACATCAGGTCAGGTATATATAGCAGGTCAAGTCCCTATATCCCCATCACGTCTTCGAGCCGTTCAGAAGATATCAGATAACCAAGCTCAGATTACTTCTAGCACAGACGACCGTCATACAGTCCATCCCCCATTGACCCTATTCTTCAAAATGTACACGACTCTCCCTAATGGCATCAAAGTCTTCTATCGGGAAGCAGGCTCTCCAAGCAAGCCCACAATTCTCCTGTTACATGGTTTTCCGTCCTCCTCAAATCAATACCGGAAACTGATCCCTATTCTCGCCGATAAATACCATGTTATCGCTCCAGACCTACCTGGCTTTGGTTTCACAGAAATACCTGCCTTCTTGAACTTCGAGTACACTTTCGCCAATCTCGCTACTACCATCGGAGCCTTCCTTGACGTTCTCAATATCCAGAAATTCGCCGTGTATGTGTTTGATTATGGTGCCCCGACAGGATTTCGCCTGGCGCTTGAGCGGCCGGAGGCCATTACAGCCATCATTTCTCAGAATGGCAATGCCTATGAAGAAGGCTTGTCGTCATTTTGGGATCCCCTTCGGAAACTGTGGGCTTCTGATGCCGGGTCTGACGAGGAGAAGCAATTGCGCGAGATGATCTCGGGCGCCATCTTGTCTTTTGAGGCCACAAAGGATCAGTATCTGAACGGAGAGCCTGAAGCTGAAAAGATTGATGATCCAGCGACATATCATCTCGACTATGCCCTCATGTGCCGGCCGGGCAACAAGGAGATCCAACTTGATCTATTCAGGGACTATGGCACTAACGTCGCACTGTATCCCAAGTTTCAGGCGTACATGCGGCAGAGCAATGTTCCTGTGCTAGCGGTATGGGGCAAGAACGATATCATCTTCCCGCCTTCGGGAGCGGAAGCCTTCAAGAGGGATGTGAAATCCCTGAAACTGGTGTTGTTGGATGGTGGACACTTTTTAGTCGAGAGCCACACGGAAGAGATAGGGAAGTTGATGCTGGATTTCTTGGCCGGGGAGGGGATTTGATCGACTATCAACCGTGGGATGAAAAGACGGATGACATTCGGAAGTACTTGCATCTTCTTAGGTACTAATACACACGAGTAATGTTACAGTCAATAAATGGTGATCACCATCAATGTCAGTGGATTCTGCAATGGTCATATCTATACCAGAACCAAAAGCCCGGTGTTTTTAATTCTGGTGCTCCTTGACCAGAACACGGTGTGGTAAGGATATCTTGGCCGTCCTCCAAGGCGACCTGTGTAATATCGAGACCACTCGATTTCTTGACGGCCTCAGTCCGAGTACGTGTATCCTGTAGGACTAGAAGAAGCATCACGTGGGTACTACATCTGAACATCTGCTGAGTCAGTCAATGCCAAGGAAATCGACTGGCCGATAGTCGATTGGGCTCTAGACCTCGTCGCTGACAAAGTTGGGTGACAGCGACGTTGCAGAGCCCCAATGCCACGAGGGTGAAAGGCCGGGGTGTCTGTGAAGCGAAAGACTCTGTTGGAGGAACAGCTTCAAAGTATAAATACACAGGCATAGTCTGTTCAATGGACTGCCAGAGCATGATCAAAGTAGATTGTGGGAGGAAAAACACTTCGGTTTCTGACGAAATATTGTGCTCACGATGCCAGCCTCGTTGCGCATTGAAATATTCCCATCTGACCTCCAACGGATGATTGACTTCTATTCCACCATCCTCAACTTTGTCTTGATCAAGCGCAATGGCGACTACGCCTACCTCGGGCGCGACAACATCTTCATCGGCGCCATCGAGACAGGATCGACCGAGACGCTTGAAGAGAAGGCAAGTCACCGCCGCCCGATGAAAGGAATTGAGATAGTAGTCGAAGTGGACGACTTGGAAAAGGAGAGAGACTTCATTGTTACCCAGGGATGGAAGCTGGACGCCGACATCCAGTTGCAGGATTGGGACTTGAAGGATTTCAGATTAACCGATCCTGACGGGTACGTGAACTGCCGTTGTCATACATCAGGCCAGTCTTGACATGCTGTTCTATCAGGTACTACCTGAGGTTCACAACACACAGCCCGAAGCGCGATGGGAAGGGCGCATAGCGTGGCACATGGGAAAGCAAGTGTCACATGCGGCTTCTGAGGATCTCCGCAACAAGAGCCTAACAAGGCAGAAGATTTCCCAGATATCCATTTAGAAGGCTATGCTATTCCGCACTTTTGAGGGAGAATGACGAAGTTTGGTGCCGTGGTCCTCGGTCGAAGAGCGCCTTGGGGTGGTTCGTAGCTGATGCTCTTAGTGGTTGGCGTGATCGGGCGTGATTGCTCCCTGTCATTGCTGGTGAGCTGCTGCAAGCGAGGAAGAACCCGGGTCTCACATGGCACAAAGCATCCTTGTAGCAAGTTGTGCTTGTCGTCATACGTCATGATAGAAAAGAAAGACAGCCACAAGTCGTGTCTGTGGTCGGATATAAGTTCCTAAATCTCGAATGACGAAGCCCAATGAGATCCGAGCGCCACAAGCAAGCCACGATCAGCCACAGGCAGCCGCATAGCTTGTGGTATAATTGGCGGAAATTGTTAGCGCAGTTGTGGGTCCTTTCCACCTCATGTCGTCACCCCTCAAATCATGGATCTACTCTTTGTTCAGCTTGACTTTTACCTTCCAAACCCAGGTGGTATCAAGGACGTGTAGGTGGGTGTCAGCAGGTCAGAGGACGTCATAGTATCTCCGAGCGCATTGTGGTGGTCATCGGTGGCAGAGCATCCCGAATGACCTCAGACTGAATCAAGCTGAAATCTTGGACGCGATTTCCTTTGTTTGACTCTCGTCGCGGAGCAATGTGACTGGCTATCCAGGCAACAGAAGTGGGGGATTCGAAGGCAGCCCAAGGAAGGAGTCAATGACCATGAAGAAGGAAGTCACACGTGAAAGTCGTAACGCGGGGCAGCAGGCAAAGTAGGCAAACGGCAGTGACATCGTACGCAGACTCATTCTGCCCGACTATAAGTATCTCTCTCTTCCTCATTCCACTTCCACTTTCTTTCCATCATCCACCAGTACGCCTCTCAAAATCCATCAAAGGTCTCACATCAATCCAAATTCAAATTAAATCACAAACTTCACATCCACAATGGATACCATCAAGAACACTGCCAAGTATGTTGCCGTCCTACGTGTTACCATGTCTTCGTGATACTGATGCTTTTGTAGCTACGTCGGTGACAAGGTCAACGAAGCCACCTCTGGTGCTTCCAAGGAGGCCAACAAGAACGTCGCCAAAGATTCTGACGCATCCCTCGGAACCCGTGCTTCTGCAGCAAAGGATGCCGTTGGTGACAAGATTGACGAGAGCAAGAACTCTGTATGTCCCTCATGACTGTCCCTTTTTGTCACCCAGCTGACAAAATTATAGGCATCCGCTGAGGGCAATAAGCAAGCTGCTACTCACTAGATGTCTCGACTTTGGGATCACTTCTCGACCTACAATACCCTCTTGCAACAGTTCCTAAGAATGTCTTCTTACCTCACGGTCAAGCGGTTGAATGATGGTCAATACACAACCTGGCACTATCTTGCAGGTGGTTTTCACGAGCTTCGGATATGACAACGTATTTCCTATGCTACTCGTGCTCAAGTGAGCAATGGTACCGCATCAGGTAGCTTGAATCAAATGATATTGTAACCCACATATCGTGTTCAGTTGATCGTTTGTGAGATCAATTTGTTGTTTTTCATGTCATCGTGCCAACTAAATCCCATATTTCCACTTATCAGTCAAGTGAATTTGTCCCGCTAGCGATTCGTGTACAGGAGTGTTTTCTTGCGTATAAGCATGTAGACGGTAGTCGATTTTGGTTGTGGTTAGTAGGCGACGCCATCACATGAATCAACCGACTAGGTAAGATATTATATTTTTGATTCACCGTGTCCTCAAGACACCGACATAGTAACAGAGGGATTAATAGTCACATACCAGTCCATGGGAAGAGAATCCCCGCAAGCAAAGCCTGTGGAAGTGAAACATTTCATTTCAGACAATGAGGGGTGAAGCAAAATCCGCTGTGACCTCTGATTTTTCTCCTCCATCCACTGTCACTTTGTTGCAAGTGTCTATCTGAAGACGCGCTTCCTATGGCACGACGGGACTGGACAACAACAACAACAACAACAATTAACATTGGCGCGCCACGAGATCCTGTCAATCACCCATCATCCTCTCCCAAATGTGTTTACGCAGGAAGACCAGATCAACAACGCAACACCACCCACCACCACCACCATGCAACGGCGGGCCCGTGGCCGTTCCTCCTACTCGTCCTCGTCGTCGTCGAACGAGACGGTTCTCGAAGCGTGCTCCTCCCCGCCGTCAGGGTACGCTCTAGCTCTGGCAGATGGCGTGCAGGGCACGTTGCCATCGCAGACGTCGATCGCGGCGCTGTCGCGACGCCTTGCTTCCAACCCACCGAAGGCCGCCGGCAGGACAGGTTACAGTCATAATGTTGCGAAAGAAAGGACCGTCCCTGGAGAGAAGAAGGCACAAGATATCGAGGGGAACGATGCACACGGACACGATGACTCGGAAGAGTCGATTGATTGGGACGCGGACTCGGATGAAGACACCGTTCACAACGCACCTCAGCCTCGTCGAGTCGTGAGACGTGCCAGGTTACCACAGACCATGGGCTTCCACATGGACTGGTGGATCGCGCGTGTAGCCACGGCGGCGGTCAATGTGAGTATCCTCACCCTCTCTCTTCACCTCCTGTCTCAAAAGGGCTTTCGCAATTCTTATGAGTTTGGCCTCCACTCCATTTCGCTCGCGAGAAAAATCCGAAATGCTAACCTCGGTCGGTGAGTCTCTGTAGCTGGACTTCAAAGTTCTGTGTGCCAGTATGATGTTGTGGAGGGAGAAGAACGAGGTGCTGCAAATCCCCACCTCTCGTACGAAATCTGTACCACGGACGGCGGGGCAAGGAGACGATTCTTGCGCAAACTCACTATTGTCGCAGAACACCCGGCGGTCACCCTCGCAAGGCCCACTACTCTTCGAAGGCGCGCACCGATCCTCCGCGTCAATGTTGGACTGGGATGTTTTGCTGGAAAGCATCACGCGAGCGAGCGAGCTGATGCATAGGAACCGCAAGTGGAGGATCAGAGGAAAGAAGAATGCCGCAGGCTGGTGTAGATGGGGGGCTGGACGACGGATATTTCACAGAGGCGAATTCGTCGAGGAAGCCGAGGTTGGATATGAGGTAGAAAGGGAGGTAGACGGCCAGACATGGATGATCAAGCTGGGATACCGGAGGAATGATGCGGTAGTGGAGGACATGGATCTGGACGGCGGAATGGGTAGTGCTGATGAGACTATTGCTGCTGAGCAGGACGCTGGCGGCGAAGAAGTGCCCCAGAAGACTTTGGACAGCCTTGTAAGAAGCAACAGCGATGGCGTCGACGTCGTGATGGGAGAAAGCCCTGTTCGGTGACAAGCATTTGGTTAGGCATTCTCTGCATTCCACCTGACACAGTCTTCGAATCTGGCTCCACTTCCGCCAAAAATGTCCAATGCACTGCCGATGGTCAAATCGACCTTGCCTTGACTACATTGCTTCACCAGATCCAGATCCGCCACCGTGCGGGCGCCGCCAGCATATGTCACCGGTATCGTGCACCAGTCGGATAACCTCGTGACGAGCTCTGTATCGATGCCCTGCTGAAGACCTTCGTTGTCGGCTGCATGGATGAGGAATTCCGAACAATAGGGCTCGAGCATCCTGATGCTCTCTGCGGTTGGGTTTGTGTGAGCGTATGGAAATGGGGAAAACAGCCACATCGCGAGGGATCCATACCTCTGGTGATCTCCATCTCGGTGATGGTCTGCCATTTGTTCATGGCGACGAACCACGTATCGCCCTTCCTCCTGCAGCTGAGGTCGATGACGAGTTTGTCCCTGTCGTCTCCCAGCTTCGAGAGCACGGATTTCAGTCGATCCAGGGAAAAGCGGCCGCTCGGAAACAGGAACGACGTGATAATGACCTACTGCTTATTGTTTGAGCGTTAGGGATATCTGTTATTTGGGGGGGAGGACGAATGGGAGTAGATGCGAGCTCGGCGATGATGATGCTGATGGGCAGATGAATCAGTCGCCTTGTGCTTACCTTCTCGGCGCCAGCGTCGATCCATTCCTTTGCGTTGGCGTCGGTGATGCCACCACCCACCTGAAGGCGTCCTGGCCAGGCGGCGAGAGCCTCCTTCGCAGCCTGTTCGTTACCCGGCCCCAGCATGATAACATGAGCGCCCGACAGATCGGCGTCGCGGTAGAGAGTCGCAAAGTGTCCAGCCGGATGGTGCGAGATGTAGTTGGTCTTCAGCTCGGATTCCTGGGCGCTCAGGGTGCCGCCGACGATCTGTTTGACCTGGCCGGCATGGAGGTCAATGCAGGGTCGGAATCGGGTCATGGAGGAGGAAGTTTCTGTAGCGAATGGACCGGTGATGTTTCAAGATCCCCCGTTCTGAGCTGGAGGGTCACCGATGTTGTATAGATAGGAGGCGATGTAGGATTACAGTGCAATTATTGAGGGAAGTGGGGGATTTAGACAAATTTTTTCCCAGAGAAGATCAAGTATTGATTCGGATCTCCGCAACGGAGTAATAGACATACTGACTGACATCTGGTCGTCGTCGTCGTGGTTTGCACTGATAATCTACTCTCGCTAGACCTAGTAGACCTCCTCGTCTCACTGGCATCCTCTTCCTTGCTCACGAGGTCAATGAGACAGCCGTGCTTTTGTGCTGGTGCTTCTCCTTCTGCCGCCTAGTCCCCTCCCGCTTGTAGTAAGCAGTGTACCCTGCTCCTTCGACATTGCCGGCGGTGCGTCCGAGTCCAGGTCTATAATGTGCATGGAGTGACACTCGAGTCATCTCACCGTACGGCCAATAGTGAACGCCCTCTGATTTTCTGTTCCCAAACCCATTAGAAGCGCCAAACTTGATCCAAAGGACTGAAGAGGAGCAAGGCACTGGCAGGGCTGGTTGAGCTGCGGTGTGACTGCGGCACACGAAAGATTCCGCCAATCAAAATTCGACGCGTTGGGGGCGCATGGGAAACTGGAAACTGGAAACTTTTTGGATCAGCCCCGAATTCTGTACGATGCCGTCAACAGTGCCATTTTCCAACTCTGACTCTGGCATTAAAGTATCACATCGACGCCTCGTTGTTGAGTCTACATCACCAAAACCTGTTCTCAACCATGTTAGGGAAGCGGAAACGGGAAGTCGCTGTTACGACCCGACAAAGATTGCGCCCTTCCGACCAGGAAGACGACGAACGACAGACTCTCACAACGCCTCTCGACGCCGATCGAGAAATATTCCGCAAATATTTCGAGTCCGCTTTCGAACCTCTGCCAGAGATTGAGACTACTGCGCTCGCTGCGCCAGAAAAGGAGGAAGAGGAAGAGAGTCAAGGCGGCGTAGGGGACACTGGTTTGGTCGAGGAAGAGTCGGAGTGGGATGGCCTCTCAGATTCAGGGCACCAGGACGGCGCGGTTGAGGTTGTGGAACATCGCGCAGCCAGTGACCCGGCAGAAGAAGCTAAGACTCGTAGACAACACTACAAGACCTTCATGGTGAGGAGGGAGTCCCTACTTCGACTGAGTGGTTACAACTTTGGACTGACCCCTGCGACAGAGTTCCCGGCCCCCAAAGGAGATACAAGGTGTAGTCACCAAAGATTCAGCCAGGCAGGGCGACGATGATGACGCTGCCGAAGCCTTGAATCTCAAACATGACCTTGACCTTCAACGACTCCTGAAAGAATCCCATCTACTCGAGCAAGCAAAGGCATCACCCACACTAGGATCCCATCGGCACAAGATGGTGGACATGCGAATGCAGGCCTTGGGTTCAAAGGGGTCCATGTTTCATCAAGAGAAGATGCCACTGGCGCATAGAAGGGGGATCCTTGCGAAGGCGGCAGAGCGTGAGGCTAGTCGAAGAAAGGAGGCCCAGGAGAATGGCATCATCCTGGAGAAAGCCTCGGGAAAAACGAGGCCCAAAGACACCCGAAGAGAGCGTGGCGTCGATGTCCCTGCTGTGGGCAAATTTCGAGGAGGAACTCTGACGCTCAGCAAGAAAGACGTCTTCGATATCCAGGGACAGGGTTTTTCTAAACCCCGTGGCAAGACTCGACGACGATGATGATTATGTCTATTCACCGCCTGATTTCGACTGCATACATCTTGTAAAGAGAAGAGAAGTCAGCTCCATTTGCAGTATTTCTTCTCCTGCGCCCTCCGCACTTCGAACAGAGGGAATGTTGGCTTGTGCGAGGCACTCGCTACCTTACCAAGATCTCTGTTCTGCTGATATCACCTTTTCGCTAGGCTCAACCGGAAGTGTCTCTTTCTCCGGCGCTCACTCGCATGTCCCTAAAGATCCCCAGAGAAGAAAGGGCGGGCATTTGTCATGGACAAAGTGACAATGACTTGTCGTAGCGAGCTCTTCCGAGGGCCAGCAGCACAGTCTGAAACACGTAGCTTGCTTTTTCCACTCCTCCTAGCGGCTTAAGTCAAGCATGAGTTCTGATGTTACACCATTGCTTCAGCCTTGGCTCAGTAGGGTAGAAGGCCTGCGCCGATAATGGAAGTGCTAGACGAGCGTCTGGGGACTCTGCTCTCTGGATTGTTTCACATTGACCTGGAGTCGGCCTGGATGAGTTCTGGGCAACAAACATCCCGGCCAGGTACTCAGTACAGCAAGTGGTGATAGCTGTCGCTGACTGTCCCGAGCTGCTCCCATCTAGATTCTGTCCCCGGTCCCTTCGCTAGGGCGCAATAGCCATTTGTCGGAGATTTGCTAGGATTGGCCATGTTCGCCGCAATTGCGCCACCTTTTCGCCGTTGGTAGAGACCTCAAGCGCAAGACCAGGAGCTTCTGTATGTTTCAAGAGTCATGGACGTCCACGAGATCAATGGAAGGCTTATTCCCCAAGCTTGTTGAATGCCACGAATCGCGTATTTGAACCATTCCTCAAATTCCTTGCAGAATCGATCGGCTCTCAAGGTTTGGGGGCTTCGTAAAATCGCATAAATGAGTGGCCAACGAGAGCGTGCTGTAGACAGCTGCAGTGATGATGTGCATCCTGAGTCTTGGGTGTGATGGTCGGCCCAATCACTTCAGCCTCGGAGAAAAACCCATCTCGGGAAGCCAGTGACATTGGAGTTGACATCTCTCAGGGCTTAAGGTTTACCCCTTTTGTGACTAATGTGGCTGTCGAGGCGTGCAGAACCTGAAACATAGCACCATCGGTCGGCCATTTTTAGGGGGAGTGGCGCGTGCGTCGAGATTCTGGAGCCGGTGAAAAGCCGACTAGGTAAAAAGGGCCATCGTCGAGACTGAGCTTCGATAAGCTATCACCATCCATCTTTTGGCACGCCTCGACTCGTAAAGTCCTGATCTGAAACCGTTGGTCAAGCGAGGTCGACCGATGGCTGTCCGCGCCAGTTTCAGTTCCATCGTGGTCAGCTGGATTTGACCAAGGACCGGGGAGAGCGCGAAGACACTCGAATTGTAGTACCTCGTACGTACGAGATACAGTAGAGACCAACCATTGTCAAAAGATGGTGAGTAGCAAGGATTGTGGAGCTGTGTGTGACTGTGGTCAGCTAATGAAGTAGCATTCATTGGTGTGCGGCGAAGGAAGACAAAGTCGAACGCAGACGTCTGGACCAAGTCCGTCACGTGTTCTGCGCTGCGATTTGCTCGCCCCTACGCACACCATCGACTCAAGTCAACAGCGAACACACCAATCACGCTGGCAAGACGAAATGTATTTTTTTGGGTTCCTGCGATGCTCCTTTTCTGTCGGACATTATTCCAAGCCTTCGCACCTTCGAGATGATATGGTGGCTGACCAGGATTTACCACGAGCAAGCGTTCGGGGTCGTCCTTATCGTTGGTGCCCTCGTTGAACCTTGACATACTCATACTCCCACGTCGTATCTCCGCAGTGTCATCGCGTGAGTTAAGCAATGGTTGATGAACCTGCACATGCATGAACCGCATCCGGTGAAGAAATGGATACAGACAATCACGCTTATGGGGTCGGGGATTTTCTTGTGTCAAGCTATTGAAGATCATCTCGCTATTGGCCATACCTGAAAAGGGGGCAGACATGGAAGATTCAAACTCATGGGACCCCCATCTTGCATTGGGTTTCGTTCCGAATTTTTCCCTGCGAAAGGTTGCAGTTGTGGGCGTCCAGAGGTCGGAAGCAAACTGATCCCAGCGTCAACAAGGATAATCGTGGAATCCCATCCCATGAATGCGGATGTCGGCACCTCAGCATACAGGGTCTACGAGTCTACGACCTTGTCCCGCGCCTGTTTGAGATGTGTTTCTGAATAACCAAGCCGTTGGTTGAATGGCATTTGGCGCCAGAGTGGGCGGACAGTAGTCCAAGACAACCGCCAATGCGAGACTATTCGTCCAAGCGATCCGCCGTTCCTAGCCACTCGTTTCATCAGTTCACGACTTCAACGTTCACACTGCATGATTCAGCGAGACGCTGACCGAGGGATAGACTCCTCCGCTGGTGCGATAACCCCTCTTATACGATCAAAATAGCAACCTGCCCGTGCTCATGAGCTCCGCCATTTGTCTTGTCCGTAACCATACCGAGGAATACTATGGTGTTTTGTGGATATGAGTTGCACTGGCAGACTTTACACATCTTTCCGGCAAAGGTATGGATTCCGAGTACCGTCGCCGCGATTTCGCTTCGACGAGCACGCAGTTGCCACGGAGGTCCTACAACACCACGGGTCAAAGTAAATATCTCACCTTTTCTGGAAACGGAACATCGGGTGCAGTATGTTTCAGTCACCCGCCAGATCGAGCCGCAAGGTTACTACTGCATAGATCACGGATTTTGCAAATCCCGAAGACAGATGGCTGGAAGGTTTCCGGGGGCGGAGCAGATGTGGTACGTGGTGGTGACGGTCAACCCAGACAAGTTCTTGATCCCTGAAGGGAGAAGAGATCAACAACCAAAGCAACAAGTAGTGGAGCAAGTGTATTGGTACCTGTTCTAGCGTGGATTTTCTTTGGAGTGGGACAGGAAAGACAGGCTAAGGAGCGGCTACTGTGAGCTTTCGGCGCAAGCGAAAAGAGCAAATGCCAGGAACCAAGGGGGACAAGGTCGCCATTCAGCCGCCCCCTTGACTGTCGAGGCGGCAAGCTGGGCTCCAATGTTATGCGGTTATACGATAGGGAGTCTGACCAGGTCGGTGCCTGGCATCCCTTGGACAAAGAGCTGGCTGGACGGGCCGGGAGGAATGGCATTAATTGGTGCTACTGTGTGCTGAGCACAGGTGTTGCCCTCCCTTTACCTTCCATGGCGCCCAGGCCTGCCTAACAAAGCTGTCATCCGTACCTGTAGAATACCTGGTACCCTGTTCAAGATTTTCCTCGGGCGGGTTTCTTAGGCTCATAGGCCTGCTGCCCGCCTGTACCCTAGGCTGGAGCTAGTGGGGGAAAAGGATTAGCGGGGACCGCGCTGTAGGGGAACTAGGGGACTAGTATTAGAGACCCAGCGCCCACAGCTTTTATCCGCGCCCGCAGCCTGTCTCTTTTCCCTCTCCTCCTCACTGCTCGGTCGTGTCTGTCTCTCGCTTCCTCGCTGGTCCCGGTCTCACCCTTCGACTCTCCCTCTCTAACCTTTTCCCTCTTTCACCTCTTATTCCCTCTGCACCTCTATCACTCCTCGAATTTGTTTCACCTCTTTTGTTGCTACAGCATCCTCCCTGTGCTTCTTCCTTGTCGACCTTCACTTCCTTTACTCGGCTTTGCCCTGAGGACTTTTGAGAGACTAGCTTCTCTCCTTACCCACTTTCGTTTCACCTGTGCTCGCTTCTCAGGAACTCGAGACAGGAGCTCTACCACGTCTGGACGTTTTGCGAAGCTGGTCTCTCGCACTGACTCCATTTACATCATCGACACGTTCGCTATACACGTCGCAATCCTCCAGCTGCTCAATTATTTGTGGTTCAATCCCTCGCCCAGCGAGTCTTTCCCCCTGCGCAGCCGGCCTCCCTTGCCGCGACGAAAAACCAAGAACCATTCGCCTTAGTTGGAACAGGAAGATAGACTCTGATATACTATATTGCATGAGTTGAGGAACCAACTTTGACTCCGAGTCAGTGAAGACAGCCAACACTCCCCCGCATATTTCCGTCGACGCTTGGACAGTGTCGACGATTTCCCCCTACCGCCGCGATGTTCCCCTCGAGTGGTGCACCAATGGCGCAACCTCAGAAGCCAGAGACATTTATGCTCTCAAACGAGGCACAACAAAGCTTGCCCCAGGATGCGCAAGTCGCCCTGCAGCAGGTAGACAACCTCAAATATTTTCTCATTTCTGCGCCGGTGGACTGGAGTCCCGACTCTCTCATTCGCAGATTCCTCCTCCCCACAGGTGAATACGTTTCCTGTGTCCTATGGAACAACCTATTTCATATCTCCGGCACCGACATTGTGAGATGTCTTTCCTTCCGGTTTCAAGCATTCGGCCGACCGGTCAAAAACCCCAAGAAGTTCGAGGAAGGAATTTTCTCCGACCTGCGCAACTTGAAGTCGGGCACAGATGCATCTCTGGAAGAACCCAAAAGCCCATTTTTGGACTTTTTGTACAAAAACAATTGCATTCGGACGCAAAAGAAACAAAAGGTCTTTTACTGGTACAGCGTACCCCATGACCGCCTATTTCTCGATGCCTTGGAGAGAGACCTAAAGCGCGAGAAGATGGGTCAAGAGGCGACAACGAAAGCTGTAGCGGAGCCAGCGCTTTCATTCGAATTCGACTCTTCGCAGTCGCTGTTCGAGCAACTCACAAAGGCTCAGCAAGCTAGTTCGTCGTCGTTCGCAACCGCAAATGCAAATGTGAACTACTCCCAGTCGACCTCGCCCGTCTTACGAGCAGCGGACTCAATGCCCCCTCCAATGGTGCCTCCTCAGATGCCACGCTCCCAAGAGCAGCCGCAGACCATGTATACTAGCATGAGCATGCAAAACAGCCTCCCAACCCCCCTTTCCACGACGGCGATGTCTCGAGAGCCGGATTTCTCTCAGGTCGCCTACGATCGCGCACACATTCGCCATGCCTCTATGCCCGCATATATGGAGTACTCCCCAGCTCCCTCATTCGTATCCTCACACTTTGAGGACTATAGCACTCGCGGCCTCTCATATGAACCTATTACACCCCCACAACATGCCATGCATGGCGCTGAGCCTGCATATATCGCCAACGAGGACACTGGTCTTTACTCTGCTATCCCAGAGATGCAGCCGATGCAGTCTTACAATCCCATGGCTTCATTGCCGCCTTCTACTCTCGCAGGGCCACTTCATGTAACTGCACCGCGACCGTTTCCTCCTACAAATGTCTACTCGGTAATTGAAGGATCTCCGACCTACAAAGCAAGGAGACGGCGCTCGTCGATTCCATCGTCCATCATGAATGCGGTGGCTGCGAATGCCGTTGCCCAAGTTACTCACGGAATAAAGACACATCTCCCTCAAAGGCCAAGCGATCTCCGTCGGTCTATGTCGAGCTCTGTCTTGCCTATTGCGGAAGGCGACGAGTCCGGAGACCAGTCTCCTCCTGGCCTTGCCCACAGCTACGCGTCGTCGGTTGTCAACCGTGATCACGTAACTGATTTCTCCCGGCGAAGCACGCCGTTACCAAGCCTCGAAGAAGACCCGACGCACTCGCTTGGAATGTCGGCTGGCACTGAGCCTATGCCAAACCTCATGGGAGACGATATGCACATTCACTCGCTGCAAGCTAGCCCCGCAGTCCGGTTAGAGCGGCCAGGTCCCGTTCGCAGAGCACGAAGTGCAACCATGATGGAGCTTGGTGTACCCTACAAATCCCACTCATGTCCCATTCCCAGCTGCGGGCGGCTTTTCAAGCGCCTCGAACACCTCAAGCGGTATGCCTGAACCTCATGTAACCTGGTTTCTGCGCTTACTAACACGAGTTTCTTAGACATGTTCGAACTCATACTCAAGAACGTCCCTATGTCTGCCCTTACTGCAACAAAGCGTTCTCACGATCCGATAACCTGGCCCAGTAAGTAGACGCATAACCCGAGTTTCTGCGTCTAAACTAACAATCTGTAGACACCGTCGAACTCATGAATCTCAACAAGATGGGCAACCTGCTCCTGTGACCAGCGAAGAAGAAATGGAGACCGAAGAGAACGATTTCGGATCCATGGACGAACTATCGTCCCCGGATGAAGTTACCCGCCCAACCAGCGTGTCTGGCATGATGGCTATGTCTATGCCACCTCCCTCAACGCTGGTCATGCAACCAATGACCTCTCAGCCAATGATGGCCCCCAGTCAACTTGTTCAACCCTCGATGCTGCAGAACCTGTAGACTTGAGACATGCATGTCAGCAGCTTAGTGATTCACCTGCGAGACCGGAAAAGGAGATTCTTATGCTTTTATTGTTTTTGCCGCGAGTGCCGTCTGATACCTGGAAAGGAAACGCGACCACGCGCATGACGACCCAGAGCCCGATGCATTTGGGAGGTTACGAGGCGGCGGGCAATTGGTGAGGTCTTTTGATGTTGGACAGCGCCCTCGATAGGAAGCTGAAGGGTTGCATTCTTCCCCTTGTATTTTGTTCCTCGTCTTGTGTCAGATGAGAAGAGTCATCTTTGTCACCTATGAGGGCTTGAGCTTTGGCGATCTGCTGGACCAACTGTACATATAGCCGCATTTATTTATGTTTCATCTAGCCTATGAAAAGGGGACCAAAACAATACCTTTTTTTTTTAGCGTCGAATCAATCTTTCTATTTGCCTGTATTCATATTTGGTATGTCCTTTTCAGACTTTGGAGCATCGTTGCAGGGCTTCTACTCCCCGGCTCTATAACGCAGGTTCATGAACCGACGGCGAGAGAAATTCACGCCAGACCGGGGCACTCCTTTTCTACATGAATTGCAACTGGCGTCAGTCTATGGTCCCTCATGTGTATCGCATATCGTGGCGTAAAACCGAAATGATCCTGCCCATTGCCACATTTCTGTCTTCTATCTGCTGGTGAAAGTGGCGACTGTCGGAATCGGTAGTGTTGAGAGATTGCACTGGACGGCCGACACCCTTTGGACGAGATGGACTGTTTTGATGGCCGGAAAATTGAATCATGTCCTGAGATTACACCTGGGCAGGAGCGGTAGTTATCCAATACATATCATCCTATAGGCCAAGGAGGAGTAGTGGTGTCGGTCGTCCACCCCGAGGGGAATGCTCCGGATATTGTGACCCTTCCTCATGTCCGTGCACCACTACCTCGCCTCCCCACAACGACTTGATCGTCCTGGTCATCCTCATCAGAATCATCGCGGAATCCTTCCTCCAACTCTCGACTTAGTCGTCGGTTGGAGTCTGATTCGTGTTGTCCTCCCAAACCACCGTTGCGACTCACAGTCCTGGTGGCAGCATCCATGTTGGAAACCTGCCTCTCCATGGCATCTCGCCTGCGGTTCCGCTCCTGAGCGTCAAATCCCACCATCGCCTCACCGGATTCTTCATCAAAGAGAGTGCCGTCGTCTGCGCTAACAATGCTGTTCGACCGGCCGTGTGAGGTCCGAAACGCCCATGTTGAGGGCATAAAAATTCGGGTAAAGAGTGATGGTAGTATGTTGCGGAGCTGAGCAGGTATTACCGAGTTGAGGACGCGGGTGGAGAGAGAAGCGGAGGCGGACTGAACAGACTCGAGCGGCAGAGGCAGGTATTGTGAATACCGCGCACGATGGCGGCGATACAGAGGCAGTAAGGCGTAGAAGACCACGAGGTAGAGGATTAGGGAAATGAACAGAGGAAGGAGAATCGTCTGTACCACCGGTCAGTCCTGTCAAAACTCCCGCTTGCTTTTAAATGGGAACTCATACCCTGGAGAAGTTCAAGAAACCCGACCCAGCCATCGTGCTGTCGGCGACTGTGGTGCTGACAGGAGCTGGCGGTGCGTCTTCGGTGTTAACAATCGTGCTGGGCAGCGAGCGCCTCAAGAGAGAGCCCATTTTCACGCCGCCATGTTCGGCGGCAGATAGGGAACGGGAGGGCAGGTCGCGGTATATACACGGAAGTGGTATGGAGTGAGGTGTCCAAAGGTAGTGCCCGTCGTGAGATTAGCCGCAGCCAAATCTGGCAAGCTTGGTGTCCAGACTGTAGCCAGGAGGAGGGGCTGTTCGTCGGTTGGAGGCGAATCGGTAACTCTCTCAAGGTGTGGCACGGGCGCCTGAACACTTGTCCAATCTTGTCCTCTGCGGCGTCTTCGAAGGTCTTGTCGTCTGCAGCAGTTGTCGAGCGGGTACAGGCGTTAAGTATTAGACCTTGAAAGTCAAGAGTCCGGGACACGGGTAGCAAAGGATTCCGAGGACACAAAGCGACTGTGATGACTTGGGACATCCTTCTCAGGGAAACTCCGTGCCTAAGTACAGTACATTGGCATGGTGTATCGCGTGCATGAGCAGGAGTTGAGATTGGCTTAGCTGAGGGATTGAGTGAAAGGGATGGAAGGCCACGTACCCGGTTAGTGGGTGATGATCCCAGGTGAAAGAGCCTAGGGGACGTCTGTGGTGGGCATCTAGTGGAAAGGCCAACCCCCTACTGGCCGCCGCCTGGGGGCAGCCGTTGACCATGGCCATTGGTCCCTTGCGCTGCCGCCACGGCCGCTTAAGCAATCAAGTGCACCGAGAACACCGCCAAACATGATTGTTGATTCAACCCCTGGCAGGAAGGCACCAAGCACCTGTGGCGCCCACCAAACTAAATCCACAACGCCCTAAAACTAAGGACAAGTTGAGATCCATCATTTGCTGGCCTGGCTGGGTGGTTCTTGGACGGGTCGGGAGACTGCGATGCACACTTGACGGGGCTCTGGTACGTTTGATTCATCGTCCACCATCATCACCACGATTCCTTGCCCTCACAAACTTCTTGGACAAATGACGCCCACCTGAGCGGCGGTGTTGATGTGTCCTTCGTCTTCGTTTGAGAGCCAGCGTTCTTCCCTCTCGCTTTATCCTGTCTTTTTTCGCTCGCCCTCACTTGGTTATAGCGCTCACTGACGTCCGCAGCCAATAAATACGCCGTTTCATTGTCTGCACCAGCGCCCAATTGTTTATCGCCTCGCCAGCTGAACGATTCTGATTTCTCTTTGTTCGACAGCATCTTGCGACGGTTTTGGCTGGCACACGTGCCCGCCGCGTTGCAACCCGATATCTCTTGGATTGGACTTGGTGTATCAGTCTCAGAAAGTGCAGGGCACCATGCAAGGATAGGACCCGCCAACCGCAGCCGAATCCGAGAGCGTCACAGAATCAGGGCTATTTGGAAAAGAGGAGGAGAAAAGTCTCAAAGAGGTGGACTTTCCCAACTTGGGGGCCATAACGATCGCATCTAGGTACACATGCGTCCTGTTGGCCTGCCTGCGCGCCACCGAGTATGCCCCAGATAATCCAGAACGACAAGACGACCAGACAGTCGTCCGCGAGCAAAGGTTTCTTCAGACGCAATCGAGATACAAAGGCCGATAGTCGACACGAAGGAAGCGGTAGTCTCGATTCCTCCCACACGAACGGCTCCTGGGGCTCCCGCCATTCGAAAAGAGAGTCGGTAACCTCCAACGATGGCCAAGATCCTGATAACTTAGGTCTGGCCATGACCGCCGGGGTTATCACCTCCATCCCTTACTCTGCCACGACGACGGGTGGGCAAGCACCAGTGACGGTGGATTACCTTCCTAGAGATGACCAAGTACCAACCCGAAAAGAGCCACAACCGTACCAACTTGCGAGAGGGTCTGATTTCCATCAATACCCTGCCATCAATGGAATATCAAACGGGTCATCACACCCAACTGGGCCCCGACCGCCTCCCCAGTCAACCACTGCAAGTGGTATTACAATGGCGTCTAGTCAGGCTGGGGATCGAGGCACAAAATATCAACAATGGGGACGGCCAGGAAGCAGCAATGGTCCCCAGCACGCCACTTACGACTCGGTATCAACGAGCGACTCATACTCTGGGTCGGGACAAAGGAGGTCGTTTGACGGTGCCAGTATAAAGTCAAGTGCCTCCACAGCCACACGAGGTTCCAGTCTGTTTTCCTCGGACAACTCGTCACGAACTGCAATGCCTCACCGGCAGGATTCAGACTCGTCTGTGACCGTAATTTCTCCTACACATTCGAGACTTTCAAAGATCAGTTCACATTCGGGCTGGCCCACTCAGCAAGCCCCGCCGTTCAGCTCAACTACTTCCTTTACTCCAGCCGGGTTTTACCTTCCGAAACCTCAGAGTGATGCAGAAATTGAAAAGTTGTTTCTACAGTTGATGCACAAACGTGGTTGGCAGAACCTTCCCGAGCAAGCCAGGCGACAGATGATGGCATATGCACCCGCAAAGAAATGGACTCTTGTGCATCAAGACAAATTGACCGAATGGCAAGGTGAGCAGAAAAGGAGGCAGCAAGCAAAGCTGACCCCAGACGGCCCCATACCTAAAGATGTCGAGGGCACTCCCGAGTGGTATGTCAAGCGGATTTTGGACAACAGCATTACGGCCAAACAGTTACAAAGTCTGAGTGTCAGTCTACGAACCCAGCCCATCATTTGGGTTAAGGCGTTCATCGAAGCACAGGGACAAATCGCCTTGACCAGTGTCCTCATGAAGATAAACCGGCGTCAAGCTAACGGCCCGACGCCCGTCAGTTCTATTACTTCGACCGACAAGGACTTGGACAGGGAATATGACATTGTCAAGTGTCTAAAGGCGTTGATGAACAACAAATACGGTGCTGATGATGCTTTGAAGCACGAGCAGATACCGGTTGCTCTCGCGACGTGTCTCATTTCTCCCAGGCTTACCACGAGGAAACTGGTTAGCGAAGTTTTGACGTTCCTTTGCCACTGGGACCAAGGCCAGGGCCATCTAAAGGTGCTGCAAGCCATGGACTTTGTCAAGAACCAAATGAGCGAGAACGGACGCTTTGACGCTTGGATGCGCATTGTCGAAGTTACCATAGATGGCCGGGGCAAAATGGGCAGTCTGGTTGGGGCAAGCGAAGAAGTCCGGAGTGGTGGCATCGGTATGGAAAACCTTCTGATGGAATATGCTGTGGCCACGCTTGTCCTGATCAACATGTTGGTGGACGCCCCTGACCGGGACCTGCAATTACGATGCCACATCAGAGCTCAGTTCATTGCTTGTGGGATCAAGCGGATACTGGTGAAGATGGAGTCTTTCCAGTACGACGTGATTGATAAACAGATTGCGAAGTTCCGTGAAAATGAGGCGATCGACTACGAGGATCTGCTCCAGCGTGAAGGAAGCAGCATGGTCGAGAGCATTGAAGGGGAGGTCAAGGATATGACGGATCCAATGCAAATCACAGACGCCATCATGTCCAAAGTCCACGGCACACGAACACAAGACTACTTCATTTCGGCCATGCAGCACATGTTGTTACTTAGAGAGAACAATGCAGACGAGCGGTTGAGAATGTTTCAGCTCGTGGACTCCATGCTCAGCTACGTGGCCATGGACAGGCGGCTGCCAGATATGGATCTGAAGCAGAGCCTGAACTTCACCGTCCAGAGCTTGCTGGATCGCCTACATACCGACGACGAGGCCCGAATCGCCTTTGATGAAGCCACGGAGTCGAGGCAGATCGCCGAAGCTGCCCTTGCCGAAAGGGATGAAATGGCTGCGCAGATAGCCATGGGTGCTAATGGCTTGGTCAAGAAGCTGCAGAAGCAGATCGAAGAACAAGCTGGCATCATTGAAATGCAGTCCAGGCAGGCCGAGTCTCTTAAGTCGGAGGTTGCTGAGCTGCAACGGATCCGGGCCCAAGAATTGCAACGCAATGAGTTAGAGACGCGAGAGCTTTATCTCATGCTTCGGGATGCCCAGGATGTGGCGGCTTCACGAGCTGCCAAAGAAGGCTCTGTTTCTCAAGACCCTGCTCAATTGGCAGGTATTCTGGACCGGGAGAAGTTGATGGAGCGCCTGGAACGCAACCTTGAGCGAACCAAGACACAATTCAAACTAGAAGGCAAAGTTTGGGGCCAGACAGGGCCTTCCGATCGACTTAGAGAGCTTCGTGAAAGGATGGACGACGCAGTTGATGCCGATTTCCAGGAGCAGACACGGCGACATCTCACCAACAGCGTCATGGGCAGTGTCCATCGCAGCAATGCCCATAAGGGCCCTCGGAGAGCTGCGGTCGAGGCCCTCGCGATCAGCGAAGAAGCAGAGCAGGATTCAGATATGGAAGAAGATGTCATCTTCGAAAAGCCGCGACTTGTCGAGTACAAACGACCCAAGATCTCCGCCGAGCAACAAAACCAACAGAGCAATCTTCTCGACGAACTTGCCTCAAAGGTCAAGAAGATCGACGACGAAATCGACGAGGTCGCAGGAGAAGGAGACGATGCCGGTGTTACAACTGGACCAACCCATCCGAGCCTTGAGTCCGAGTCTCCTAGGACTCCTCTTGACGAGGGACAAGCACAGCAGACTACAGAGGAGGCCCAATTCAATGGGCCACCTCCTCCGCCACCTCCTCCCCCCCCTCCTTCGTCTGCTTCTTTGATCGCCGGGTTCGAAACAGGAGCGCCGCCACCTCCACCGCCACCACCACCTCCACCCCTCCCCGGCATGCCCATGTCTCCTGCTACGCCATCCATGCCAGGCTTCACTGGCGGCCCACCTCCCCCTCCACCGCCTCCTCCTGGCTCTCTCCCTATGAGTCCATTGTCACCCATACCCCCGCCACCCCCTCCGCCCCCGGGTGCTCCAGCTCTCCCTGGTGCTCAGCATGGGCATTTCTTACCTCAGTCTCCAGTGCTGCCTGTGCCTGTGCTTAAGAATCCAATCATGCGACCGAAGAAGAAACTCAAAGCCTTCCACTGGGACAAAGTTGATACGCCTCAAGTAACTGTTTGGGCAGAGACTGTGAATCCTGAGTCCAGGGAAGAGAAGTACCGCGAATTGCAGCGCAAGGGTGTCCTTGATGAGGTTGAGAAACTGTTCATTGCGAAGGAGATCAAGATCATTGGCGGAGCAGGCAGCAAGGGTAAGAATGACAAGAAACAGATCATCAGTACTGACATGATGAGGAACTTCCACGTCTCTATGGCCAAGTTCAAAAATGATTCGGCGGATGAGGTGGTTCGGAAGATTATCCAGTGCGACAAGGAGGTCTTGGACAACAACGTGGTCATGGATTTCCTTCAAAGAGAAGATCTTTGCACCATTCCCGAAAACATCGCTAAACTCATGGCTCCCTACAGCAAAGACTGGACCGGGCCTGACGCCTTGACTTCGAAACGAGAGCAAGATCCATCAGAGTTGACAAGAGAAGATCAGATCTACCTCCAGACGGCCTACGAATTACACCACTATTGGAAAGCTAGAATGCGAGCGCTGGCTTTGACACGAAGTTACGAGCAAGAATACGATGAGATTTCCGGCAAGCTGAAGGATGTTGTCAATGTTTCGGAAGCTATTCGCGACTCAACTTCTCTCATGAGCGTCTTGGCCCTCATTCTTGATATCGGAAACTACATGAACGACTCAAACAAACAAGCCTCTGGCTTCAAACTGAGCTCCCTTGCGCGACTCGGCATGGTAAAGGATGACAAGAATGAAACCACGTTCGCCGACCTTATTGAACGCATCGTTCGCAATCAGTATTCTCAATGGGAGGGGTTTGTGGAGGACATCGCTGGTGTCATTACTGCGGCCAAACTCAACGTTGACCAACTGCGACAAGACGCAAAGAAGTACATTGACAACATCAAGAACGTCCAGTCTTCACTAGACGCTGGCAACTTGAGCGATCCTAAGAAGTTCCATCCTCAAGATCGTGTTGCACAAGTCGTACAAAGGTCGATGAAGGAGGCAAGGCGGAAGGCAGAACAACTCCAGCTCTTCCTGGACGAGGCGTCGAGGACATACGATGACATAATGACCTATTTTGGAGAAGATAATCAAGACGAAAATGCCCGCAGAGAGTTCTTCGGAAAACTGAGTGGCTTTGTCACGGAATGGAAGAAGTCACGCGAGAAAAACATGGCCATGGAGGAGAATAAACGACGTCTCGAAGCCAGTCTGGCTCGGAAGAGAGCTCAGGCGAGTGCCACCGCCAGCAGCGCCGCAAGTGGCGCCGAAACACCAGGTAGTCCACCGGGCAACGGTGCTATGGAAACCTTACTTGAGAAACTTCGAGCGGCAGCACCACAAGTGAAAGACCAACGTGACCGAAGGAGACGGGCGAGGTTAAAGGAGAGATATGATCAAAGAGTCGCCAGCGGCCAGCAACTTCCCGAACTCCAAGTAAAGGACGGCGTGGAAGAGAGTCGCGGTCTTGCTGGTGCGGGAGAGAAAGCCAACGAAGATAATCTGAGTACAGATGGCACCAGCGGCAGAGGGGATGTCAGCGAAAGCGAAGATGTCGCCGATCGAGCTTTGAAGGCCCTGCAGGAAATGAGAAGTTCGGCCCCATCGACCGGCGACGAGCTCGATGTGCGGAGGAGGCGTGAGGGAGCCGATGAAGAACGCAAGGCCCGGCGAATGAGACGTCGGACTGCACATCAGAGCACCAGCAGTGTTACCAAGGAGTCTATATTATCGCCGACCGAAACGAAGACCGAAGAAAAGCGTGGCCAGGACGGAGGCAATGATGGTTTCTCTCCTACCGAGGATAAACGGTCCTCGGGGGGCACTTTGAGCCCCGTGGCCACACAACCCCCACCGGCGATAATTGTCAGTCCGACGCCGGATGACGACGACGATGAAGAAGCTGGAGTCGATGCAAAGGACGAGAGAAGGAGGGAAGAGGTTTTGGTTCAGGATTAAAGGGAGGCGCATGAGCATTGGTCCCATCGACCGGGAGGCATGGCGCCAACCTATTGTACTAGGATTGAGTTGGATGGAAGCATTATCATGTCGAGTCTTGTTCAACTTACATGCCAAAGATACCCCCAAGCAGAATAATTGTCCCTAACAGGAAGACAGCATTTGCTGGGGTTGGACTCGGGTTTAACCGAGCATATTTGTATCAGGGCGGGAAATACTCTTGTGTAGCTATAACAAATCATCAACGGCCAGCAAGGAAGAGAGAGACGGTCACTGCGCGTGGCGTTTCCCATCATTCGTTGTAAGAGAGGATCAGACAAGGGCTTGGATGTGTCCGATGTAGCTCGTGAAGATGATGGAGGAAGCAATATCAAAATCGCCCAGTCTATCGACCACCTCACCAGGTCCATCCCGTCTATTGCGCAAGGGCCGATCATAGTTTCCCCGGCCAGAATTTCCTCTCCCTGACTGCCCTCTCTTCCCACGCGAAATCATGGGCAAAGATGATTTCAAACTCTGCCGGCTTCTCTTCCCCTTCCACCTGGATGCCTTCTTTAGATGCCGAGTACAGGCGAGCCAATGTCTCCTTCGACTTGGGGATGTCCACATGCATGCAGCAGTATCTCCCGGTCTCGTCCGTCCACGTCGCTATGTCGCACTCCCCCGTCAATAATCGAACATCGTGACATGAGTCCCCGGCTAGGCAAACAAACTTGGATGGGTGACTCGAGACTCTGCACAAGAGATTGACGTGGCCTGGGAGGTGCCCTGGGGCGTTGACAATATAGACACTGCCGTCTTTGAAGAAATCGATCGCATGTGGGAAGCTGGCGAATGGTTTCCATGAGAATTGTGAGTCTCCACCATCCGGAGGAGGTAATTCTATCGTTCTTTCTAGTGGGAGCAAATCCGGCTCAAAAACCATATGTTTCCCCAAGTTGAGCTGCGTCTTCCCACTAAGCAGATCGAGAGCGCCATTGCCCACGATGAACTTGGTCTTATCGTCATCGAAGTCCTTTGGAAGTCCGACGTGATCGTAGTGTACATGGCTGAATATCACGTAGTCAATGTCATTCACACGAAGACCCCCGGCTGCCAGTGAAGCGACCGCATCTGGACGTGTCGACACTGGTCCTCGATTCGCCAGGTGGGCAGTCAAAGCTGGCGGGTAGAGGTTGAGCTCCCGCCTCATACCCAGGTCGAAGACGATTCGCGTGACCTTTCCACTTTTTGCATCTTTGTGCTGTATCAAAAATGACAACGAAGGCACAGTTTTTTGAGCAACAGGGTCCGCTGGAACCACAAAGAATCGTTCAGGGATGGTAATGTGACCGGTGCTTAGGGCATGTACCGACACAGTCGCCATCTTGATCGTAATATATCGGCGGTACTTGGGGGATCGGGGACCAAGCAATGCGCATGAGAATGTCGTTAAGAGGTGCACCTGTGTGGCAGAGCTTGAGTATCTTGTACCACATCGGGCTCGAGGCTAAGTCGTTGCTTAGATCTTCCCCGCATCAATCTGTGCCCAGAGTCACCCGCGGCTGAGTTGGTTGCGGGATGTTAGATGTGAGGGGAAGTGGATTTCGATCGTGTACTTAGTGGAGTTTGTAATGGCGGATGTAAGCTTTGGGGAGCGTTTCATCGGGTAAAAGACTGGCGATATAGGTCGTCTGTGACTGTAGAACTTCCTCAGGCACCTCAGCCTCGTGAGGGGTACGACGGCATTTGACGCTGACAGTTTCACGAGCGAAGAGCCTGATTCAATATTCCAATTTCCCTGCTGGTGCTGCCAAATCTTTATTGTATCATGTGGAACATGATCGCGGAGGGATAGCAGAGGAGACTCCACCCATGAGTCTTCACACATGATGTGGCTTGTTCCGCTGTTTACTGGCAACACTTGGTGGCACGAATCGCAAGGCAGACAAGGATGATTCGAGATCGCTGATGGCTGCATCTGAGACATGCTTGATGGGTCCGGAGTTTGGTCCTCCTTTCCTGTCCCTGTTGAAGTTCTCTTTCGGGGAGACAGGAGGGAGATTGTTGTTGTTATCCGTTCGGGAATGCTGTCTTCGATGACCTCCGGTGGAAGAGATTTGATCGGTAGTGGTTGACACTCTTCTCCGACGACTTTCGTGGAGCATGGAGGTCGACTTGTCAATGCCAGTGTCGACAATGCGGAAGTTGTAGATCTTGGGGAACAGATGTTTGTCAATCAGATGGAGGCGACGTTTCTGCGGCGTGGAACACTTTCTGTCGCAGTCTTCGACGAAGCAAGCATATGTCTTCTCACCTTTGGCTTGCAGGGCCTCGCGGAAGGTATTGTGGTTCTCGTCGATGTGCAGGGCTAGGAAGTGAGCAGTAGGGAAATTTTTGCCACAAGAGGCGCAACGATTGGAATGGTCTTTGGCATAATGCACCTCGAAATCTTCGATAGAAGCAAAGTCCAGGGTTTCCCGGTGAGGCGGTAGAGAGCACTGCATGACCGGCATGGCTGGCAGAGCGGCGACCGTGGTCACAGCACTGAGTTTTGCAGGACGAGGAGATTGAGATTCTTCTGCCGCAGAACTGGCGGTGTCGCTGCTGGAGCAAAGGGCCGAGGACTCGCGTGATCGCTTGACCATGGCGGTGTAAGTACCCGGATGATGGGGATGTATCTGGGTCTGATCAGCCCTACTCACGCTTCAAAATGATGACTTTCCCCTTGCATGCCTAGATAGGCCCGAAGGTATCGAACATCCTTGAGGTTACGATTGTTCGATGAGAGATGCAAGAGTAACGATGGCGATGAAATGGTCTTGGGTCGTGGACAAGGATGAGGCCAGTGAGAAAAGAATCATGGCAGACTGCGCACAAGGGAGGGAAGTGGCCTGCGCTGGTTGGATCTCAGGTCGATGCTAACCAAGCCAGAAAGGGCAGCAGCCGTGCCTAACCAGCCAGTGTCATCCCCAATACTCGCGCCTAGGCATGGGTGTCAGGTACACTACTAGGCCCACCATGCCTCCATTTTGATGGTGATTGGGCGCCCCTGGTGGTCCCGATGAGCCTGATCCGCCCTGATCAGCCGGGCGAGCTCCCCTTCTCACTCGTTACTCAGGCACCCCCCCTGTCTCTCCACAGTTGCTTCATCCTGTTGTTACAAGCGCCTCTTTTGTCTGTTGCCTCAGTCTCCTTGTGCTGCTCGTTGGTCGTTGATCGAGTGTTTCAGACTCTGCAGCCACGATCCATGAACGACATCGATGTGACAGTGCCACGATCAAGCCAGTCTCAAAGCCGCCCGGACTCGTCATCTATCTTGCATCTGGCCATCTATCCCAAAGGCACCTGCGAACGCCGAAGCGTCAACGTCTCTTGCTGCCGTTTGCCTCCTTTCCCACTGCTCAACGGCCACTAGCAATTACGGTTTAGCAGACACGTCCACGAAGTGCTTTGTTCAGCAGCCTCTCACGTACCCTGCGTTGTCTCATTTAACACTGCTTGTTTCCTTGTCGCTTCCCTCCACCAGGCTGAAACTACAGTCGTGACTTATCCGTCCTTTGTCCGTCCACCTCCCACTCACATTCCTGCTCGCATGCCGGCCATTAAATAAGAGAAGGAGCACGTCTCCCTATCTCCTCATTGTCACGAACGTGGGTTGCAGGAATCGACGCAAAGATGCTTGCCTCCAAGCCACCGTTTACCGCCAACACCGGAAATCCCCAGCAGATGCTCGTCCGCAACTTCTCCGAGTCTTCGACCAGAACGCAAATGACCTCGATGGCTCTGCAAGACGGCCTCTTTACCTCCCCAACAGATTCTGAATTCTCCGATGTCTATGACGGGCTGGACTCGATAAGGGCGTGGGACGAGAAAAAGGTGGGAGAGTGGCTGCACTCGATCCGCTGCGGACAGTATGAACCTCTTTTCAAAGCGAACAACTTTACAGGAGAGAGTTTACTGGAATGTGACCAGAAGATATTGTCAGAGATGGGTATCAAGAAAATTGGTGACCGCGTGCGAATCAATGTGGCAATTAAACAGCTGCGGAACAAGTCATCCTTGTTACGCTCCAGGAGAAACCGAGATAGCCTTGCTATCCTGGATGGCATTGCTGGAACCCCCTCCTCTTCGGACTCTCCTCGAACCCACGGGTCTAGGTCACACAATGGTAGCGGCAAACGTTTCTCCCGCCAGCTCGACTCCTCCGTCTTGCAGAATTTCAACTCGGCCAGCACAGGGTTCAAAGTCGGGTCGAGACCAAGCTCACCTCTCGCAGATGTACACAGCGCAGGCCTTCGATCACATCGCTATGCACAAAGCCCGATGGACGGTGGGAGAAACGCGTCTGGGGGAGGATACTTCAGCCAACCAGGATCAGCGAATTCCACGTCCGGCAGACGACCTGAAACTCCACAGCTCGCAAGTCAAACCACGCGAGCAGCTCATCTCCGGCAAAACTCGAGCATCGATGGCCTGACGCCTGGTGGATTGCCCTCAGGATCCCCTGTCATCAAAATCATCCATAACGGTGGGCAAACGAAGGTTGTGAATATCAAATTTTGTCGGACGGCCGACGATGTCACGTCGACAGTGCTGAAGAAATTACACCTACCAGAAACTCATTTTCGCAACTATTGCTTTTACGTCCTCAATGGCCTGGACCCAGATCCAGGAAATTGTCGCCGTGTAAGCGACAGCGAACTCATGAGGATCTGTAATGAGTCAACCCGATCAGAGAGGAATCGATTGATTTTGAGAAAGATCAACGACGGGCCTCCCGACGTGGACGAACTCCAGAAAGCGGCCAAGATTGCGGCCGATGAATCACAGGTTTTGCACAGCAATGCACTGAGCACAAACAACATGCGCAACCAGATAAAGCTGCAGAAGCTCACAGGAGAGTCATGGCACAACATTCAAGTCCCCATCTCACCAGTTACCACTACGGATCGAAATCGAAACATTATTGCGACTGCGGATGAACACGATCGGCAGGAAGCCCAGCAACACCTCAGAGTTCCTAGTAATCAGAATACGAAGCTCCGTACTTTCTTTGGGGCACGACCTCCTAGCGAGATGATTGTGCAAGAGTTGACCTCTTATTTCCCTGCTCATCAACGCGAGGATATCGAAAAGACAATGAGGCTATCAGTCCGACGCTCACAACGCATGAGTCGCGCACAAAGTCGCCTAAGCGTGATGAGCAACGTGAGCATGGCCTCTAGCCTCAAGGACGCTCCTCCCGTACCAAGCATTCCCAGCATTGCCGACTCCTGGCTGTACCAGACCGGTATGGCCCCTCGCACTCCTGCTGCCCGACCACTCTCGGTAGTGTCGAACAGGTTCAATCTTATGAACCAGTCGTTCCGTGATTCCATTGCCTCGTCAACGCTCCACCCGTTGCAGGAAGAATCCCCCATCGAGCCGAACAGGAAATCATATGTCTCATTTGACAGCGGTTCCGATACTGCTGCCCAGGGTGAAGCAGCTAGGGCAAGCTATTTTGACGAGAGTCCTGGGGTCCCTCTGAATACCGACAATGTGAATGAACGATTGTCGGTGATCGTGGCTGAGGATGGTGAGGAGGAAGACCAGGAGCTGAACTCGTTCCTCCAAGGCAACAGCTTCGACAAGAACAACTGGATGAAGGGTGATTTGATCGGCGAAGGCTCATTTGGCAGTGTCTATCTCGCCCTGCATGCTGTGACTGGTGAATTGATGGCAGTCAAGCAAGTCGAGTTGCCCAATGTGGCCAAGGGCACCGAAGGTGACAAGAAAAAGACGGCCATGATTGCAGCCTTGAAGCAAGAGATCACACTCTTGCAAGGCCTTCGTCATCCACATATTGTGCAATACTTGGGTACTTCATCGGACGAGGAGCACCTCAACATTTTCCTCGAATATGTTCCAGGTGGCTCCATCGCCGGCATGCTCAAGCAATACAACACTTTCCAGGAACCACTCGTCCGGAACTTCACCAGACAAATTCTCGAGGGTCTGTCATACTTGCACTCTCGCAATATCATTCATCGAGACATCAAGGGCGCTAATATTCTGGTCGACAACCGCGGTGCCGTGAAAATCTCCGATTTTGGTGTTTCCAAGAAAACCAACTTCAATGGTATGAACACTGCACCGGGCACCCGCACATCTCTTCAAGGAAGCGTCTTCTGGATGGCTCCCGAAGTCGTCCGCCAGTCTGGACAGTCGCTCAAGTCAGACATCTGGTCAGTCGGGTGTCTTGTTGTTGAGATGTTCACAGGATCCCGCCCATTCCCATCAATGACGACGCTTCAAACGCTGTTTGCTGTCGGAAGCAATAACGAGAAACCAAGTATTCCCGAGCATGCAAGTGAGGACGCGAAGCGGTTTATGGGGAAGACCTTTGAGGTTGACCATGAAAAGAGGCCTGGCGCAGATGAGTTGTTGAAAGAGAGGTTTTTGCTGCCTACGGCTTGAGGCCCAATTTGATGCAGGGGCTGAATGATTTTCATCTGTGTAATATGAAAGCATGATGAATGTCAGGAGCATCTTGCGGCAGAACATGATGATCTGAGATGGGAAGAGGAACCGCTGCAGTCTCTAAACGAATCAGCCACATCAATGGTTGCCGATGAGCAGAACTATATAGTTGCCAAAGGTCAAGGGCATAGGTTTCTTTGTTCTTGCATGTGTTATCTATGTGCATTGGGTCACGCCTGGGACGACCTGGTTGTTTGTGTATATCACCCGCTTCATTGATGGAAGGATGGGGACATCCATAGCTTAGCGAAAGGTGTTGAAAGCTGGCCCTTGTGAAAGATGTATCAGATATAAGAAAGAGACTACAGAATCACGGCACCAACGGGGACGCCTTCGATTTGATAAGCGCTCTTGTGCTCTTGTGCTCTTGTGCTCTTCTCTGGTGATCTGGCGTACATATATATATGTGTGTTCGTGCAAGTGCCACGAGTGCCCGCGTGAACTGGTTTCTTGGACTGGTTTCTGGTCTACCGAGTGAGACAGAGATGATTAGAGAAACGAAGACCTGCGAGAGAACATTGAAGAAATCGATAAATAGGTAGAAAACTAAAAAGTGTCCCAAGTCATGTCATGACAGTGCTTCGAGGGGGTAAATGTCCTTCCTTTGCCGCGTCTGGCCCTGATTCAAACGAGGGAGAACTGGCCCTAACTTTTCGCAAAGCATCTTCGGTAGGCATCCGAGGGCGCACGACCTCTCCTATATGTTTCTCGATATCCCCTCGAACCTGTTCACATCTTCCTTGCTAAGATATGTCCATGGGCTGAATGGGGATATGAACCACCGGAGGTGGTCGAGGAGCGTCATGTGCCGTCATCTTCACGCCGTTCATCAGATTTGGCTGGCCTCCATCAGTCACGTTATTTCGTGGGGCAACATTGATCGTGTCCATCGTTTCTCCTAGGGGTTGCAGTGGTCTCGATGTGGCCTGCACCTGCTGCAAGCCATTCATAACGGCTGATGTTCCGTTCGTTACGTGGGAAGCTTGAGGAGGTGGACCTTGTGCCGTTGTTGTGGACGTGGGATTCTCGGCGTCCTTTCGATATCGCAGTTGGACAACCAAGCTTTCCTGAGTGTTTTCATCCTCGACCTCGTCCGGTTCAAGGCCCTCATCACTCATATCATCGTCGTCATCGTCGCCTTCATCCTCTCCGTCAAAGTCCGGCTCTGACTCGTCCTCGTTTCCACTCCATTCTTTGCCTGATGACTGGGCTTCTTCGCTTTCGTCCGAGTCCATCTGCTCGGCATATCCCTGTCTGGTCGGTTTGACGTGTCTTCCCGACCTCGATGTTCTCATGTCACGCGCACTGGGTATAGTGGCGGGCATGTCCTCACTTGTCTCTGTATAGTTGCCTTCGCCCGTCACTCTTTCTAACTCCTTGCGCTGGTCGATCAACATGCTCTCGCCGTACAAACCACCCACTCTCGACTTGACATGCCTGCCGCTGGCGGTAACGGTCGGTCCAGTCTCCAGAGGTGTAGAGAGGCCGGAATTGCGCGTGGATCGCTTGCTAGACAGCCCGTCCGACCCATACTCGTCGTCTGAATATGTATATCTCATTCTCTTCCCACGTGTCCTTCCCTCGTATAGTGAGAATCCGGGTTCGGGTCGAGCGAATGCAGCTTTTCGAGCAAGGCGGTAGTCGCGGCGTTTGCGCTTCTAGTGTGATTGTCAGTGCATGTCCGGTATGCGCGTCAACCTGCTTACCTCTTCACCAGCCTCAAATCTCGGAATGGCCGCGCGTAACTTGTCGCTAATCACTTTCGAATTGGAACTATGTTCGTCGGCGAACTTGTCTGCAAGGGCTATGACTTCTGGAATGGAGCCGGCGACGCTGAACCATGTGTTTGTCTTTGCAGTCTTGCCATCATTTTCTCTGTAAAGTCGAAAATGCGAGTCGTCTTGTCCCTCAATCAGCCAGTACTTTCGGCGATATTGGTCTGAAAACCAAGGTTGAACACTTCGCGGTTGGTTGCGGTCGTCGTCCCGACGTGTCTGCTTGTAAGACTCTTTAATGACCGTTTGGACGGCTTCGGAGGAGTTCAGAGACCAGAGGACGAGAGCTTTTAGGAGGCTCAACTGAATCCTAGTTAGCCACGCGGAACAGAGAAGGGAAGACAGAAAGCAACCCACCCGTTGCTCCGGGCTCATGTTGTTGAAAGTTTTTCCTCCGTGGAGAGGATTGACCCCCTTCCACTCAGTCGGCCATTGACTGTGGTTTGTAGAGAGCGCATCTTCAAGTGCCCGGCCATAATGTCCGCGTCTGACCAGTGTTAGAAATTTTGACAGGTGGTAGCCCACGAGCTCGTCCAGTATGCGGTAACTAACTCGACATCTTTCTTTCTATTCAGAACAAGACCCAACAGCGCACAGAGCAGTCTCTCGACTTGCTCGTCGGGCAGTTCTCCGGCCACCCCTCTTTCAATGTCTTGCGGTCCGTAGTTCGGTAAAGATTTGGGAAACACGTCGCTGAATCGACTTCTGAACATTACGATGAACGCAATTGCCGGGTTATCGACCAGCGTATATTCGTGGGGTGGTGAGGGTGCGCGTTTGGGAGGTTCGGGGGTGGCTTCAGGCTTGGGCGCCGGCTTGAAATATCGATCCAATCCCGTAGGCTTCAGCGCCATTTTCTGTGCCATTTCCTCATCGTCCGAGGATGGAGCGGAAGACAAGGACGAGGAATCAGAGTCAGCCATGACTAGATGGAGAGGAGATTGCGGACGGCAAGAGTGGTGAGACAGCTAGCCGGTACTACAGCAGGTGGTTGTCGTAGCAGGAGCACGGGGGGAGGAAGTGAAGGGGAAACTACAAAATCAGGGAGCGGTCTGATGAATTCACTTGGCGCGTTGAGGGCAAGTTACGCGCTGCTCGGCCAATGATCGCATTTCATCTGTCTCCCGGCGCTGGCAGTCAACGACGTCGCTTTCATAGCCTTTGAGGCGACAGGCTCCCATGCTAACCATTCTCTGGAATCCGAAGCACCAGCCGGCATCCAATTATTCGCCATCCACCGCAGACCACGGGTTGTTGGAGGGTTGGTGCGACCGATCTCCATGAACATGAGTGTTTTTGGGGACGCCGGCTTGCCAAGCGTTGAATCAGCCTCTTGTCGAGTTCAACTTGCGTTGCAGCGATCCCGGGTTCAGCCCCCGCATCTTCCCAGACGCTCAGCTTGGGGGCATTCTCAACAGCGTCCTCGGCCGGGGACTTGCTTGCCGGTACACCGTTGTATTCATTCCCCTCGAGCACTGTTGTCCGACGCTGTCCTTTGCTTCAAATCCTGGTTGAGGCTAAACATTCTCCGAGAAGACGCGGGGTTCTCCGGGAGATCCATGGCAATTGCGCTCTGAAGAACGCGCCCCAATTTTGTACCATGATTTTCTTGCTGAAGACTCAAATGAAGGTGGCGTGTCAAACACGTTGAGACAGCACAGGGCCTAGAAGCAGCCGACAGTGATCAGAAGTTCCGGCATGACATATTGACACAGCTCGTCACAGGTGAAATCTTGTAGATTTGTGGCTGAGCTTATACATGTAGCTGAGTTCGACCGTGTGCTTCTGATTCGATCTGCACCGGAAGAGTATCAAGAGGCCACTGAAGGCAGCAAGCTCGGGGATAAGAATTTTCGAGTGTCTCATTTTAGAGTGACCTCGTAGTTCGTTATGCTTTCCCGACTCAGCACTTGTATGCAATGAATGGATGTGCATAGATAACGTGCAAGAGGAGAGTCGCTTTGGTCCAACATGCTCTTGATCAGCCTGCCCATATTTCGGTGGCCGCACCCATCTGCCAATGTGTTGTAGGGTAGAGCGGGAGCCTACTAGGTCAATTTTCTAAGCTTGGAAGAACTTACCACGTTTCACAACTCTCCCGTGAGACAGTGTACCGCCATACCGTTCGGAACAACTTCATGATATGTACAAAAAGCTTCTCTAGGCGATGAAAAAGACATGTAAACTTGATCTTGTCACGCGAATGTTGCAACAGAGCCAATTCTAGAGAATAGAAGAAATATAGAATGATATAAAGTAGAGCATCTGTGTGTTCTGAAAGCCACTGTTCAACAGCAGTTAGTGCAGGCGGAGAGAATCAAGCCAACACAGGGCAGAGGTGAGATGAATTTGAAGTTGGCGGTTGCAGACCGGACTTCAGGTTTGAAGATGGAGGTGAGGCGGGCTGGGCGGGAGCCAAGTGATCACGTGATGACACAGCACACCACTTGTATATCCACTAGTCCAGAATAGTACTAGCTTTATACCTGCGTTGAAAGGTCTTTTGCGTCGCCGTACTTTGTTCTTGTCCAATGCCAAGATTTTTGCTGAGGCGCACACAAACGAAACCTGCGCCTTGTCCATCTTCATCTCGAACTTTCAACAACCACGTTCGGTCGACAACTACCTCGAAACTCTACGCCATAATGGGTAGAGTCATCAGGAACCAGCGTAAAGGGCGCGGATCCATCTTCAGTCAGTACCTCCTCATTCAGCAGCACACCGATTATGTTCTCTGCTCTGCGATCACAAATTCTGCTCAATTGGTGCTGGTCCGTTTTGCTGATGTCTCGCAATAGCCAGTCATACCAGGTTGAGAAAGGGAGCTGCTAAGTTCCGACAACTCGATTACTCGGAGCGTCATGGGTACATTCGTGGGGTGGTGACTGAAATCATTCATGATCCTGGTCGAGGTGCACCGCTCGCGCGTGTCCAGTTTCGTTCGCCCTACAAATACGGCCTCAAGACCGAAACCTTTATTGCGAATGAAGGACTCTTTACTGGCCGTACGTGTTCGCTACACCGCTATCTTGGTCTTGGAACTCACAAATTGGTTCACTGGCTGACTGCTTGGATTCATCAGAGTTTATCTACGCTGGAAAGAACGCAGCCTTGAGCATCGGCAACATCCTCCCTCTGGGCGCTGTGCCCGAAGGTACCGTCGTTTCAAACGTGGAAGAGAAGACCGGAGACCGAGGCGCGTTGGGACGAACTTCAGGCAACTATGTGACTGTGATCGGACACAACCCTGATGAGGGCAAGACCAGAGTCAAGCTCCCCAGTGGCGCAAAGAAAGTCGTTCTCAGTTCGGCTCGAGGGATGATCGGCATCGTCGCTGGTGGTGGACGTACCGATAAGCCCATGCTCAGTATGTGCATTGCCATCACTTGTATGACATTGGAATGAGGACTAACTAGCGGACACAGAGGCTTCCCGCGCAAAGCACAAGTTCGCCGTCAAGCGCAACTCCTGGCCCAAGACTCGTGGTGTTGCGATGAACCCCGTCGACCATCCTCACGGTGGTGGTAACCATCAGCACATCGGCAAGGCTTCTACCATTTCAAGATACGCCGCTCAAGGTCAAAAGGCCGGTCTTATCGCTGCCCGGAGGACTGGTTTGCTACGTGGTACGCAGAAGACCAAGGAGTAGATGTGATGTTTGTATGAGGGGCTTCCAGAAAACGGCGTGGACTGTGTTACGGGTCTTTTACGGCATATGCGTCACCAACTCACAACATGGAGAGTGGCAAGGGGTCCAAAGCTCTTCCCAATAACCAAAAGAATGCCAATAGATGCATTGTCTTTGAGAAGGTGCCAGTTGACTCTAGATAGCCTGGGGGTTGCGGTCACCGTAGCCGCAATGCAGATCGAGTTGAGACGACGAGAAGATTTCTGCATGGTGCAAGCAAGGGAGATTACTATCATCTCGAGAACCTACCTGTGACCGAAACTGAGTATTTGATGAAGTCGATCACCCCCCTTTTTTCCACTTGTTGTAAAATTCCTGAGCTGTCAACCGCGGATCTTGTAGCGTGTTGATACTGCAAATTTCCCCCTTTCTCTTGAAAAGAATGTCACGGGGACACTCATCTGCAGTTCAGACGCCATGCTTACTGTGTACAAGTACAAGTACAAGACGGCCGTACGAGTACTTGTATGTGTGGGATGCTTACGGGGTTCGGCAGCGACGAATGTCCGGGGACCTCCTCGTGGCGGGTAGGGTTACAAGGGATGATGTGAATTATGCCGCAGTTGTGCCCAGTCTGAGATCGAGCACGGCGTCTCTTGTTCTTCTTCTCTGCGCCATTTACAGGCAGTGTGGACACTAGACACAGACTGTTAGCTGCTAATACTCGTATCGTACAAGTAGTATGGGCCAAGCGATGATTTCAGTTGGTGGCGTATTGTTTCAGAGGCTGGTGGAGGGACATGACCTGTCACTGGGCACCACCCGGCACCGCTGGGGAGCTTCTGGTGAATCCCCCGCAGAAGAGTTTGAGGTCAGGGGCAGCAGTTGGGAACAAGTGGCTCTGGGCTGCTCTGGCTTTCTCGTAACTTGCTTCTGGCTCTCGTGGTGGACCTTGAAGGGGCTCCGAAACTCTATCAGAAAGAACGCATGTTTGCGCGTCGCTGCAACCGCACCTTGTCATTAATTGGCATTGGCACCGAGACGAGCAACTGCGCGACGGGATTTAATTCATCATCTAGCAGCTCTCGTCCGTTGGGCCTGATTCCTATTCCATCGCTGTAAGCGCAGTCAATCGTTTATTATCCCTCTATATTCTGACCTCATTCACGCCGCTCGCCGGAGTTTTTGTCTCTTTTTCCTTGCTCATCTTCCGGGCAGTATTTGATCCTTGATCAGCATTCCAATTGCACAACTAGAAACGCCGCGCTGTCCGATCCCGATCCCTCCGTTGCTCACCACCAGCACAGACAGCGTAACATAGATCCCCTGCTCTTATCGACCCCAACATCAGCATTCTCACTCTCGCTCTTCTAACCTTGCCTCGCTCCCTTGAACACCGCCAACCAGTAAAGTGATCGCACATTTGCAATCATGAATGTCAACAAGAAACTCGATCGTTTCAAACAATGGGCAGGAGAGCGGATGGGTGGGGAAGTCAAGACCAATGTATCCGACGACTTCAAGGCCATGGAGGTCGAGATGGGCCTTCGTCAGGAGGGTATGTAGCATAATCTTGCTCAGCAATTGAAAGCGAGGCGGGCGCTAACCGTTACACTCCGCAGGTCTCGAGAAAATGCAGCGGTCAATGAATGCCTATATCAAAGCCATCTCCAAACGGTCCGAGGTGGAGGGCAAAGAGAAAACACTTCCGATCGCCTACATGGGCGGGACCATGATTTCTCATGGCGAAGACTTCGAGTCGGATTCAGAATATGGACAGTGTCTCAACAGTGGGTGTAACCATGTTACAAGAATATTCCTATACGCTGACCTTCTAAGTGTTTGGCCGAACACAAGAACGATTGGCTCGCACGCAGGAAACCTACATCACGAACGCCACCACTTCCTGGCTGGAGTCGCTCGAAAGGTCTCTGGTCCAACTGAAAGAATACCAGGCCGCCCGCAAACGGCTCGAGACACGCAGACTGGCTTATGATACATCGCTTGCCAAAATGCAGAAGGCCAAGAAAGAAGACTTCCGCGTCGAGGAGGAACTGCGAACTCAGAAGGCTAAATATGAAGAATCGGCGGACGATGTTCAGCGCAGAATGGAAGAAATTCGCGAATCAGACCCTGAGAGCGTGGCTGATCTCGCAGCATTTCTTGACGCCGAATTGGCATATCACGATCAATGCAGAGAAGCACTGCTGCAACTAAAGAGCCAGTGGCCCGCTAGGTACGTATTTCCTCCTTCAAATCTGAGGTTGGATCTAACTTGGCGCAGAGCACAGATGTCGAATCGAAGTATCCGTCCCAATCCGCGATCAAGATCAAACACTGTCCGGTCATACACCCAGACTGTTGAGCCAGCAGAGGAAACACCAGCTGTCGTCGAGGTTCGCCCGACCATCAAGTCGAACCGGAGTGGCCGTTTTGCGGACCAACCAACTTCTGACTACTCTCCAGCGCGCCCAAATTACGCCAGAGCCACTACATTCAACGACTCCCCCACACCTAGGGACCTGTCGCCTGCTACAAGGCCTGGGATTGCGCGAGTTCCCAGCGATTCCTTGATGATTCGGACAGCCCGATCGCAGCTACGAAGCGTGGACGAACAGGATGTCTTTGCAGATGAGTCCGGGTCTTACACAAACAGTGGCTCCGACCGCGGCTACGGAGAACAATCCGTATCTCCTGCGACTTCACATGGCAGTGAATCAGTGACCCTACTGGGTGGGAAAAAGAGTGCTGTACCGCCTCCCCCTCCTCCATCACGCTCGAAAAAACCACCACCTCCACCTGTACCAGCAAAGAGAACTGTTCTCACTTGAACTATCGTGTGCACAGGCAATCACAAAGGCCTTTTGGATTTGTTAGATGGAGTTTGGCGCTGGTTTAGGGGCCTAAGGCGGGACTCCTTTGTGAAGCGAGTGACTACTAGAACCAGATCAATTGAGAATGCATTGAAGCGGCGCTGTATGGCATATACACCGACTGATTTGCGAGCATATCAATCATGACAATTTTCTCCTTAATACCACATTGAGACTCTTTGCCTTGTACAAATGTTCCCGAGATGAGTGGAGCACCCGTTGACCCTTGCCACCTGAAAAAGTTCCTCCCTATGTAATCACGTGATCAAAAGTCACGTGGTTCATTGAGCGACCTAAGATTTGCCGCATGCTTGGCAAACTACTACTCGCAGAACCTCGTTTGGGGGTCACATCTGTTCTCCGTTGCGCTCCCCCCAAGACGTGAAAGGCCCCTCGGCCGGGAAAATCATCAATCAACGCGTCGCATCCATCTCTTTTCATCTCAACTGAACTCTGGCAACTCGCAGCACCGCTTGAGGAGTGCGTCCAAACCCGGTTGCCGACTCTTCGTCCCCTCTTTAATCAGGCACCCTCACCTCAGCCGCCCAACCTCGCCTCACCCGGGACTGGTACAACAACAAGTCCCTCCCATCTGCCATCTGCGCCACGTTCATCCCCCTTCGCGAGGCTGCGCCAGTCCTGTGCCCTCCTAGAACACCGACAGCAACAGCACTGATCTTGATTAGATGCTCAGATAAGCCTTTACGACGTCCGCCTTGAGCTGCAGCTGCCTAGCGTTGCAGTATTCCTGGCCCGACTGAGAAGTCACCATGACTTCTGTTCAGTCCGCACCTGCGATGCAGGCCAATGTTCCCTCGCTCCCACCCAACCTCTCCCAAGCCCAAGTGCAGGAAGTTTATCAAGTATGTAGCCTTCGCATATCACGCCTTTGGAGCCCTCAAAGAACCCTTTTTCTGCAATCGACTGCTAACATCAGCAATAGAAATTCCAGCGCATGAAAGCCCAAAATGTCCCCGAAACCGACCCCGAGTACCTAAAGGCATATCGATTTCTCACTGCCGTCCAGCAACAGCAGAACTTTCGAAAACTACAGGCTCAAAAGCAGGCACAACTCCAGGCTCAACAACTGCAGGCTGCCCAAAAAGCCCAACACCAGCCACAAGCGCAATTGGGTCAACATCCCGGACTACAGGCTAATGGCAGTGCCAACCCTCCAGCAACAAATGGAAGTAGCAATGGTCAACAAGACCCAGCAGGTCCGGTGGTCAACGGAGCAACTTCTTCCACGCCGAGCTCAACCTCCGGACCCAACTCAGCACAAGCTGGAGCACAGACACAGCGTGTTCCTGCTCAGGCTAACGGCAGCTTCACGGCAGAACAGCTGAATTTATTGAGAACCCAGATTTTCGCATTCAAGACTCTGTCCAAGAATCAGCCTTTACACCCCAGGATACAGCAGCAACTATTCCCGTCCCTCAAACAGCAGGCTGCCACGCCTACGGAGAGTATTCCCCCTGGGGATAAGGTCGCGGAGGGTACTGTCGAAGTGAAGGAGGACGGTGGTTCGACGGAAATTGCTCGAGTCAAATCGTTCTTCGACACCTATCAGTCGCCTTATGAAATTCTCTTGAAGGCGATCAGCTTCTCAGACCATTCACAACGTCCCAAGCGCCAGAAAATCCCAAGCATAATGCCTATTGGCCTTGACGCTGATCAAGTGCGAGAGGAGCAAGAACGGTTACTGTACAATCGCATCCAAGCTCGAAAGTCTGAATTGGCAGCTCTGCCTGTCAACATCGCATCTTGGGATACCAGTAAATCCCTTGAACCCACTGCCGACGACTCTCTCAAGCTTAAAGCGTTAATCGAGTACAAGAAGTTATGTTTGCTCCAGAAGCAACGAGATTTTCGCCGCGAAATTCAGCAAGAGCTCTTCTACTACGATAACCTAGCAATGACAGCGAATCGATCAATGCATCGCCGGATGAAGAAGCAATCACTTCGCGAAGCTCGCATCACCGAGAAACTCGAGAAACAGCAACGCGATGCCAGAGAGAACAAGGAGAAGACTCGGCAAACGAATCATCTGCAGTCCATTGTCGCGCACGCCCAGGATGTCAAGAGCAATGCCGTCAGTCAACGCTCGCGTATTCAGAAGCTTGGTCGGATGATGGTCACTCATCACCAACACATGGAGCGTGAAGAACAGAAGCGAATCGAACGGACTGCAAAGCAACGTTTGCAGGCATTGAAGGCAAACGATGAAGAGACATACCTGAAGCTTCTTGGTCAGGCGAAGGATTCTCGCATTACACATCTTCTCAAGCAGACCGACGGTTTCCTGAAACAGCTTGCTGCCTCTGTCAGACAACAGCAAAGAAGCGCGGCAGAGAAATGGGGCGAAGATAAGTACACGGACGAGGAGGATGAAGAAGAGGGTGACTCAGAAGACGAGGAAGGCCGTGGCAAAGTGGATTACTACGCCGTTGCCCATCGAATCAAGGAAGAAGTCAACGTCCAACCCTCAATCCTGGTGGGAGGTACTTTGAAAGAGTACCAGCTCAAAGGTCTTCAGTGGATGATTTCACTGTTCAACAACAACCTGAACGGTATCTTGGCCGACGAGATGGGTCTGGGAAAGACCATCCAGACCATCAGTTTGATCACCTATCTGATCGAGAAAAAGCGCCAGTTGGGTCCGTTCTTGGTCATTGTTCCCCTCAGCACACTCACCAATTGGAATCTGGAGTTTGAGAAGTGGGCACCCTCTGTCAGTCGCATCGTTTACAAGGGCCCGCCCAATAGCAGGAAGCAGCAGCAGATGAGGATCCGACAGGGTAATTTCCAAGTCCTCCTCACGACATACGAATATATCATCAAAGACCGCCCCATCTTGAGTAAGATCAAATGGGTCCACATGATCGTTGATGAAGGTCATCGCATGAAGAATGCCCAGTCGAAATTAAGCAGTACCATCACTCAGTATTACACCACGAGATATCGGCTGATCTTGACGGGTACTCCCCTGCAAAACAACCTGCCTGAACTGTGGGCGCTTCTCAACTTCGTGTTGCCTACAATCTTCAAATCAGTCAAATCCTTTGACGAGTGGTTCAATACTCCTTTTGCCAACACTGGCGGGCAAGACAAGATGGAGTTGAGCGAGGAAGAGCAGCTCCTGATTATTCGTCGTCTGCATAAGGTTCTGCGGCCTTTCCTGCTCCGCCGTCTCAAGAAAGACGTGGAGAAGGATCTTCCTGACAAGCAAGAGCGGGTCGTCAAATGTCGCTTCTCAGCACTCCAGACTAAGCTTTATATGCAATTGATGACGCACAACCGCCTGGCTGTGGCTGACGGCAAAGGTGGCAAGACCAGCATGCGCGGTCTCAGCAACATGTTGATGCAGCTGAGAAAACTGTGTAATCATCCTTATGTCTTTGAGCCTGTGGAAGACCAAATGAATCCTGGCAGGGGAACGAATGACTCCATCTGGAGAACAGCTGGGAAATTTGAGCTTCTCGACAGAGTCCTGCCCAAGTTCCGTGCTACTGGTCATCGTGTGTTGATGTTTTTCCAGATGACTCAGATCATGAACATCATGGAGGACTTCTTGCGGTACCGTGGCATACAATATCTTCGACTTGACGGCGCCACCAAGGCTGAAGATCGGTCTGAACTATTGCGGGTTTTCAACGAGCCTGGATCACCATACTTCTGCTTTCTGCTTTCAACCCGAGCAGGTGGCTTAGGTTTGAATCTTCAAACAGCAGATACCGTCATTATCTACGATTCAGACTGGAACCCTCACCAGGATTTACAAGCCCAGGACCGTGCTCACCGTATCGGACAGAAGAACGAAGTGCGCATTCTCCGGCTCATCAGCTCCAATTCGGTGGAGGAGAAGATTCTGGAACGAGCTCAATTCAAGCTTGACATGGACGGCAAGGTCATTCAGGCGGGTAAATTTGACAACAAATCCACCAACGAGGAGCGGGAGGCCTTCCTAAAGACTTTGCTCGAGGCCGCCGAAGCAGCCGAACAAGTTGGGGATTCAGAGGAGATGGACGACGATGACCTGAATGAGATTATGGCTCGTACAGAGGATGAACTGGTCTTGTTCAAGAAGATGGATAAAGAGCGTGAAGAGACCGATCAGTATGGACCCGGCCGACCGCTTGCACGCTTGATGGAAGAAAGTGAGCTTCCCGACATCTACGTGGCTGAAGACAATCCGGTTCAAGAAGAGACGGAGGAATATACTGGTCGCGGCGCCCGTGTCAAGACACAGGTCAAATATGACGACGGTCTCACTGAAGAACAATGGCTTGCCGCTGTTGATGATTCGGACGATTCGATTGGTGAGGCAGCCAAACGCAAACAGGCCCGAATTGAAAAGAGACGGACCAACAAGCTCAAACGTGAGCGAGAAGCCGCTGGCGTCACCTCGTCGCCTGAACCGGAACAAGAGAGTTCTGAGGAGGAGCCGCCCCCAAAGAAAAAAGGCCCTGGACGGAAATCGGCGGGGCAGAAGAGGAAGGCCGAGGAGATTGAGGATGAAATACCAGCGACGAAACGCAAGAGGGGAAAGCAACCCAACAAAGCGGCCATCGACACGTTGACTAGTTCGGAGCGATCCGCCCTACAAAAAGCTCTCAAGGCTGTGTTTGCGTCTATCAAGGCTCTTGAGGTGCCAGACTCGGATTCAGAACAACAGTCGGAAGACGAGAGCGATGACGAACCCCCCACGAGATTGATCATCGGACCGTTCCTGGAGCTGCCGCCGAAGAAAGTGTATCCGGATTATTACAGTTTCATCACGGAACCCATTGCCATGGACATGATTGAGAAACGGATCAACAGTCATCAATATACCAGCCTCAAAGATTTCCAAAACGACATAGCGCTCCTGGCAAAGAACGCAAAGACCTACAATGAGGACGGGAGCATGCTGTACAACGATGCAATTGCTATCGAGGTAAGGGTTTCATCACCTTTTTCAATTGGAATTTGTTACTGACAATCTGTGATAGAACCACTGCAATGAGATGGTAGCCAAGCAAATAGCAGACAATCCCATCCTCGGGGATAGGGGCCTTGACGGCGACTCTACAGCCCCAGGTTCGAGCGCCGGGACACCCCGAGGATCTGTGGCACCAGCTGGCGGGACGAAGTTGAGATTGACATTGGGTTCTGGCAGTAACGGAGTCGCAACGAACGGCACCACAAGCGGGGCAGCCAGCGGAGCAGAATGATAGATGGATGTCTTAATTGTACCATAATGAGATCAGCTGAAGACGAGAAAAGAGGTCATGGGGGTTCGGATGATTTCAGGGCTTGCATCCGAGGAAGGGGAAGTGGCAGGATAATCCAGTCTATGGTTTGAAACAGCAGGGAGGGCATTGGATGGTCATGAATTTGCATGGCTTGGGAATGGATTTGGAGGGAGAGGCATTCGTTTACTCTAGAGATTCGATTCTGGGGTGCTCCGTATAGCTGTGAGATTACTACTCTTGCTTGTACAATGAGATCTTTAAGCTGTCTTTTTCTTTTATACCGCCTCGAGTACGAGGCACCTCGTATGCGTCAGGGAATCATAGGAAGTCGTTTAGGGAGGCGTTCAGGAGGGCGTTCAGGGAGGCGTCGTGGGGTGCAAAAAAGGGGGGGATCGTCGTCCCCAAAGACACGGCTGAATGAACAGGTGGACATCCCGCCAATGGTAGAGTGGACGAGGAGCGTGTGGAGGAGGAAGCGAGTGGGAATCACGAGTGAGTACGTATCGATTGCGGCCAGGAAGAGAAGTCGATCCAAAGTCTCTGGCTTCCTGCAACTCGATACAAAGTAAAGAGGGTACATGACTCCAACGCCGACGACACCAAACTACCTTTGGTACTCAACACCTCGCACCCACCTACGCTGCGCTCCCAACCACATCCTCACGCAGGCTGCGCAGGCTGCGCTTCTCATCTCTTTGTAATATTCTCCTTCATTCTTGATCTGTTGTCATCGCACATCCTACCGCTCATCCTCATCCTCCCGACTGCGCCCTCTCGCGAATGATACCTAGTTTGACCTCTGCGCCAACATGGCGTCAACCCTCGTGGGCGCGACGTTGAATATTCTCCGTAACGCAAACCTGACCCTCTCCACGAGACCATCACACTAACTCTCACGACACAGGCCGCCAGGTTGAAGACGTCGATCCAGACGGTACGCTGCCACGCGCCATATTGCCCACGATGCGCTTCCGATGCATTCGCTAATTGATCCTCGAAACAGACCCTCCCGAAGCTGGCCAGAAAGAGATCTTCTCATCATGGGCCCTCTTTATTCTGATCATGCTGCTGATTGCGGCGCTGTTTACGAGTTACATCCTACAGCAGAAGAGAATACAAGCTGTCCATGAGACCGTCATATCTATATTTGCTGGTACTCGTCAATTGCTGGATACAATCGTACGCCGCTAACTGCGGTATTCAGGCATGGTTGTGGGACTGGTCATACGCATCACACCTGGCACTGCGATACAAGACACTGTCAGTTTCGACTACCAATTCTTCTTCAACCTCCTTCTGCCGCCCATCATTCTCGCCTCCGGTTACGAATTACATCAGGTAAGGAAGGGGGTTTCTGGCAAAGAGACTGGATCTGCGCCCACACCGGATATCAACTAATGGAGCATAGGCAAACTTCTTCCGCAATATTGGCACGATCCTGACCTTTGCATTCGCTGGTACCTTTATCTCCGCCGTGTCCTTGGGCCTGATACTCTGGCTGTGGACGCGAATCCCTTTTGACGGCCTGACCATCACCTGGGTCGAGGCCATCTCGGTCGGCGCAACCCTGTCCGCTACCGATCCCGTCACTATCCTCGCTATCTTCAACTTATACAAGGTCGAACCCAAACTGTACACGGTCATCTTTGGCGAGTCCATACTCAACGATGCCATTGCCATCGTCTTATTCGAGACTGCCCAGCGATACAGGGAAGGGGCTTCGGGGAACTTGAACATTATCAGCCTGTTCGAGGCTATCGGCATCTTCTTACTTGTCTTCTTTACGAGCTTGGTGATTGGGGTGGTGGTGGGCATCGGCACAGCCCTCGCTCTGAAGTATACGCTCGTCCGCAGGTTCCCAAAGATTGAGAGCTGTCTCATAGTTCTGATTGCATATGCGAGCTACTTTTTCTCCAACGGTGTTCACATGTCAGGTATGTACCATTCCACAACTCTGTGTCTCTTGCAGGACGCTGAAGCATTCGTTTACCAGGCATTGTGTCGCTCTTATTCTGCGGAATCACCCTGAAACATTACGCATACTACAACATGTCCCGAAGAACTCAACTTACCACGAAATTCTTCTTTCAGATCACTGCTCAGCTGTCGGAGAACTTCATTTTCATCTATCTGGGACTCACACTATTTACCGAGACCGATCTAGTTTTCAAACCACTGTTCATCCTCGTTACAGTTGTCGGCATCTGTGGCGCACGGTGGTTGGCTGTGTTCCCGCTTTCAAAAGCTATCAACTATATCATTCGACTCCGAGCTAAACGCCGTGGCCGCGACGTGGCGGAAGAACTTCCATGGCATTATCAAGTCATGTTGTTTTGGGCTGGCCTGCGGGGTGCCGTCGGTGTCGCCCTGGCCGCTGGGCTACAGGGTAACGAGGGTCCCGCACTCCGCGCCACTGTCCTTGTTGTGGTGGTGTTGACGGTCATTATTTTCGGCGGCACAACGGCACGGATGTTGGAGATTCTGGGCATCCGCACAGGCGTGGTCGAGGAGATTGACTCGGACGACGAATTCGATATTGAGACGGCCAATGGCGGTACATACTACAAGCGATCCGGGACTGGTTTCGGCCACAACCCGCGACCCTCGGCGATCGGCCTTGACTACGTGGGCAACGGCCGCGAAACAAAAGCCAATGGCTCGGCGTCACACGCTCGAAACGACAGAGGGTACAGCAGTAGCAACGGCCGGTCTCCTCCACTTCATCCTGGAGGCCAGCGCAAAAACTCTGCCATCTCTCAACGTGATCGTGATCTCGTCGCTCAGCAAGGGAAATTACTGTCTGGCCACGGCAGCACCAGCGGGTCAACATCCGATGACGACGAAGATGCTGCTGCCGAGCTCGACCTACCACCCGCCGCACCACGAAGAAAACAGTCTCCTCTATCGCTCCCACCAGGAGCTCACGATACACGGGTACGGTCTGCGCCTGATATTATTCTCAACAACGGAGATGGTGATTCCCTAGGAGTCGACCAAGGAGACATGGGCACAGCTGCTACCCAACCTGTAAGAGCGTCGACGCCGCTAGTGGGAGCAAGTAGCTCGATAAGGAACCTATTGAGGGGGGCAACGGCGGACCACACTGCTTGGTTCCGCCAGTTGGATGAGGATTTTATCAAGCCACATCTGTTGTTAGACCAGCATCAGGGTCAGGGCAAGGGCCCACCTCCTTCATGAGCACAGCACAACTCAATTTTCTATTCTGGAGGACGCCTTTCGAGGGTGCAGGAAATTAGGTGGGGGCTTATTCGTTGCATTAGGGCGCCAGGTGTTTGTCAAAAGTGATTTTTGAGCTGACATGATAGTGGAACAAAGGGATTTTGACAATAATGGCCATGAGTACATATCTCAGGGACTGCTAGGAAATAGAATGGATGCGACTGTACATCTTTCGAGAGGCATGGAGATTATAGTATGAAATCATTAACCCGCCCTTGTGACTTTGCACAGATTACGAGGTATTTAGATACTTCTCGTGATACATCAAGATACTAGTGTCCAACCTGCGAACGGGAATTCAAGAACTGGGCAACTCTCGAGAACCATAAGAGGCTCATCCATGATCAACGCCCCCAGATACTTGAAACAGCCGGTATCGCAGAGGACTGGCGTCAATCTGAAGTCACAGTCTATCGAACGAAATCAGACACGACTTCATGGTCTGACAGAAGGTTACAATATTAGCAGTTCTGGAAGGATACAAAGTCACACGATCACATGTATCTTCGGGGGGAAATGTCGCACAAGAAAAGAAGCTGTCGGGTCGAGAGATGCCATACGCCGTGCGAACTCGAATGCGAAATCGATCTGACCTGTGAAAGGTTTTTTGATTTGAACTTATGCTTGAACATGGCATGGGCTTTAGTCTTCACATGGACTACAATTAAAATTTCAGTAGAAATCTACGGTCCTGGTGATTAGTCGCATTGTACTCGGTATACTAGAGAATTCAAGCTTCTGAGGTGCTCCCGAGGTTGTGGTATACTACCCACCATACACAAAGAATCTCGAGTACCTCAATTATGTACCATTCATTGTGTATGTGTATATACATGGTAGGCTATTGGCCGGTCACTCGAGATGACTAACAAGGCCACTACCAGAGAATTGGGGAGGGCGAAGAAGGGGGGAAAAAAAAAAGAAAAAAAGAACAATTCGAAACACAGACACACACAAAAGGCCAAAAAAGTTCGAGTGATGACTTGCGTCAGCCGGGACTTTGTAGATTGTTAGCGATAAGAACATCAATATAAATTCACAGTATACTCACATCGAACCCGGGGCTAGAGTTGTCAACCGGTGGAAAACCATCCATGGAAGACTCCAATGTTACCATTACACCACCAACGCTTGAATTGAAGGCAATTTTGGGGTTTGGAAATAATATTCTGCAGTAAATAAAAAGTGGGGTGGTTGGCCCACCAAGGCACCCCTTGTTAGTAAAGATTGGCTGGCAGGCTGACTCTAGAAATCCTACATCCCGCCATGCGTCCCTGTACTTGTTCATTTCGTTGTCAGCTTTGGGCCAGGAATCATCAAGAGTCACTTGGGGGAGGCCATCATATTCGTGGGAGCGGTCAAGAATCAACAGTTTTGCGGGCGCCCTCTCCTCCCTGGCCCAGCTGGAAATCTAGAGTCTCTCCCAGGCGGTAGCCGTCGCCCCTGTTTGTTATATCTGAGTGTCACTGTAAAGGGCCAGTAGAGAGGCTTGAATGATGAAGTCCAGGACGGCTTTAACCAAGCTTTCTACGAACCCCAAGAACGGATTTCCCCGTTGCCTTGGAACCACTGAATGCAGAAGAGCCTATGAGACATGGGACTTACTAACAAACATCCGCGAACATGCCAACAAACTCAGCACCCATAGATGACTCGTGTCATCGGGAGCGGACTCGTAGTTGGATACAAGCTTACAAACGGCAGAAAGGCGGGACCTGGAGCGATGGTGATAGCGTAGCCGGGTTGAGGCGAGTATAGCATGAAGGCCCATGAGACGAGATTGAGACAAAGTGGGAAAAGAGTATTAGGCTTCATGGTCTTCATGACTCTTGACACAGATACCCAGACAGCATACTTGAGAACAACATCTCCACTAATTCCCTGGATTACTGGAAAGGCACTTGGACATTTTCAGATCAATAGCTTCATTCTCTGTGAGGGTTGCTTAACAAGCGGAAATGAACTGGCTACGAATGCCAATGAGAACCTTGCGACGTGTCGCATCCTAATCTATCCCTAGCCCCGTGTGTTGGGGACGTCGAAAAGGCAAGGCACAAAGTACACGCTGTCTTTCTCCAGGTTCTCGAGTTGCCTGGTTTCCGGACGCACATTCTCCGGAGAAAACGACAGGTGTGGCATAACTTTCCAGCTGGCGTATGCATCATCGTTGTTAAACACATGGCCATGTGCCAATCTCAGCACAAGATCGATGGCATCCGGCTGCAGCGGCCCACCCTGGACGAGGCATAGAAGATCCGCGCTTCGAGTCAAAGTCTTGAACACTTTGAAGTCTGATGGGAATTCCGTAAGGCTGCCGCGAAAAAGCCCCTTCGCAAGCTCTACCCAGTCGAACCCATTGTTCATTGGCAGGACGTGGAGAAGAGCTTTGAGAAGAATACAATCAACCATGTTGCAGACGTCAAGGTGGGGTTTGGCGCTCCATGGGGTCTCGAGAAGGATCGGCACCGAAGGGTCACAATATTCGGCCAACTATTTTGTAAGACGGCCGGACCCTGTTCGAGAATTTTCCTCGGACCAATGTGATAGCGTTCCCAGAAGAGTTTCAGAACCCTCAGCGAGTAAGCACTCTCATCCTTGTAGAGAGGGAAAATTGTCGTCTATTCAGGCTCATCCTTGTCATCCTCTGCTGTTCGCTCGTTAGAGGGGGGACGCTGTCAATGTGGTCTGATAGTAGCATGGTGTGAGATGAATTCATTCCTATGGCGGTCGCCTTGATCAGTATCTCACCACAAAAGTGTCCCCTCTGAGGACTATTACAGGAACGGCCTTTGGCGAGAGGTTCAACGAAAAGCAACCCACCGAGTAGTCATTCAATAGCTACGAGATGGCTGCCAAGTCAGACATAGCTAGTATGCTGTGTGTGGTGGTGGATCACTCCTCATTGCTATTTCTCGTCCAGATCGTTGATATGGAAGTACGCAAGTACAGTAAATCGGTTCGCAATATTGATTATCCGAAGCTGTGGCTGTCCGAAACCAGAATGGGAATTGCTACTCTGGGACATTACCCACTTTTATTCTTCTGGGGTTGTGTAACGCGGGCAGGAACTGGACCCCGACACTTTGACGTCACAAAATGGCAGCCTTGGTGGCCTTCATCCTTCACGAGTTCAAGATCCTCTCTTCCAACATCCATCAACCGATCGAATACCGCCAATCGAAAAACCACTTGAGATCATTACACGCACCTGAAGCCGAAAATGGAGGGCCTGCCTAAATTCAAGGAGCGCGAGAAGGCGCTGGAAGACGAGTATATTCGCCGGAAGGAGTAGGTTTCGCCACTCACTCACTATACCACGCAGAAGCTCTTTCGAGATGTTTGCGACTCGAGATATACCTGTCCATACCCCCTCATCCGTGCAGCATGCTGACAAAGACCGTGAAGAGCCGAGAAATTCAAACCGCCTGCGCCGACTCAGCCTGGAAGTTCCCAGCCCTCGAATCCAGGGCAGCATGTGAGTTGCTAAACCGCTTCAAGATGTCGTTGAGATATCTTGTACAACGTCTGACCAAGTGCAAGGTTCAATCCAAGAAATGAGCAGCTGGCAAGATAACTCGGGAGCCATGGGTGGTTGAAGGTTTGCACTTCACTGGTTGCGGAGGAGATGGATGTACGAGACACTATCCACCCAGTCATGGCGTCCAACAAAAACTTGGTCCACAGCAGTCCCTGACACGTACTTGCGATAGTTTGTGAGTATCTCCATTCCATCTACATACTTATAGTCGGGGTGGTCACCGTGAGGTGATGCTGATAGTGTCAATTTGCCATGGGAACGCTTCGGAACAACAGAAGATGAATTTGCATTATGCAGCTAACAACACATACAGAGTACCGTTCAGATGGCCCAGACTCCAACAGTCAAAAAGGCTTGCGGCAAGAGGTGGTGTCGTGCATGCTATTATAGGTATGAAGGATCAAGGAGGCGTCAGGCCAGGTTACACTCCACACAAATACTTTCTCTCAAGAACGTCCCCTCGCCTTCGATATGTCTAAGTCCCTTTCATTTTTTCCGGGCCAAGACTCCCGACCAACCAGGCCGTTGAACCGTGTCTTTTCCGAAAATTGCGCCAGCCTTGGCCACAGATCCGGTTTCCCTCTGTGCTAAATCTGTCCAGATTGCAGAGCAAGTCGCGACAAAGACGTTCGATTGGCTTAGAATAATTTACGAGCACTCCTGAACCAACATGACCCACTACGGCATTAGGTTGCCCAAGTACGATTTAAACATCGGAGTAAGGCGCGTGGCCCAGCCGAAATTACCCTAGCAGATGTGCCATCCCTGCAGAAATGGCAAACCCTCTCTGAAAACGACACTCTCGTATGAGGGTAAACGGCATTGCTCCCGTGCACTTGGATATTGAGCAGACCTGGACGTCTCTTGATTGACCTGCACGCCATCAGTGTTGGGGACTCTACCCTCGGCCCCGAGTCGATGTTTACCGCATTCTGTCTTTTTGATTCTTCCGATGAGATCTGAAACATACTTGGGCTGGACATTCCAAACTACTCTGTCTCACTCCGCCGCTCCCCGGAGCCAGTGTGATGGATAGTGGGGGGTGCTATCAGGCGACTCTCCAAGACCAGGGCAGAGGGTTACATGTTCGTCTATCATCAACCGTGGCGATTGTATGGATACCCTTGAAACGACCCCATAAGGTGTTCTGCCATCACGTTTAGACAAATATGCCGGTGGGTGTGGCTTGCTGCCTCTTTTCTTCAAAGTACACTATGCATTCAGGTTGGTACAATGCTTCAACAGTTGGGCAGGTTACGAGTCTTTGGTACAGACCGACCTCGTATTCTGGCGGCGGCTCTCGCCATCATCTTCCTTTTTGTTCTCCTCCCAACCAGATACTCGAGCCAGGTCCAGATAGGACATCTCTTCACGCCTCCGGTCGTGACGCCTCGGCAGGCTGCGGCAAATAAGACACTCGGAGTGAGGACCTTGGGGGCATGCTGTCTAGATTCCTCCTGGCTAATGGTCGGCTACAGTTCGAGAAGTTGTTGGCGCTTTCATCGAAACCCAGCTGGCGCACGCGCGGGCTGCAAGCGGCGGCCAACCTCACGGGTCTCGAGTTCACGATCCCAACACAACCACACAATCCCGAAGAGCTCGTCCATGCGTTTGAGGAGATCGGGGTCGGCTCGGGGGCCACCACACCCAAGCATGGCTCGGCCACGGCCTGGGTCGCCCACCTCGACTTGCTAAAGTACATCATCGCGGCGGGGTTCGAGACTGCTTTTATTGTCGAGGACGACGTCGACTGGGACGTCCGGCTCAAGTGGCAGGTGCAGTTGGTTTCGGACAACATCCGCAACTACACACAGGTGTCGGAGAACGACACGGCGCCGTACGGCAGGGACTGGGACGTACTCTGGCTGGGTCACTGCGGCTCGGCGATCGACGACTGGGTGGCCCCGGGCCTGACATACGCCGACAAAACGCGGATCGCGACCAAGCGGTACGTGAGCTGGTCGACCAAGTTCCTCAAGGAGAACGTGCCCGAGGGCCACCGACACATCCACATCTCGACCATGACGGTCTGCTCGTTCGGGTACGGCGTGACGAAGCAGTCGGCGCAGAAGATCCTGTCGCTGCTCGCGCAGGGGGCCGACGAGGCCTTTGACGTGGCGCTGTCGCACCGCTGCCGGTCCAACGAGCTGCGGTGCCTGGTGGTGAACCCGCAGCTGATGCACCACTACGAGCCGCCCAAGGACCGCGGGTACGTGTCGCCCGTGGACGTGGGCGACGGGGACGGCGAGGCCGGCAACGAAACCGACTACGAGTCAGTCAAGGGCACCACGCTGAACATTGTCAAGAGCGCACGGTGTCGGGCCCTGTTTCACGACACGTGCATGTGAGACAAAACCATCCCATCTCCCGCGATATCGGAAATGATGAATTGTTATTTTTGGGTGTTATAGATACATATGATTGTACCTTGGGGTATTCCACCTTTTGACGAAACAATGTCGTCTCTCTGTCTCTCTTTGTCTTTGTCCTTTTTTTCTCCCTCTTTCCACCTATCAAACGCCGGTCACAGTTTACGCTCTCGCCTTGTTCTCATTGATCATGTTTTGACTTGTCGAGATGATAGGTCGCCACGGTGAGGAAACTAAAATTACTGCGATGCGAAATTAACGAGGACAAGTACAAGCAGTTTGTCAATGTCGCTTACACAACACCGACTTTCTCCCCCTCCTCTCCCTCGTGCGAGAGAGTACCCGGGTACTTGATGGTGCAAGTTACAAGCCACCTATAAATAGAACCCGTTTAATACCCATCTAGTTAAACTTGGGAACCCTAGTGTTGCTGGGCACACTAAAGTAGTACCTACAAGTACTCCGTACGAGTACCGAGATATGTACCTCGTGACTTGATTCCCTCATCAGTTTTTTTTTTCCCTCTCTCAAGATTTTCTTGGTATGGTTCGATGTTTCAGATTCGTGTTTCTTGGGGTTAGGAGGTACTTACCGAGTACTTTGGGCTAACAAAGAGAGAGAAAAAAAAAGGAGGTCCACCGACTAATTGATACCTCGCACTTGTACTTGGCCTTGTCCTTGTGCAGTTTGGGATCTGACGTGGACCTGCGACTGAAAGGGCAGGTACCTTGGCACGCCTGGTAGTACTATGTAGTAGTAGTAGTAGTATTTCGTGCCTGCCTCGCACCATCGCTACTACTTGTACCGAGTTACTTAGGTATTTACTGAGTACCGAGTACTTGTACTCCGTACAGGACCGAACAGGCATATTCTCCACTCGATTTCCCTTGGATCTTTTTCCATTCTTGGTAGTGGGGGCCACGAGACGAGCGGCCGCGGGTACCACGTAATACAAGACATCACTACCAGTATTCCTCGTACAAACGGCCGCGTAGGCATGGTGGCAAGGTAGGCAAGCTGGCAAGCTAGGGTACTTGGGGACATGCTCTCTCGGTCAGAGGTTCCAGAGTGAATCATGACGATGGCGGGGATGACCTATCACCAGAACGATCTCGAGGCAGAAAACAAAAGGAAAAAAGGGGCAAGGGAGAGGGTGCTAGTACAGTATAACCCTACCTACCCAGTCTGCCAGTATGGATGGACCATGTTCTGTAGACCATTGTCGGCGCTGGCAACGAGAACTAGGTACCAAGTACAGGTATTGATGGAGGTATTACGCGATAACATTAATATAGGTACGTACAGAGTATATATTACAAAGGCACCGCTCCTTCCCCCTCTTGCTTCCAAACGCCCACAAGCCTCTGGCAGAGAGACGAAGCCTTGCCTCCTCGTAGCATCCTCCCTGGAACTGTACCTGACGTGTACTGTGCACCGATCACCCCCCAACCCCTTTTTACTCCTTCTCCCCCTCAAGCTGACAGCGAGGACTCCCCAAACCCCTGGAACAGTGCTATCTCGGCCCCTCGGATTTCTTCCTCAAAAACACCCTCTTGATCCCCCCAATATCCCCCAGGCTCATACGGTTGCTCTTGGATCGTGCACCAAGGCTCATCCGCCGTGAACTCTTTACATCACTTCCAACAGAACTCGTGCTTGGACTGGTGGAAACCGTCACAGGGCTCGAGTTCGCATTGGTGCTCGGGCTGGAACTGAAATACGACAGCCGACGGCCCCTGCTAGGAGGTGTCGACAGGAACGTCGTGGTTGTGGTGGTCGTAGTCGTCGTCGTGCCATTAGGCCCTTGCACCATGGTGGCACTGCCACCACCGCTCACTGCCCGGGCTTTCCCCACCATCCCCTGAACCCATGCATCATTACTCGAGGCAGGCGTCGTCCCGTACGTAGCCGCGCGACGCACATTCATCTTAGGGCCAGCAGCGCCAAGAGGAGTATAGTTAGTAGTCGTGCTAGGAGGAGTCACCATCGTTGTTGTCGTGACACCGCCTGGGCCGATGATGGTCGAATATCGTGGCTGGGATACGGTTGCTGAACTTTGACTAGGCTGTTGAGACTGATCATTCAACAGGGTCGTGTCAGGGTCGACAAAGCCTGCCTCGGCACCATTCTCGTCATCAGTGGCCGTGGGAAACGCCGGAGAGCTGACGGTAAAAGAGGATGGGATCGGTGGTACCGGAGGTGGTGTCCATGTCCCCTCAACCCTGCTCTTACGACGTTCAGGTGAACGATGTCGTTGAGCTGATGGTCGTGTCTTGGGGTTAACGAGCTCGACCGATGGGGTGCCCTCGAAGGTTGTCTGGGCCACGACGGGTGATCTCGATTTTCGGCGTCCTTGGGGAGCCGACGTACCACCACCCGAACCCACAGAGTCTCTGGCTCCGTTTCCGGGAAAGCTGGCAACCTCAAGTCGGCCATCGATGGTCGCTCGGCTCCCATGGTGAAGACTATACTCTCGCAAGTACTCTCCAAGATCGGCCCATCCCCCACCGACCCGGACCATGACACGGTCCCCGTCTCCCACGGTCCGAACAAAGAGCTTGACTGGAGGGGCTTCGCGACCCTGTCCGGACCGTGTCAAATGGTACAATCTGATGTCAGGATCAGCAAGGCTGCCTCTGCGGCTCGACGTGTCAGCTTTGGCTGGTGATAATGTCAAAGACGCAGTGGGTGTCGAAGCACGGGTCGACGAGGTGGATGACGATGGAGCATCTGCATCTTTGGCCAACCGGATTCTAGTAGGGAGGCTTGTGAGTATGTCTTGGATTCTGTCGTCGAGCGATTCTCTCGTTTTTGGCCGTCTGGGAGATTGTCCAACCCCAGCCATCAGCGTGGCGGAACGCGCTCCCTCCAAACCTTCTTCTTGACCCCTGCTTGCTACTGGTGTGATGGGAGTACCGTCGACTGTACTGATGCGCTTGCTCGACCTCCTTGGCAAAACGGGCATAAGTGGTTCGGGCGTCGAGTGTGGATCTAAAGACCTGACCTCGAGGGTTGTTTGCACGGGAGTCGAAGCCTCGCTCGCCGGTGATGAGTGTTCGTGTACTTCCACTGTAGCTGTAGGCGCCTTCGCCGTAGACTCGGCACCACCTGTCAATTGTGTCAGTGCTTTGGAGGGAGTGCTGTCTGCCGACTCTGCCATTTGCGTCAGAATGTCCCAACTGGCCGCCCGTCTCAGCACAACTTGTTTCAATTTGTCTTTCGGGAAGACCTCTATGGAGGCAGTCGACGCACGCTGGAGCATGGGCGGCTTCAAAGCCAGCTGTTGCTGAGCTGCGTACGTCGACCCAAACCAAGCAATCTCATCGTGGCTTGTCGGAAGAGGATTCTCCACCACATGAATCTTGGGACTTGGAAGCACGCTGGTTGTCCTGGCGTCCATGATCTCTGCGTTTGATATATCCGACAACGTCGAGTACATGGACTCAGCAACCGAGACTTTGGAAACATCTCGCTTGTGGCCCTTTTGGTCGGAAAGGTCAAGCTTCAGCGAAGGTTTGTGCTTGGTTTTGACGGCCTCCTTGTCTGATGGAAAAATATCTGGGACTGTGTCTTCAGGTAGGTTGTGGGTCGTGGTAGGAGGTTGGGCGACCTCTAACAGCTCGTCTGGTTCTCGCAATGGACTTCCTTGGTGTGAGGATTCCGGAGGTGCTGGGCTTCCAGCAATATTTTTCGTCTCCGTGTCTCTGCTAGATTTTGAGGCGAGCTTGTTTCTGAGCACAACGTGGTCTGCTTCGACCGCCCAGGTGGCATAGTCGAGCTCGATCTTCTCGAGGGTATCGATCCAGGCCTGTGGCAGAGAATCCTCACGCCCTTCAAGCATATCCAGAAATCGATCGATGCGACGCCCCATGTCCGACACCCGTCCACCCAACGTCGTTTTCCTCTCGTCCAAAGACGAGTCAGTCAGCGCTTGGGCGGAATCTGGTGTTCTGATCTCTTTAAATGCTTGCTTGATCTCGGATTGGGTGGAGTGCATAACATCGAGGAATCTCGGGAGGTCTCTCAATACTCTTAACCGCACGTCCCAGGTGTCCAGCAGCATATTCACCTTGGCAAGGTCTGGGAGTGCTTGGATCACCGTCGCAGTGATCAGGGCAGTGAAATCGCGCATTCTTCCGTAGCTGGAGCGTGGACCCACGGGTCGAGACGACGTTGTCGGACTCGATGCTGGCAGATGAGCTTCGAGCACATGGTCCTTGATCTCGTCAATGCCCAAACTGTCCAGGTCGTCCCTAATGTCCTCGATTCTCCCCTCGTAGTCCTCCGCCACAGACGCAGGCAAACAGCCGCGGTAATCTTCAGCCTTGCCGCTTGAATTTGACGGAGGTACAAATCCTAGACCAAATCCCCTCTCTTTCTTGCCTGGCCACGTCCATTGTGACAATTCATTCTTCCATTCCCGCAGTTTCTGAGCGGCGAAAGCGGCTCTTATCCCAATTTCTCGCTCGGCGGGGGTTGCATCCGCAATGCTCGTTGTCAAAGCATCTTCTTGCGCAGCCCCACCGGAAATCGTTTCTGTGGCCTGCAGTGCTCTCAGCGTCGAGTCCGGCGTCAAGTTTCCAAGGAGAGGGTCGAGCTCTCGAATGGCGAATTGAGCTCTGCGTCGAGGGGACCGAGAGGGAGAGCGAAATGGTGACGGAGGGTCTAAGCGAGGGAACTGCGGCGCTGTGGGAGTTTTGGGTGCCATCTTCTCCATCAAAGTATGCCCTCAGTCTATCTTGCCAGCAAGCACTCTTGCTTCTTTCTCAAAGAGTTCCAGCCTCCGTAGAAGCAAAATAGCAGCATGCTGAAAAGGCTGCTGTCCAGCGCTCACGAGTGGCGGTAGTGCGAGGACATTCGAGACAATGTTTGAGGATGATTGGTGGCACTGCGCAGGCGGTAGTTCGTGCAAAAGGGTCAAAGGAGCGACACAGCAGGGGTGCTTAAGAGGATGCAATCATAACAGGACGATCAGGAAATAGAAAAGGATGTTGATGCTGAATGGTTTTGTTGTATGTAACAGGTTCCCACACGCCACCCACAAAGCTGCCCCCAGGAAAATCCCCCTGGTTCGCTGGTCCCCTGTCTGCCTAGTAGGTACTGGTCTCTGTGGGTGTGTGTTGATGGTGTTCATGCCGGGTATGGCCGTCTTGCAGATAGGCGAGATGAGTATCCTTCTCGCCAATTCGCGTACCCGGAAGGACGCGCCGTTTCCGTTGTCTTGGGGCGCGTGGAACCGTGGCTGATGTTCTCTCACAGGTTCTTCAAGCTAAACCCATTCATCGCTGCTAAACATTTAACGAATCTCCCTACGAGTGCCTTCATCGTGCACTGCACTGCCCCTCTCCTGCAACGCGCCGATCTGATCGTCCCAGGAACAATGCAATGCGCTTCAAGAGCCAGATCAAAAATGTGAATCTACTCGCAAGTAGGCGGCCTCCACACTTACCTCGCCTCGCTTCAATCCAATTAATAGCTTCTCAGAATTCTGCGCCTCGTTGGCCTCTCTGGGCCAGATTGCCTGGTGCCGGCTTGACGACGATGGGGTTCAGTTTACCATCATCCCCGACAAAGGGAGCCAAGTCTGGTCCGTCTTGAGGCCCGAGATGATCTTTGAGACATACGTCCTCCAATCTGCGTCACCAAAGAACACAATCAACTTGGAAGTCCCCATCCAAGCCCTTTCGCGAGCTCTCCGGTCGGCGCTTGGGGCGACTTCTACACAGATCAGGCTGACCAAGAAGGACAACGTCCCCATACTTTCGTTGACGATTGTGACCAACTCCTTTAGCAGCGGCAACAATGTCGTGGCCCGTCCTACAACAGTCAGGGGCCAAGGCGGTGCGGGAGAGTTCGACTTCGATGAGGTCGATGATTTATCGTTTCACGAACCCCATAGTAGTGGCTCCGGTGAACGAGAGACGATCATCACTCAAGACATCCCTGTCAAAGTCCTGGCGCCGACGGTGGTCGAGAGCCTCCATCAACCCCGAACGCCGGAACCAGACGTGAACATCTATCTTCCTCCTCTGGTTCAGATCAAGACAATATCCGAACGTTTCACACGATTGGCACTCGCCACAACCAAGGGGTCTTCGAGCACCAGTCCTCGGCTGGAACTCAGTGCCAACATGCATGGCTCGCTCAAGGTCTCGATCAAAACCGACGCTCTCAACATCTCAAGTCGATGGACGGGACTGGCCCATCCCCAGCTTGATCCGGAACATTTTCCAGACTTGACAGATCACCCCACGACCAGAATGAAGGAGCTCGGTGGCCCGAACGGGGAGAATGAGGCGGGGTGGTCCAGGGTTCGGATCGATGCCAAGGACTGGTCCAGGGTTCTCAGTGTCGGCCGAGTCTGTACCAAGGTTATTGCATGTTTCATCAATGAAGGGGCCTTGGTTCTATATGTGTACCTGCCGGCGGACGAAAGCGGCGACGAGGGAGATCCCTGTCTCACGGTGAGTTGAAGACATTTGCCTTACGGACCAGATGCTGACACTGGGTCAGTACTACATTAGTTCCTTCTCTGCCTGAATCTTGGGCCAGCATCGATATCACGGGGGTTTCAAGTCTCGGTAGAAAGGCCGCGTCGGGCTGCCTGGCCATGACGCGATCACGATCACAGTTACACTTATGAGAGGGGCAAAGATAGGTGAACGTGGCAGAATGGGATCTCCAGTGATCATGCACTGTATTATACACATTCGCTCCAAACCTCCCCGAGCCCTGCACTGTACACGTCCAAGCTCCTTTGCTTGTACTTGTTGCAATCCTATTGATTGAAACGAAAAGATCCAAAAAGCCGTGGATTTGATTGGCTAGGTAGACCCGACGCACGCGACGTGACTATCAAGACTGTTTACGTGTCTAATCACGTGATTTGATTATCATCTGCACGCTTGGTTGCACCGAGCTGCATAAGTTTTGTACCGCTAATAACATCTGTACCAGCTTTCTTGTATTCGACTAGGTCTAAAACGTCGCTGCGTCCAACGACGCACTTACACCTCATGGAAATGCTACGCTCAATCGAATATTGTGCGCTGTGACCCTAGCAAACCTGAGAAATGTTGCCGGAGACCTCTCATCGACGACCAACCCTCTTCTGGCAAGCAACGGGACTATTTTTGGCGGAAGTGGTGCGGTATTATCGGTCGCCCTGCCCGAAAATCAATGGATTCTCGAATTAGAGCATTATCACTCCATTGCAATGGCACAGCTCCCGCGGACGGTCTTCCAGTGGGCTACTGGGTAGGTCGCTCCCGAACCACAATTCGTCGAATACGTCCTGCCACCCACAGACGAACAGGACTCGTGGTTCTGCAATAACATGATCCTCAAGTCAAATATCTACCAGCCGTTCAAGCTAGTAGTGATCATATTGATTGTCACCTTCGGAGCATTAATTATCATTGCTGCTGTGATCATCAGCAAGTTGGTCAGAGCGTCCTATGGACAAGACTGCCGGTTCATGGAGATGACAGCCTTCATTCCGCTTTCGAGCCGGACAAGACGAGCACAAGGTACGCAAGGTGAGATCGAAGTGGCCAGGGATCTAGAGATCGACAGGCTTTTCTGGTCCACAGCTTCGCTCGAAAATCTACGACATATTATATGGAGACGACCAGGTGGATTGCATATAGAACCCGCAAGTCCCCGGGTGGTGCCAGTGCGGTTGACTGACATATCTATCACAGAAATTTTGTACAAATTCGTTACGAGACACGATAATTACATCCGATTTGACCATTCTGGAGACGATGCGTTTCAGGGCGAAGGAGCTGTCGAGGTTACAGAGCGGTCCTTTCGATGGATTCGCGGACATCCTCGACCCTTCATCTTCGCTGAAGTGGAGATGCATATGCGGGTTCAGTAGATTGACGAGGCAACGTCCACCACGGATGGAAGCATACGACTGCAGAAAAGTGTAGGCCGAGGACCTTTTCGGAAGTGTGGAACAGATGATGCATGCTCTGGATGGGTTTTCCACAGCTCATGACGGTAACATTGCGACTTGCGAACCCAGAATTCTCCAGCGTCGCTAGAATCCGGTTTTGTGCACCACGGCAGTGCAGTCTGAGGGTGGCGACAGTTCTGTTCCCTGATCTTGGATGATGGTGACGTCCATGAGCCCCAGACCTGTGTCTCCAGCGAGTAATTTGGTGGATTCGAGACCAGGCATGGCAACACCGCCGATTTTCCAAGATCTGGCTGTCGGAAGAGAAATAGGAGCAATGGCTGTCATCTCGCCCGCAGTCTGCGAGTTGCCTTGCTGGGAAGGGCGAGTGTTGCTAGGACTCTCGAGATATAGAACCCTGCCGTCTGTTGTTTTGGGTCATTCCCTCATGGAATTCAATCAACGCTTTCCGTCTTTTCCTGGACTCCCTCTCTCTCCCGTCGTCTCTTCTCCTGTCTTGCCATAGGATGTTCGTCGTCTTGGGTGATCTCACCAGGTTTTAGCCCGAGAGCCCTGCGTAGTCGCTCACTCTCTTGTTCCTTTGCCTCGGCCAACTCATGCACCTGGTAACTTTTGAGACCCTTTCCATCCACTCTCCTAGCACCACTGCCTCCTGATCTCCCACCGTCCCGATTCTTCTCTCGTTCCGTCTCTTTGGTCAGTTGTTCTCTCAGCTTGTCGCACTCTTCGTCTATCTTCTCCTCCTCAAGCTCGTCTTCCTCCAGCTTCTCCCTCAGTTCTAGAACTTTGACTTCAATGGCTCGTAGGCGGTCATGGTTCAGGATTTCTTGGTCGGGCTTCCGAGTCTTGGGCCCTTGTCGCGCAGAGTCAAGGCTGTAGGGGGCGCCGATGCCGACGGCGCGAGGTTTGAGGACGGACAGGTTGCGCTGAACATAACCTGATGTTCCTGAGCCGCGCGGCGTGGAGAGACCGACATTGGACGACATGTTATGGGCTTTAGTTCTGTACTCTCTCGTGGATTGTAAGTTGGTGATGAGTGGGTGATTCGATTTCCTAGTACTCGGCTTGTCGGTACTACTGGATGAATGAAAAGCCAGGACGTTGCGTTATCGATAAGAATCACGTGCCTGGTCTTTCTTTTTCTCCTCGTGTCACCATCCTTGCTCCGCTCGAGTTGCCACTTCTCTTACCAAGGGCAGGGAGGGCCTGCCTGAACAAGTACAAGTAGGTGCGTAAGTACCGAGTAGAGGTCTTGGTGCCTAGCTAGAAGCCTAAGGGCCACTCACCCAGGGCTCGCCAGTGTCCCGCCTTGCCCTCTCAGCTGCGACCTGGTGGATGCCTCCCGCCTGGAAGCCCTTAGGTGCTGGCGCCTTACTGTTCTCGTCTACAGACGGAAAATGAATCCGCATCTGCGTCGAATGTCTCGCCCCTTCAACCACTCACCACTCAGCACTATCTGTTGCCCGTCCACTCTAACTTGTTCCATTTAAATGCTCACGCCTATTAAGTTCTCCATACCGCTCGTTCTCTTCATCCCTCTCATTTTCATTTCCCAGACCTCATTTCTTGTCGTTGGCCACCAAATCCTCCTGCCTCCAGCCCTCAGCCCTCATTCTGCGGCATTTGAAGTCATTCTGCGTCGTGAAGTCGACCCATCCTCGATACTTCTATACCTTGATCCGTATTGAGACCTTTCCCCCTGTCTTCTTTTCCTTTTTCCAGATACTTGGTCTCCAGAGACGCAACTGGTTTTGCAAAGTGCCTCAATTCTCACTCTCGGACGAGGCCCTTTGGTCCCCTCAACCTCAATATGTATCACTCTCCTCTTTGAGCCCTGCCAAAGGGGAAGCTGTCGACCTCTCCCCAGGGAAATAAATACGGCGGACTTGCCTCTCGATTGCGTCATCGTCCTCCCTCCCCAAGCTCATCGAATCCGTCTCTGGTGTCGTCCTGGTTATCCGTCCTATACATGGATGCCATGTTACCTGGCCAAGGAAGCATGCTACCGACTTGGTGAACCCGTCCTTGCCACTCCTGTTGTCCATCAGGTCGATACCGGTCCTGGGGGAGGCCGTCGAGATGGAACTGGCTAGCAACAGGTTGCATGGGTATCCGGTGACTCTGAGGACCCGGTTGTCCCCCCTCCCCAAAGGTCATAGCGCTCATGTCTGGGTATAATGTGCCCTCCATCACACCCATATCTCCATCTTGCAGCATTGCAGGATCAGCGCCGCCACCCAGACTTTCTTGGAATTGTTGACCGAGGCCGTCCGGATATCCCTCCGGCGGGCCGTCAGATAGATCGCCCTCCTTGTCTACGTCCATCGCGGACGGTGGTCTTCTCCTTCGCCCTGCGCCACCATCAAGTGCCGGTTCTACAAAGGTGAGTCTGTCGTCACTGGTGGTGGACAAGGGGGTCATGGCAGAAGAGGGGGCTTTGTTGCGCGACAAATCTGGTGACAGGACATCCGGTGGGCGATATAATCGTGAATGATGCGAATGAGCCTGCATGTCCAAGACTGAATCTGACCGGCTCCCTAGCACGCGCGTATCGTCTATCGGTGGAGGACTCAATCCCAGTCCTCGAAGAATCGCGTCAGTCGATACCCGACCGCCACTCTCGTCTGGAATCACTCCTGGGAACCCGCGACCTTCCCGACATGCCCAGTAGAGTCTCTGGAGCGCCTCGTCAAGCACGTCCTGCATACCCCAATACCTAGAGCAACAAACATCAGGCTTCCTGTGCAAGGTGGTTCACTGCGAGAGCGCCGGTGTTGATACGGTCAGTAACTTACCAGTCTCTTGCCTCTCTTCGTCGTCGCGCGCTATATTCGCACGTGCTCTCACTTGCTAGGCACGCCGAGCAAGGGGTATTGCCATCGCACTACGCGAGAAATCAGCCATCTGACAATGCTTCTGCACTGGGATCGTCAACAAAAAAACTGTCCCAAGGGGGTCGATTCACCTTGCTCTTCTTGATCTTGCAGCGATCGCAGGCTCTCCCTATCCTGACCCGTGATTTGCCGGGCTCACCGCTTCCTGCTTTGGGTGATGGCTTAAGATCTTGAGCGTCTTTGCGGTTCGGCATTTTGTTGCCACGATGGGTGCTGGTCCAAAATCAGACCGCCGGGTTTTCAGATGGACGGTGTTGACGTTGCGACCCTGTCCTATCGACCAACAAGGAGGGATTCTCCTTGCAACTCGGCGGCAGTGAAGACACCCTGATTAGATGGCTACGTTATCGAAAATTTGTCAAGGTATGATTCTAATCGATAACTGACGGCCACAATTCTGTGGATAGCCACACATCCTTTCCCTCCAGATTTCGACACTATCTCAGCCACAGTATCAGCCACAACCTGTTCGATTGTTCCTGGGACAGAGAAAAGCCGGGATCACAGCAGACCAGTTCGTCTCAGCCAAAATGTTGGAGAAGCGGTCGAAAGATGGAGGGAAATGGGCATGGGACGAGAGTTGGCCACGAAACCCTGCTTGGCCCAGAGTCGGGTTGTAAGGTTGGGAAAGAGAAAGATCGGGGCAAGTGGCCGCACGATATGCAACTATGGCAGAATCGCCCTGCTAAGATGAATCTGTCCAATCGGCTCGACACACAAGTGGCGGCCTCCCTAATGGAATCGTCAATGAGTACCAGTAATTACTTGGACGTACCGCTACGGTACCTCTTCCACCATCTTCTCTTTGCCTTCGACCCTGATCGGCCTCCACAATCTGCCCGAAAATCTTTTTGCAAGCAAAAGGGCAGAAAGCCCTGGTCCTAGCCCCCTGCTAGTCGCCCACTGCTAGAATTTGCGTGGACATGTATCTGCGATCCGGGAGCCATGGCAATCTTTCTCCAATTATTCGTTGAGGAGAAGCAACTCCCGACCCCTTCAATTCGTTCTGTTAGAGAAAACCTGATGCTGGTGGGATCCTAGCGTAAGGTTAAGCCACACTTCCTTGCAACAAGGCCTCGTCTACGACTGGGGGTGGATGGTGGCTGGATAGCGTTTGATCCCATTTCTTACCACACTCTGGCACATCGACAGCCACTCACAGCATTGATGACTTTCGGTGAGTGGCTCTTCCCCTTGGGGCGAAACTACAGGAGTCGATACCTCTAGATCCAAACCACTGGTCAAGAGTGGTGGTCTCTGTACACCAGACGGCGACCAAGTAGACGTCTTTTGCCGGGTTGTGGACGCATAGATCCCCCACAAGCCCGCAAACAATCGAATCACCAACCGTGGTAAACTGTCGCCTTGAAACTTGGAGGACAAGCCCCGATAGTTGGGTTCGGATTGGCCTCTATTTTGAAGATCAAGAGTTGGCACTTCCTAGGATCCCACCAGAACTTGCCCGGAAGTTTTATCCTGGTGGCATTTGCCGCAGGAGGAAGACACAAGTGTGCTCCACTGGTCAGCCTCTCTTTGTCTAAGCCGGAACAGAGTCCCGTCGTCTCAGGAACCTCGAGCTACGGGGTATTGTTTGAGGATAATGGTTCCCAGAATGGATGCTGGTGCTGGTGCATCTCCTCCGATCACATTGACTGGTTTCAATGCGAATGCTCTACTTAAGTTGAACGCAGCCGCCTCTCCGATTTCTCCAGCACGATATACCTCATGCAACATTACCGCCGGATACAATGTCTCTGTCTTTTCTCCCCGATGGCCTCTGAGCAGGCTCGAGCGATGCCAGAAGCCTCCTTCACAGCCTTATAGCGGAAAGCCTTCCCTCAAAGTCCCTTTCCTTCGCACGCAATGCACAGTGGTCCCCCTGCTTTCAATGTCAACAGTCTTCCAGCCTTAAAGGCACAGAATCGCAGTTGCATCTCGCAGTGGATGGTGATTGCCTCCATAATGAATGGTCAAAAGCATTGGTTGATGAAGCAAAACTCGAGACAAGGCATCGCATCATCTGTTTTGACTTGTGAACCTACCAGGTGAAGATGCTACAGTGGCTTCGGCACATAATGCAAAGACTCTTCAACTTTGAGGCAGCGGAGAATAGGATGTCTTGAGGATACTTTACGCAACCCGAGCATGGCTTCTTGTCTCGGTACCAGCAATTCTGCCTTGGCTTATCAGCGTTCGGACCTGATGATGACAAAATCTTTGCGAAGGAGAGGGCTTTGACCCAACAATCACAGATATCGTCAGGTCTTGTTCATGGCATGAAGTTGGCCGTTCACGAAAGACGTTGGGAATACATCATCCTAACCCTGACCCTAAAAAGTGTTCACATTTGATTGATGAGTGTACTGATGCAGCAAGCAGTCTCGGAATCACAGACGAGTCGAACATGTCCCTCTCTACACCGGCGACCATTCAACCTGATTTCTTTGCTCGATCTCGAACAATCCAGTCCACGATTCTACTACAGGTCTAAAAGCTATAAAATTTTGGACGCAAGTGTGACTTGGTCTATACAAAAAGTGATGGAATTCAGCACACATTCAATCTTGGCGTCCGTGCATGGGAATACGGCCACCGATTATTCCATCTGAAACAGAAGGCAAGGCTGACTAGGTTGCGTGGATGTAAGTTACCGAAGGAGTCTTCTGGCGTGCTACGCGCAGTGTGGCACAAGTGCATGAGAAGACAAAATAGTCATACCACAGGCAAGGGCGATATTTTCGACGTCCAGTGCCGGAATATCCATGCTTTTAAACCCCCCTTTGCGCCCGAATCGAGAATGCTCATCAACACGAGGAAGAACATCAGGGCTGCTGTGGGCGTAGAGACGAGAGAGTACATGCAAAAAGGGGGTCGTCAAGAGGAGAGAATCACAAGAATACGTCCAAAAACGAAAAAGACAGAAAGGAAAAACCAAGACAATTCCTCCATACAAAGGTTAGGGTTTACAGAGGGAAAAGCAGAGTCAATTTCACGAGCATGGGAAGGGGGAACATAAAGAGGCTCGAGTCATTTCCACTTTCGAGAGTTGGAAACGGGAAGACACACGGAGGGAGACGAAAAAAGATCGAATAGAAGGAGATGCAGCAGATATTAGTCTAGCTAAGACCACACTGTCGAGGCATAGATAGGTAAGAAAGGGACGGTCTTCCTATTATAGGAGACAGGTCTGTAGGTCTGTTCCCTGGCCTGCCTACCTACAGTACCTGGTCCTATGTGTGTGTCCTACCCACCAAACATGCCCAGGTATGTATATATGTCTGTAGGTATGTATGGATCTTTACTTGCTGTCCTCGATACCTCTCTGTCGTCTTACACCCTTCTTCCTTCTCATTCTTCCTTCTCCTCAGCCTCGCACGCACAGTTGCGCACGAAACCACACACAAGTTCCTCACTTGTCACGACACTGAAAATATAGATCGATAAAGAAAAAGGGGGACAACAAGGTAGGTAGATAAGACACTGGAATATATATTGGATCACACACAAATATATTACATACAGAGATACATCCAGACATTGTTATCATGTATTAAAGCTCACTTCGACCACATAATGGATAGATAGAGTTAGATAGACACGTATACATACATGCATTGCATACATAGACATATACACATACATATCAACCAAATTGGCGAGTAAATGATACATGATACCGTCAGAATATACCCCGTATACTTGGGTACCTAGGGAGTTACCTGGCTGGCTGGTTGATTGACTGACTAACTGACTGACTGACTGGCTGGCTGGCTGGCTATATGCGAAAATCCCAAAACAAATTCTTCCGCAATCCGCATAGCATCGTTCCAAAGGCGACATCGACATACCCTCTCACGCACGCTTTCAGCTGTCCCACATTCCCTCGCCCAGCTCTAGCAGTGCATCCTGTAACCCCTTTCTCGCCCGGATGGCCTCCTCTCGGTCTTCGCCCCTCAACTTTGCGCTGAAACACAACTCGACCAGTGTGCGCAATTCGTCGTATGTGTACCCGACATCCTTCTTCTGCGATTTACAGTCCCGCACGTATTGCAGGATCGAATCTGGTCCGGTGAGGAAGAGGTCGAAATATCGACTCGAGGAAGTGAGCAGCCCGTCGTCGTCGTCATCTCCGTCGGTGTCATCGGCGCCTGAGATACCAAGACCAGCTGGGTCCTTGTTGTCGTTGGTCCAACTTCGTCTCTTGTGCGTTGTGTTCGCCAGTATCGCTCTCAGATTCTGCTGCACCACCATGGTATCAATCCTGACTCTTTCTGCTCCGTTTGTATTCATCACCCCGATCGCATCCGCTGCGGCCACGAGATAGCGGTCCACAAGCTGTGAAAGCCCCCTGAGGATGAAATTCCTCTCCCGAGTGCCCAGAAAGGACGCAATGTTGGAGTCGAAAGCAATGAGATCATTGTTGAGCTCGAGGATCAGTGGGGATGCCGAAGACGGTGGGGAAGATAGGACATATGGATAGAGTCCCGAATCGAGAGGTGGAGCACCTGCAGAGTCTCGGTTGTCTGAAGGCGACGTTGGGCTTTTATTATAGTCAGGCCCGCGTAACGTACGCGATAGTTGGTGAATGATACCACACCGGACGTCGATGTGGAGGGTCAGCAGGCATGTCTGTGCCAGTGAGCGGAAGGACGATACCACCGTGTCGAAAGGAATGGCGGTCTCAGATGTGAGAGGCAGGAAAACAGGGACAGCAGCGCCAGGGTACGAGGGCGACTTGCTGGATCCGCCACTTCGCAGACTGGTGATCAACGTCCACCGTCGGACACTCCTGTTTTGTGAGCCGCTTCTGGCATGTGAAAGCCCCGTATGCGTGCCGCTCTCGACGTGTCGAATCTGCGCCAGCGCGGCGCCCAACCATTGCATGCTGTTGTAGAGCAGAGAAAGTTGGTGAACTGATTTGGGGTCGGAGATAATGTCGTAGGCAGAGAGCGGGTTCGTCTTGGTTGCAGAAAGCAGAGTCTGCACCTCTTTGGAGATCATGCTGGATCGCGACATGCTCTTGTTGGTCGATTTGTCGTAGTTCAGCAGCTCCAGTGCGACATCATGGACATCGCCCGATGCTGCAAGCGATGCCGCCGTTTTGGTTGACAAGGTGGTGCTGCCATTCTGGTCGTTGTCCGAAGACGCCACGCGACTCACTAAAGCCTTGTAGAAACCATAACACTTATCATAATATGTGACAAGCTGGTCGATGAGGAGTTGGGTGAATATTTGATCCTGAGGTATCGAGCTCAGCATCCCCGAAAAGGCGCGGATCAATGCCATGAAAGATACTGTGCCTTTGAAGATCGGATGTGGCGAATGCTTCGTCCATTGCGTGTCTTCCGAGAAGGCTTCCAGGTCAATCATGGCTTGCGCACAGAGCTCTGTGACTGCTTCTTCCAGCTGAGGATGGAACACATTGATGAGGAAGTCGTCCAGGAACGTGGTCAATGTGCTCATGGGGATATGTGCCGTCGAGGGTACAATATCCTTCAGGCGCTGGAGGAATGTCAAGGACGGAGGTAACAAGATGGTCATGTTGAAGACGCCGGGCTCGACCAACAACTTGTGAGCCGCCACCGAGCTGTCCTGTCCACTGCGGTCTGTTATCAGATCCGACCCATCCCGTCCCCGGGATTTGCTGACGAGGCCTGGTACAGAGCTCTTGAGGATCTCGTTCAATTCATCCTCTTCGGCTTTCATGGATTCAGATTTCTGGTCCATCTCCGCCAGGCGGAACATCTTCTTGTTCCTGTCCCGCTGAGGTCGAGCAAAGACGTCGGTGTTGGCGGTGCCGCCCAATCCAGACCGCAACGTCAAGTGATCGCCGTCTGTAGCTAGGTAGTCGTGCAGGATCGACCGCATCTCCATCTGATACAATTTCCATAGCTCTTTGAAGCCCGTGGTATATTTGTCCGGCTTGCTAGCCTTCTCCCTGACTGCTATGCCTCCAATTACCTCGTGCAGCACTCGATGGCTCTCAGCGATGGCTTCGAATTTGGAATACAAGGTCCACAGAAAGTCAGACAACACTTGTGCTCTCCCATCATTCACCTGCAACGAGTATGTCTTTCGGTTCGCTTTGTTGAACTGGGCTCTCAGATGACTGGGATATTTGGCATCAATGTCGTGGTTAGTCTTCTCCGCGACCTTGTACAACTCGATTGGCATTCGCTGCTCAATTCTCGAAACAGCCTCCCCGAGTTGACCCAGTTTGTTGAGCGATTCAATAATCATGTGGATATAGTAGAAAGTGTCGGTTTCAGGATTCTTCGTGGGATCTTCCACCATGGGTGTCGTGAGGTCGACGTTGCTCAGGTAGTGGCTGAAGGGTCGATCCCAAGCATTGATGCCCACGGCCATCATGTTGTCCTTTGGATCTCTGTCTTCTCCATTGGCTTTCTTCCCCTTCCACCGGTCTTTACAATAAGGACTTCTGAGATAGAGATGATCATGCAACTCCTCGATGAGAATGTCCAACAGGGTACTCTCTTGATTGTTGAAATAGCTTCGAAGATCCGAGATGGCGCCAATTCCATCAAACTCGCCTTTCGTAATGTTTTTGAGGCTGTCCATCAAGATGTCAACAGCTCCGAGGAATTTCTTCTCACTGATTTTCTCTTCCAGCTTTCCCGGTATGAGCTTGAAGGACTCGATTTTGCTCAGAGTGACGAGCATGTCGTCCAGCTCGCCGCTCTGTTCGGCCAGCGTCCTCAATTCCGGCCGAGTCGTTAGCATGCCGTCCTTGACGTTCATCAAGCCGAGCTTCAAATGCCTCACACGACTTTGACTGTCGCGGATGGCATTCTGGATTTTGTGATACGTGCCCACAGCGCTATTGAAGTCGGCATAATGCTCGTTGACCACAGACTTTAAACACTTCTGTAGGTCGACGTGTGTGTTGGCAAAGTCCCCCTCTTTGTCGGCAAGGCCCAACGAACTGGGGTCCATGAGCCGGAGAGCCATCTTCACGGGGACGCATTCGTCACCTTCCATATCCTTCCAATTGGACTGTATGTGCCGCAAAATTTCGTCCATGCTCTTTGGTGGACGTCGCGGAGAGTAATGTCGGTTGGCCCTGTCGGGAGGAGGGTAGTTCTGGGGAGCAGTGTAACCGTTGGTGGGCGCCTGTTGGTTCAGGCCGGATTGACTCGGTTTCGAGGGAATGTTGGACGGAGGAGGCATCTGTCCTCGCATCTCTCGGCCATCTCGACTCCGACTCTCATTGTATGCTCTCTGGCCCTCGTTGGACGCTCTCTCCCTCTCCCGGAACGATGGGGTTGGCTGCCTCTGCTCGTGCTCGCGCGGATCCCTTGCTCTTCCATGGTCATATTCATTCCTCGAAGGAGCAGGCCCGTCTCCGAATCTTGCACGCGGCATTCCCCCATATCCCCCTCCTCCTGCTGCTACTCCTCCCCCCTGACCTGACAGCGTTGAGGGCAGTGGGCTCGGCGAATCTCGATCGCGCTGGTCATACGGGTTTGATCTTCGCCGGCGCTCTTGAGAACCAAAACTGTTGACGGAGGGAGAGGAACCGTTATTCTGTGCATTGAGATATGGATCCGCGTAGCGACTGCCGGAGACAGAATTGGGAGCGTTTGTAGGGGCGTATGGGTTGGAGTCGTTGGACTGGCGAAGTCCCCCATACCCGCCGTTGACGGCATAAGGATTGTTACCGCTCATAGTGGCGGAAATTGCAGAGCTCAGAACAGGAGAGTCGCATCTTTGATCAAATGCAAAGGAAAAGAGGCATTTGGCCTGCACAGGCCCGAGTTCTAAAACATGGTCAACAAGGTGGTTGAGCGTATGTAACGGAGAGTGTGAGATGAATCGCGACTTGTATGAGAATTGGAGACGCAGGCACCTCATCAACAACTCCTCTCCTCGTTCTTCCAATGGGGGCCACATCCATCACATGTTACCAGTAACTCCCCTGAGATATTCTCTGTACTCTATCCTCCTTCATAACCCCCCTTGGTGGATATCTCAATGTCTCGTATTCTTTCTATCTCTTGGTTCTACTCCTCGTTCACCCGCAGCACCTACAGTCAGGCAATATAGCCAAATCCACTACCCCTACACGCGATCCAAAAGTCCTTTACAATATCGTTCGTTTTCCTGGCACCTCGTAGTGTTTCCACCTGCGCCACAAACCGGTTGCGTTGTTCTGGCGTGGTGGCGCTGAGGGCTTTGTCGCTCATGACCATGGACTCCTGCTTGATCGCTTCTCTGAGCACAGCTTTACTCAACATGAACTGTTTCTGCACGAATTTCTTGAGGGTTTCGGTCAGGCTGTCGATCTCCGAACGCGCACATTCTCCTCCCAAAAGGTGGAGCACAAGTGAGAGGATTCGCGGCCCGTAGATTTGAAGCACCCCTTTGAGCCGTGCACTCACCTCGCTCTCTAACCCGCTGTCCGGCCCACTGACCTCTGCAAGAGCTGTAAAGAATCCAGCCGCTAGTCGACGCGGGAGCGTGTCAGCATCTGCCATGACAATCAAGCCCATTTCCACGGACACGGCTGCTGTATCTTGACTGTCTTGCATGGCAAACCACATTGCACCCCACTTGTTGAGCAAGCGGCCCAAGAACTCCAGCGAACTGGATGGGAAATCGCTATCTGGGAGGTGCTTTGTTGTCTGGTATGTCGACAGAAGGTGCTGCTGAATGGGGATGACTGCATACAAGAGGCCGCTGACGCTGGTGGGAAGATGTCGCGGTGACACAGAAGCCAGGAAACTAGAGGCACAAGCCATTGTATTGTCGATGCTTGGGTTATCGAGAGTGATGAACTGCTTGACCAGCTCGAGTCCGGTCGAATCGGTAACCTTGAAGGGTGACGGATGCTCCTCGGTGAATCCGGATTTGATGAAGTCGCAGCAGGCGTCTACAAATACGCTGTCACTGTATGGTCGAGCTCTCTGCAGAGTTGCCTGGTACATGGCGAGTACACTCTGCTGAACGATGCTGCCATGACCGCTTGTCCAAAAATCTGAAGAACCCGAGCTCGAGGCTTCCAAGTCCACCGGTACATCGGCCGGAGAACGCAGGCCTTTGCCGATTGAGGCCAGAGTCTGCATAATGTCAACACAGCCTCTCAAGACGTCGGCATCATCGCCATCCTTGCCATCCAGGGTAGCCAGTGCATGGCCAATGGGCGCAAGGAGACGTGACAGTGGCTCGACTTTGGCTTCTTCGGTTTCCAATGCTTGGATGAGGGCCGCGACGGCCCCGTATATGCGATGCCGCTCTGTCTCGCCGATGTCTCCTATCAAGGTCAACGACTCCATAAACTGAGGTAGTCCTTCACTGAGCATTCGTCGGTGAGAGTCGCACAGGCTGTATATGGCCCGTGAGGCAGCAGACGTTGACGCCTGCAAGTGCAACGAAGAGAAGAGAAAGTTCAGTATAGCAACCAGTTTGTCGGGATGCCGTTGGAAGTATCCCACATTTTCTGCGATGAATCTGATAGCAGTCTGCACCGCCCGATCTGGAACATTGTTGGCGGACTGAAGGAGATAGCTCCAGGCCGGACTCCCCATGACTGTAGTGATGAGGACATCGTACGTATCTGGGTTGGCTGACATGGTGTCGGAGAATGCCATCAGACTGAACGTGCCGGCCTCAAAGGTGCTCCAATCCGGAGGTGTAGCTTGCACAAGAATGCTCTTGACGATTTCTCCAATCAATGCATTCCCGAGAACCACGTAAGCCGAGAGGAAAAAGTCCTGCACGTCGTAACGAAAGTCTTGAAATTTCGCTCGGTCATCAGCATCCCAAGTTTGGGTCTCGCTGGACATCTCCTCGACCGGAAGTCTGATCTTAAGGAGGCAGGCTTCGCATGCATTCGCCGCCAACCCCTTGAGCAACGCCTGGGTTGGTTCGGTCACGTCTCCCCAGTCAGCATAACCCTCCATAATTTCGGTAATCCTCTCTAAGACGATTTGGCATACTGGATCCTCAATGACAGCGACCCCGTCGCAGGAGAGAAGCTGCTGGAAAGTTCGGATCACCACGCTGTACTGATGCTCGTGCAGGAAATCGGGTTTGGTGATGTCGACGCGACTGATGACTGACTCGAGAAGGTCAACATAAAGAACTGCGTCGGCAGTAAAGTCCCCCTGAAGAAGAAGATCGACCATTTCTCTTGCCTTGGGAGAACTGGCAATACTGGCTGGGAAGTTCGGCAGCGCCTGTCGAAGGAGTTTGCCTGAAGAGTTCTCCAAGGAGATGAGCATTTGGAGCACCGAGCCTGTGTAGAAGTCCTCGTCGAGATAGTTGACTATTGTCGCAATGCATTCTCTGGCGATGCTTTCACTTCGTCGCGCCTGGCTAGTCTCTGCATACTTGATCATGCTGGCCCAGTACGGTATGGCTTTCATTACCTGCTGGACCATGTCTTCCGATCGAGTTGGTATTGCTTGCTCTGGCGGTGCTTCTGCCTGCTGCTGATTGATTGCACGCTTGACGCAATACCTCAGGAGAAGCCATACGTCTAGAGCACTATCCCCCACGAGATTGTTGAGCTTTCCTTGGTCCAGAGCGCTGGAAGAGCGACCGTTCAAGTCCTCCGCCATAATGGTAGCGATTAGGAGGACTCCTTTGAGCTCATTGTTCGAGCAGTCGTCGCAAGCTTCCAGAACTTGATCCATGTCTGGCAGAGCGTCTTCAGAGACATAGTCCCTGCGGAGGAAAGAGGCCACCACCTGTCTGAATGGGAGGCTCCAGCCGGAATCTGGCCTTGCAAAAAAGGTGACAAGAGTCGAACCGAGTTTCTGGAGAACGAAGCTGGAATCTGAGAGATTCACTAAGCGAATGTAATTTCGTACTAGTGCTTCAAGCAGGTACTTTCTCATGTGCTCGTCCTTGTCCAAGCCATCCTGGTCCCTGAAAACCGTTTCAGCGGATTGTGCAAGGAGAGGGAATGTATTCTTGGTCTCTTACCAGTCAGCATTGATTTTGATGGTCAGAGTCAAGGCACCATAGAATCGTATGGTGGCTTCTCCATGATGAAGAAGGTCCAGAGCCAGTTGCCATGCTGACTTTTCTCGCTGAAGCCTCTGGATTTGTTTCTGGATTTCATTGATGCGCGCTGGTGACGGTTGATTAGTAGGTTGATAAAGTTCGCTTATCAACTGCTCCATGATATGTGCAACGCGGCAGCAAATAGTACATCCTGCTGCAAGCGCAGGAGAACAGTTTCCAAGTGGTCAAGCCGCGTTTGCTGCCCTACTAGTGTGCCAGAAAACTGTAATATGCCGTAACAGCATCAATCGTGGAAGGTATGGCCTATACGAGGCATGGACCAACCTAGAGAATCAAATGCCCACACGAGAGATTGATGCCTGAACTAGTCGAGGTCCTGCTCGGACATTCGCAATGAGTCCAGTGATTGCCGTATAACCCAAGCAGGCACAATGGACCTTCAAAAATGCGTAAAAACAGGCATTACGCTGCGGATGTGCGTCTGGTCTCTCTCAAGTGTCAAGCAGGTGGTTGAGCAAGTTGAAAGTGACATATGGGCAAAGCCTTGTGAAAGGGCGGATGGGACGAGGTTCAGGCACAAGAAAGTCGCAGGCTATCACGAGGCTGCAGCCTCGTCGGTAACAGATATTCGGCACGCTTGCCTAGTTGGGCAGAAGCCAATGCGTGCCATGGCACGAATCAAGTTGATACGCGTGACACGGCATAAAGACTGGTTTTGAGATAGCTCAGTGTGAATGGTCCTCTTCTCAGAGTGCCTTCTTTTCAAATGCGCTGGCCGTTTCTCCGTCTCTCGTCTTTGCTGCGTACCACGTCGCCTCGACCGCAAATACCTACCGTAACCCTCACCCCCTCACAATCTGTTCGGTCCTTTTCCTTCTCAAGATCGCAACGAAGCGTCGATATGGAAAAGGTGGATACCACGAAGCGTCTGTCGCAGCTGCGAGAATTGATGCGGAAGCATGAACTTGATATCTACATCGTCCCCTCGGAGGACAGTCACCAGTCGGAATACATTGCACCGTGCGATGCGAGGAGGGCCTATATCTCTGGCTTCACTGGATCCGCGGGCACGGCTGTCATTACACTTGAGAAAGCTGCCCTGTCGACGGACGGGCGCTATTTCAATCAAGCTTCCAAGCAGCTCGATGAAAACTGGCTGTTGTTGAAGCAGGGCATGGAAGATGTCCCCACCTGGCAGGAATGGTGCGAACCCTTTGAGCGTTTATATGTGCAAGACTGAGCTGAGATTAGGACTACAGAGCAGGCACAAGGCGGCAAAACTGTCGGCGTTGACCCTACCGTGATTACAGCCATTGATGCTCGCAAACTCAGTGAAACACTGAAAAAGAAGTCACATGCAACCCTGGTCGGAGTTTCGCAGAACCTGGTCGATAAGATTTGGACAGACAGGCCACCTAGGCCGGCAGAGAAGGTTATTGTTCTCTCTGACAAATACGCAGGCAAGCCTTACGAACAGAAACTCGATGAGCTCCGCAAAGAGTTGAAGAAGAAGAAGGCAGTGGGAATGGTCGTATCAATGCTTGACGAGGTCGCCTGGCTTTTCAACCTCCGTGGCAGTGATATCCCGTATAACCCTGTGTTCTTCTCATATGCAACGGTCACACCGAGTTCGGCTACGCTGTATATTGATTCGGCCAAGCTAGACAACGAAGTGCGAGAACACCTCGATGGGACGGTCCAAATCAAACCTTACGATGACCTCTTTGGCGACCTCATGGGCATTGCCGAAACCGCAGTAAATGAGATTGAAGCTAACGGAGTTGCGAAACCCCGTTCCACCAAGCTTCTGCTGTCGAACAAATCGTCTTGGGCGCTCTATCTCGGCTTAGGGGGAGAAGACAAGGTCGAAGAGTCTCGAAGTCCCCTTGCTGATGCGAAAGCCATCAAGAATTCCACCGAACTAGAGGGCATGCGGCAATGCCACATTCGTGATGGTGCTGCGCTGATTGAATATTTCGCCTGGCTAGAAGAAGAGCTACAGAGTGGATCGTGGCTCGATGAAGTCCAGGCAGCAGATAAACTCGAGGCAATCAGGGCAAAGGGCGAGCATTTTGTCGGGTTATCCTTTGACACTATTTCATCAACGGGGCCGAACGCAGCCGTGATACACTACTCACCCGAGAGGGGCAATTGCTCGACAGTTGACGTGAATGCCGTCTATTTGTGTGATTCCGGAGCCCAATACCTCGACGGGACCACCGACACCACGAGGACATTACATTTCGGAACCCCCAGCGACATGGAAATCAAGGCATACACGTTGGTGCTCAAGGGTGTCATAGCTTTGGACCGAGCAGTCTTTCCCAAAGGCACCACAGGATTCGCCATCGACGTGTTCGCTCGCCAACATCTCTGGCGCGAGGGACTCGACTACCGCCACGGCACCGGTCACGGTGTGGGTTCTTTCCTCAATGTCCACGAAGGCCCCATCGGCATTGGCACGCGAGCCGCATACTCGGAAGTCTCACTCAGCATCGGCAACGTCATCTCCAACGAACCAGGCTACTACGAAGACGGCAACTTCGGCATTCGGATCGAGAATATGATGATGGCTCGCGAGGCCAAGACGAACCACAAGTTCGGAGACAAGCCCTGGATCGGGTTTGAGCATGTCACTCTGGTGCCCATGTGCAGGAAATTGATTGATCCCAGTCTTCTGGATTCGGAGGAGAAGCTCTGGTTGAACGAATATCATCAGGAAGTGTGGGAGAAGACCAGTGGGTTTTTTGAAAAGGACGAGAGAACCACAAGGTGGTTGAAGAGGGAAACTGCTCCGTTGTGATGAGGGAACACTTGCATCGGAGACAACCCACGGTTGATGGAAAACTAGATTATCCTGCGCCGCCTCGATGACCCAACAGCCTGAGCTCTGTTGTATTTGTATTTGGTGAGCAATTGTCCGAGCGCGTGGGGTTGGGAGGAAGGAGAGCATATGGTCCTGGACTAGAAGAGATGGTAGAATAGGATAATAGAATCAAGGCTACCTATCGCGAGACGAACTGGGTCTGCGAACTCTATCGGGGCTATTGTACATGGCCCATGACAGGAAAAACGACTGCGGATATGTTGTTATTCTCAAGTACCAGCCGCTATTACGGCTCCCGCTCCGCAAGCGATGGTGGCAGTGCTCAGTGCGATCGTCGTACGAGCCCTCTGCCTCTCAATCCTTTCAGCCCTCCTTTTCGCCTCGGCCGCCTTCTGTGGATCGGGTACGTACCCGAGCTTGTAGAAGACTCGAAGACGATGACGCGGATGGAATGACTCCTCGCAATTACATCTGACGCGGCGCTCAAGGAGAACGAAGCGGCGCTGACCGCGGGAATCGGGTGGCTGACTCGCCGGAGACGTGGAGCAGCCGCGGTTTGCGAGCTCTGGCGAACGCCATGATAGGCCCTTTTCAGTCCCAACAGCGGTCGAAGGCGTTTGTCCAGATTTTGGCAAGGCACCCTTGACCGTCCAGTCTTGTCTATGAGGACGCTGTCGAAGGTAGTGTCGTACGTCATGGATCAATTCAGGATGACATGAGGAGACGGGCTCAAGAGCCAACAAGCCAGCGGGCACGCTTTTGAAGACTCCAGTCGACTTGTCTGACGGGTAGATCTTGCCGACAATCTTGTACCACGGAGTCATATTGGATCGGGAGTGGTCCGCGTGGGATGTGGCTTGGCTTCTGCGGTGGCGTTTGCTCCTCTTGAACAACCGCCGGATGGGAGAGAAAGAGGACCATTTTCTAGGAGAGGCGGACGACAAGGTGGGTGTGGTATGAGACGACGAGGACGGCAGATCGTCCAGAAGCTCGCAGATCAGGAGTTTCTGCTCTTTCCGGAAGACTTTGCATTTCTCGCGCTCAATGTTCTTGCGATCCGGATGCCAGTGTTCTCTGTAGAGGTCTGGTGGTTCAATACCTAGAGTTCTTCTAACTGATTTATGAGGCATAATATTGATGTTAGTCGCAGTCAAAGGGGATCATCGAGGACAGGAGGATAAGCTCGATGGCGGTGGAATTCGCGAGGAAGGTGGCATCCGGACAGCTGAGGAGGGGGAGCAGCGGCGATGGCGAGAGAGAACTGAGATTGCATTCTTGTCGAAATGGATGTGCTAGCAGTGCCTCACACCGGAGATCTTCTGCACGAGGACACAAATAACGGATACCTATGTCCTACCTTTCCAGGGAGAGCGGTGATCGAGTGAGAGCATGGTGCTTTGATGGTACCAGGAGTGTCGTATCATATTGAGACTGAGCATGAAACAAAACCCATGCGAAAATATGGAGAGTCACAAATCTTTCCAGCCTGTCGTAAGGGCATCGGTTCCTCGGTGTGATGGAGATGCAGAAAAGATCAGAAGTGTGTCGAAGTGGTTGTCGTCGACACCTGAGAGACGGTAACAGTAGCATATCGCGAGTCAACGGTCCTCCGTACATTATCAGATAATCACGTGACAATATTTATACTGTGGCGTATTACTTGATTCGAGCCCACAATCTACTAGTCACGTGCAAGATGAAGAAATGCAAACCACATACAAACAATTCTACTCTCTGCATCTGCATTTCACGGCCCCTCCACTGCCGTCCAAGGGAAGCAAGAGCGAATTTAGGAGGCCCAACATGGCAGATAGCAACCACGCCTCCACACTCAACGTTGCCTACTTGGGACCTGAGGCATCATTCTCCCACCAAGCAGCCATTGAAGTCTTTCGGGCCTCATCGTCGTCTGGGCATAATGTCTCTCTACACCCACTCCCCTCCTTCCCTGTCATTTTCTCGGCTATTCAAGCAACAGAAGCTTCTGAACAGACTATAAGCTACGATTTTGCGGTCGTCCCTTTCGAAAACAGCACCAATGGCTCTGTCGTTCCGGTCTTTGACTTATTAGCCCGGTGTGGCCATACCCCAATGCTCTATCCTGACTTGGAAGTCTGCGCGGAATACTATCTCCCTGTACACCATTGCTTGTTTGTCTCGCCTTCTTCAAGGTCAGCCACCACTTCATCCCAGCCTCCAGAACTGTCAGACGAACACAAGGGGGACTTGTTGCGTGCAATCCGGACACTGTACACGCATCCCCAAGTCTGGGGCCAATGTAACCGTTATTTGGCTAAGCATTTTCCTCCCAACGTTGTGGAGCGCATTGATGTGGGAAGTACCTCTGCCGCTGCTCAGTTGGTGGCTCGAGAATCCCAACAGAAAAGCAGGACTCCGGTGACAGATGGGATCAGCGCTTCAATCAGCCCAAAAATCGCTGGTGAGAAGCATGACCTACTATGCTTAGCAGAGAACATCGAGGACGAGCCAGGGTTGAACACTACGAGATTTCTCGTCGTCCGCAACCGCAACCGCCAGACGCAGTCGGAAGATTTACACGCATCGTTATTTTTGCCCCGTAATCACGTCGACGATTCAAGATACAAGTCCCTGATATCATTCACCATCCCACACTCCAAACCAGGCAGTCTGGCCGATGCATTGGCCGTGTTCAAGCACTACGGGTTCAACCTGACGAGCATTGACACCCGACCAAGCAGGACGCGGACCTGGCAGTATGTGTTCTTTGTGGAGTGTGAGGAAGCAACTCCAAATCAACTCAATCGTGCGGTTGCGGAGGTCGAATTGGGAAGCGATGACGCATGGGGAGGACAGGAGGACAACAATGGCAACTCCAACCTCATGAAGATGCTCAGTGAGCTCGGCAAGTTCACCGAGACTTTAAGATATCTAGGGAGATTTGTAGACCAATCACCTGGGAATCAGCAAGAAGACGAATCAAAGGCCTGACAGTGACGGAGTACAACTTGATCTGACTGAAGTGAATCGCATTCAAAAACCTTGTGAGCAGGTCTTGAAGAAAGAGTGACTATCTAAAATTCGTTTGCACTGAACAAAGTCTGTGTGGTCCGCGGCTGCTCTTTGCTGTTAAGATGTTTCGAGCCACAGGGGTTATCGACTGTGATCCATTCGAGGAACACGGACCGACTCGTTAATCTCGGACACAGCAAATTGAAGCCTGAGAGCGAACTTCAGGTAAGGACAAAACAAAAGTTGAGCTTGATGTTCAACGAATGACCAGCTCAATCGCATAAAGGATCAATATCGTAAAGCATTCGACTCCATCGTTCGGAGTGATGCGAGAGCTTCTTGCGTCTCTGGTGCGTGCCACACTCTCCTTTTGGTGCGGCGAGTAAAGTCGGACGCTCGCTCAGTTGTCGGTGTACGCGGTTGTCTGAGACATTGACTGTGACGTTGGGCTTATATCAGATCCGATCCTCTCGTGTCAGCGGCTCAGTTGGATTGATGACCACTGCGCTGGCTGTCGAAGAAGATGACGAGGATTGTGGGATCTGAAAGCCGTAGCCAGTTCAGACCATGGCCATGTTCCGAAGATTGGAACGTCCTGTGATCGGTCCCAAGTCAGATGTCAAGAAGTCTCTTAGTGGATTTCAGATGATGCCTTACCGTGGCGTAGGTCGAGGGTCTGCCTTGCTGGCGGCTTCATTGCTCGCTCAGCGCGCGTGAAGGCACTGTCCTTGGTGCCCAATCCGTTTAGTCGAATCAATTGTGGCTTGCCGTTGGTGTAAGCACTTTCCAGATGCGTCCCTGCTTGCTGCGGCTGGGACTTGGGGGCGTCGCGAGGACGCTCAGGAGAGCGCGGAGCTGCCGTCAAGCTGCCGTCAACAAACTTGGGTGGTTGTTGAACAAGGCCTGGAGATGGATGCTCCTCGCGCTCTCCTGCGAGGTCGTTGAATTGTCAATCATCATAGAATTCGTCTTCGTCATCAGCGTCAATTAACTGCTCAAAGTTGACCTTGTAGCGCAAAATGGCGCCAATACCACCAAACCCCTTCACGAATTGATTGCCCTCGCTGGAGCGATCCGAAACGAATTCTAGAGTGGCGCCAAAGTCCTTGTATTTCTCGGCGAGCCATTCAAGAAACGAGCTTTGGTCGACAACCTCCATTTCTTGACCGGTCTCCTTGTCCATGAATTGTTCGCGATTGGCTTCTTGAGCCTTGGTGGTATGCAAGATCCTCTCTGAGCCGTCCGAGGCCTTCAAAACCCAGCGAGTCACGTCCAAATTCTCGTAAACAATCAGTGTTTCGGCCGCACCAAGTTCGAGAGCTTTCAATGTGTCTTCAACACCGTAGCAGACGCGACCGCTGTCTTGACTGATTTCCTCGAAGTACTTGCCAATCAATTTCTTCTCTTGAATGAACTTGACATTACCAAGAGTCTCGGAGGCGAGATCGATGGCTTGATTGAATCCATTTTCACCACCATACGACACGTCGACCACCTTGATGACTTTTGCTTGAAGACGTGCATCGAACATGTCGGACTGATTCAAGTCATTTTTGAAGTCGGCAGAACCGGCAAGGACGAGGCCCGCAACGTTGACCTTGTCGTTTGTGATGAAGTTCTGAACAGCCAATTCTGCGACTTTTCGCACATAATTGTGTCGCTTTTCTTCCCTGAGACGGGCGAAACGTAGGGCAGACTGACCACCTCGACCGTGCTTCTTGGGCAGATCGACGGAAAATTTGTGAACGACTTCTCGGGTGTTTCCGCTCAGAGTCCCAAAGAGAGCGCCGTTGCCGTCCATGACGATGAAGCCAAATTTCTGGTCAGACTCGAGGAGTTCGCTTAGGGCCTCAGTGTGAAATTTGTTGTCGCAGAGGTAGAGAGAGGTGTTGATGGGCTTGAAAGGCTCAAAATCTATGTTGATCTTTCTTTCTTTTCCTTCCGAGGTTATAATTTCACCGCAGTATACCACCAAGCCATTCGGAGGAACCTTGGAGTACAACTTCAGACGCTGTTGGGTGGAAGTGATAGCGGAGAGGACCGAAAGACGGTTGACGCGAGACTTGATGTTGGAGGCAGTGCCGAATTCTTCAGCCAACATTTTGGCAGCGCGAGAGACTTGATCCTTGGGTGCTGTGGACGAGTCAGTGGTGAGCCAGAAGATGTACAGTCATTAGGAATGCCGACTCACGGATAATGAGGGAGATCATTGAGGTGCCATTGCCCCTGGCCGCTTCGAGGCGTTTGATAAGTTTCTTGACCTTCCAGATCTCGATATTCTTTTCCGCTTCGTTTTGCTGAGGTGCGCTCATTTTTGCGGGCGGAGGCCGAGCAGAGACGTGCCTGCTGTTGGTAGGAAACGGTGCACAATGGTAGAAAGTAAGCAAAAGGGAGAAGCAGGCGAAGGAGTGTTTGAAATCTGAGTCTATGTCGAGCGGGAAAACCAAGGGTGGCGTTGAAATAATGTCAATACTTTTGAGACGAGTGGTTGTCCAGTGGGAGTGGGTGGTGGGCTGGCTGGCTAGGCGGTGCTGTGCTGGCAGTCGGTAGTTTAGGCACTGGAATGGCGGTGCTGCCCACCTATGATTTGGGTAAAGCGGGCCCGCCTGGCCTGCAATTGTCTGGTTCGGTAGTGTATTCAAAGTGCTGCGAGTCATGTCCAGTCATGGAGGAGTCACGTGAATCTCCCGTTACCGTTATCAAGCAGAAACCTTCCCCGCCGCCACCAAACTGCGATTCCGCTCCACTTTGCCCACTGGCTATCAAGAAACAGCTTCCTTGGGTTTCGCCGCCGCTGGTTATCATCGGTTAAGAATGAATGTTTCCATGATCTACCACTAGCTCATGATTTGGAGTAGATTGCCTATCCTTCAGAATCTGAAGAATTCTTTCTCTCCTCTGGTCCCGAATTTCTTTTCGTTGAAGAATTGCTTGTACTCGGTATTATTGTCCGCCTAAGCCCAGGAGGTTTCGTGGATTGTTGTGTCTGTTTACTGTGTATCTCAAGAGCTTTACGAGACATGATTTGACACGACAGATTGTGAACCCAGATTCCTAACGTCATTCCTACACCTCTGAATCTTTACCCCCTTCCCTTTGCTCGCCATGAGCTCGAAACCTAGACAGGCTCCCACAAGTTGGGATGCATACGAGCGTGGTCGTGCGTCGTCCTTCGGTTCCCTCGAGTCTGTGCCCGAAGACGAGCAGCAGAACAATCTCTCCTCGTCTACCCCAGCAGCACACCGTTTCCCATCGGAGAGCCAAGAGCATGGAGGATTGCGACGCAGATCATCGTTTGGCAAGAGAATTGACCAGTTCATGCAGATGGGTGGTCCCAATAGTATCGACAATTTTGCAAAGTCGTTCCAAAGAGCTGCAGGGTTTCGTGAGATCACACCGGTGCGGAGGAACTCGATCAGCTTCTCGGAAGCCGATCAAGAGGCAGCTCCAGGTGCTCCTGAACAGAGTACGGCGGCGACCAATAGGTCACTTCTGAGACAGCAGCTGCAAGAATATGATTTTGGTGCCGAAAACGAATCAGCCCTACAGGATGAACGGACGCCAGGCCATCAAGAGCCGACAGAAGAGTCTGCTCTCTTGCCTACTGAAAGCAGGCAAACCCTCAAATCCACGACAGGCTCTCTCGTCCCGGGCTCATTACTGCCGAATGAGCTGGGCACAAGCTATGGAAGTATCTCTTCCAAGTTGACAGCTACTGCTCGGCAACGAGCGACCATCCTTATAATGGAGCAGGAAGAAGCCAGCAGGAGAGCACTGCAGGAGCCAGAAGCATTGAAGGAAGAACCTCAACGACATATTGAACGGGAAGTCCTTCCCGATGGTGAAGTCATGGAGCGAATAGTCGGCGAGTCAACCGTTCCTATGACCGTCTTCAACTCCACGAATGTGTTGATTGGAGTTGGCATCCTGGCCCTGCCACTGGGTATCAGATACTCCGGATGGGTGATCGGTCTCTCCTTCTTGACTCTTGCTGCCATCGGCACCTCATACACCGCTAGATTGTTGGCAAAGTGCTTGGATTCAAACACGGGCTCAACCACGTACGGAGACATCGCTTACTTGGCGTTTGATACTTGGGGCAGACACTTTGTTGAGGCCTTGTTCATCTTGGAGCTGACGGCTGCAAATGTCGCCCTGATTATTCTGTTTGCGGACAGTATGAACTCTCTGATCCCTACTGTCTCCGTGATCGAGTGGAAGGTCATTATTGCTGTTGCTCTCATACCGTTGAATTTTGTTCCTTTCAGAACCCTGAGTGTCACCAGTGTCATTGGCATCTTCTGCTGTCTCGGCATCATCATTATTGTCTTTGCAGATGGCCTCATCAAGCCCAATGCCCCTGGTTCTTTGAGGGACGTGGCTCAAACCTGGGCGTTCCCCGAAGACTGGAGGACTGTTCCGCTCAGCCTGGGTCTGTTCATGGCACCGTGGGGTGGTCATAGCGTCTTCCCGGCCATATACAAGGACATGCGACATCCACATAAATACGGACGAGCTTTGAAGTATACCTACTTCTTCACCTACGGTCTTGACCTGTCTATGGCTGTGCTGGGATATCTCATGTTCGGCGACAAGGTACGCGATGAAGTGACCTCTAACATCCTCCGTTCGACCGCCTACCCTCACGCCCTATCCGTCATCATCGTCATTCTTATCGCCATCATTCCTATCACCAAGATTCCACTTTCGAACCGGCCCGTGATGGATACGCTTAACAAAAAGTTCTACATCGACCTCCGCCAGATGGATCCCAAGGCACGCGCATACAGTGAGCGGTCGCTGAAACATCGCGCCGCGCGAGGCCTCATTGGTATATTGGCCAACATCATCCAACTTGGCATTGCCATTGGTTTTCCCGATTTTGACAGCATCATGGCTCTTATGGGGTCGGCTTTGTGTTTTACCATCTGCATCATCCTGCCCGTCAGCTTTTATCTGGTCATTTTCAGCTCCGAGGGCAAGGAGATTGGATTGGCCGAGAAGATCCTCGACTGGATCTTGTTGGTGGTTTGTATCACCCTAGCGGTGTTGGGGACTGTATTTGCTATTTTGCCCAAGCACAAGATTGGGGCTTCGGTTTGACGATCTGCAACCAGTAAAGACAGAGATACTTTTTGAGGATATGGATGTTGGGAGAGGAAATTTTCGACAGACAGCCTTGTAAGATTTCCATGCCCTGGGAGGGATTGTCGTCTTGCCAGATAATTGATAATAATACACTTGTATATAAAGACAGGAGCATGTCATCCGCTGCCAGAACCCCGTTGCCCAAAAAAAGGGTGTTGACAAACGTGCAGGAACCTTTCGTACCAGTCCATACATTCTCCTTGATAAGGGGCTGAGATGCCTCTATTTCTCTTTTTGTTTTCCTGAAGTCAAATACTGGCCCGGCCGAAATGGAAAACCAACCGATCCCCCACGCTTTCCACTCCGATGCCTTTCTCTCCTCATTTTGACTTCGACTTTCCCCCGGAGACGGCGAAGCCGCTGGGGTTCTGGCTCAAGAACTCGAGCTCCTCGGGCGTGCTTTCCCTTCCCAGCGCGGCGTTCCGACTGGGGAACCTGCCGAAGCGCAAAATGACGTCGCGGTGCGCCTTTGCGAAGTTGCACGAGCTCTGCACGAACTTGTTGGCTTCCTCGACCGCCACGGCCGCGCGGGGCGAGGTGGCCGGGAAGGACCCCGCGAGGCAGCGCGTGGAGAGGTTGTCCAATAGCGAAATCCCCGCGACCTGGTGGGCGAGGCTCTCGGCGTGCATCAGCGGCATGTAGAAAAACATGGCCATGAGCGGCGTCAGATCTGGCGAATGGTCGAATTCCCTGGCGACCGACACCACGGCGAGGTCCAGGGCCTTTGCGTCCGACGAAAATGACAGGCTCGAACCGCGGTAGATGTTACGCGGGAACTGGTCGAGGAGGACGATCAGGGCGAGGGAGCCCAGCGGGGTCGAGCGCCACGAGTCGAGCGAGTCATTGCGCGCCTGCTCGACCAGCGACGAGAACTGCGTTCGGATCTCCGAGTCGACGAGCTCCGCGTCCGGAGGCATGAACCACTTCTCGGTCGGATTGCTGTCGGGCGACGAGGGCGGCGGGAACCAGTAGTCGAGCACGCGGGCGATTTCGCCTTGGTGTTCCGTGGATATTGCCGGCATGGTCTGGACGGCAGAGGTGGCGTTGGTGGAATAGAACCAGGGCGCGACGAACCCCTGGAACGCGGATTGAAGCTGGAGGACCTTTGTCGGACAAGAGGAACGAGGCAGGCGACGGTTTAGCACATGTAGACGTCTCCGTGAAACAGCAACCGGGCGAAAAGACGAGTTTCGTGGGGCATGTAGATGTGGACGTAGAGACAGAGGAGAAGCTGGGAGACGGCGTACCGTTGCAAAGGCCTGATCGAGGGCGGCCTTCATTTGATTGATGGTAGTTGATCAAATCGACGTTTTCAAGTTTATTCAGAGTCTCAATCGCTCGGTTCAGATAGGGGTTATAAGCACTCGCGAAGCTTGGGTCTAGAGTAAGAACTTGTTTTGCTTGGGTGAAGTCGAATGCACCTCGTAAACAAAGACACCGAGACAACATGTCCGAATCTGTCTCGAACGTCATCAGGCTGGCATACCACGACAAGGCTGACCAATCAAGTGTGGTATTTACTTTCACGTGTTTCAAAGGATAGCCCACGTGATATGCAAGGCTGTCGTGCAACAACCTTCGGATCATCAGTGAAAGGAGGCTTTGATGTGGTCCAGATAGTATTGATGAAGGTGTCAATGGCTATATGGCACTTGGAAAGTGGAGTGTAGGCCGGCGTCGTAACGGACAAGGTGCACTGTTCCTCCCACGGCGACACCATAATGGTTCGTATCTATGTGCTTTCTAGAAATGTATGCAATCTGCGGTAGCGACTGTGAACACATCAACAAGCTGTGACTTCCAGAAATGCAAAAGTGAACACAGACAGTAACCAAGACCCCATGCTCCATGCTCCATGCTAACAATGTAGAGCTCTCCAAAACTGTTATCTTGTAACAAAGCGAGGCTGTACATCTTTACCAGGTACCCGGGTCCATGTAGGACCCACACCTTTTTTGCATTCACAAGTTAACATCGTGAAGCCAGACCTGTTGCTCGACTCGGTGGGAGAACCGACTGGCAGCAAGGATCTCGACCATCTGTTGCTCACTGACAAGCAGCTCCTGCTTAGGGATGAACCATCGCAAACCCTCGCTACAAGGTGGGGTGGTTAGGCTGCCCTTGTAGGTCCAAAACTCCTCGACACCTCCGACCTCATCGATAGCGAGACGCATATTGACGGGCAAGCCTTCGAGTTGCGCTGTGTCGTTGAAATGGATCATTGGGCCCAGCTGCTTGATGAATGCAGATTCCGTGTGACCCACTCCCACCCGAATGCCAACGACGGCGGCTTCGTGGTCGTCCTCGGTGACATGAACGAGATGAATCTCTGCGCGGCTTCGCTTGCCGCCAATGAGGTGCTCCGATGGGGCGTGAATGTGCCATCCAATCATGAACACTTCTTGATCATCAAACTTCAAGCTGGGGAGGCCGGTGACCTCTTCCTCTGGATGATGAGGTGTCCAGGCCGGTGCGAACTCCCAGTTGAAGAAGTTACCCGGGATAGCGGTGTTGGTGTACCCCTCAAAGTTGGGTTTGTGAAATTGGGATAGTTCCGTTAGGGCAATGTTGATAGGCGATTGATGAGTACCAGACTGACACAGAGCGTATTCTGCAGGAAAAGTCAGCAAGGCTGGCAGCTAGAGGGGCAAGGTGAGTATTACCAGGTTTGATGGTCGCCCAGTCTGCAGACAGAGCATAGTTCCAGTCTTTCGGTTCCCTGCCCGTGTCGACTCGGACTTGTCTTCGGCCGAGATGAGGATGGGATTGGTAATTTTCATGCTTCGGACAGCTCCAGGCTGTTGTGATGAAAGTGCAAAGGAAGAGAAGGGAAGACGTGGAAGACAACGACAACATGCTGAAATAAACCAGTGAGATGGAACGACCGCTATTGCAAAAACTAACAGGTATAGAAAAAAAAATATAAGATAGCTGTGATCGCACTGACAAAGGAAAGACGATATGGGTATGCCGGAGTGTGAAGGTCTGATGAGTCTCTTGATGTGGGGAAATGGCTTCTCTTTTATGTGACCATTGAGGCCAGCGATAATGGGGACACGGATGCGAGAAGTCCGTCTTTTCGCAGCCTACCAAGTACTCCCTAAAGGCACACGGAGACGCCAAGTGATCGCTTGTTCCAGCAGCGTAATGCGTCGTCCCTGCTGAAACGCCTGCAGAGATACTGACTTCGACGTCGCGCTTCGAGAATACGAGTATGTAACCATTTTCGTGAAAGGCTGACAATAAGGGCGGCTCAGCCGTTGAGGGCGGGCAAGGCGCGCTGCACTGCATATTGCCCAAGCCCTATATGAAGTCTTGGGACCAAAGTCAACGGTGACCGAGGCTTCCGCAAAGAAAGCGCCCCTATTGATGAGGTAAGGACAAGAATGGCGGTGCATGACAAGCACGGTAAGCCATAACAAAGATTGTGAAAAGCATCCAACGGCGACCTCGGCGCCAAGCTATATCAGACAGCCAAGTCGACCCGGAACGCTGCGCTGGGCCCAAGGAAGTAAAGCGCCGCTCGTCCACATAATCTCGTTGCCACTCGTCGTAGTTCAGGGGCCTAACGCGTGGCTGTCGGCCATAGATGGATGGTCCGTAGTCGACGCAAACAGGACAACCAAGACTCTCCAAGAAATGACCAAGTGGTGAATGCTAAATTGAGCTCGGACCTTGTAAGAGAAGCTGAAGGGTCCAGACACTCGTATATGGCGCTCCCTGTTGCCCAGCCTTCCTCTCCGACCGAGTTGAGCCCACATCTGACAAAAGATGAGGCATCCCCGAAGCAGGAGGTGCTGGGCGGGTAACCTCACCGATTTCTGCGCAGGATTCATCCTCAGTCATTCCTGTCATGGAATTCCGGTCGGTTCAAGCGTCATAGGCAGGAGTGCACCAACGGATTGGCAAAAGACGTTTTGAGCAAACGGCGGCTTTCCGGGCCCCGAGTAATCGTCCTCGTAGATTGCCAGTTTTCCATTTTCGAAGACACTCATGTCGATCGCTCGATAATAATCCTACTATTAGGATGACTACTCGTAGAGATACGCGGTAAGAGCGCGAACTAGTCGGAGGCGATGCCTGTTCTGTATAACTAGCGACAATGGCAACGGGACCATATCCATATGAGTAGGTTGGGGCGTGCCATGATGGGGTATCTCCATTGTACCCCATAGGATGCCTTTGGTCGGGTTCCGTAGGCCGAACATACGAGTATATTATTATCTCAGATATTCACTGCTTGTGTCTATCCTCCTCTTTTGTTCACGATAGAGCTTCCTGCGCTTCAGTTCAAAGGCCCGAAAGCCGGCGACATGTAAGGGAAAGCACTGCGTTTCTCACCATGTACCATGTACTCGGAGGCATAGTGGGTGCTCATCGAGCTGTTTTCCGATCCGTAGGTGCGTTGAAGAACTTCAAGCTGTACAACGTCGTAATTCTGAGCAAGATCCAAAATCGGTAGACCTGCGGGATGGATGGTGTAGCGTTGGAAGCAGAAACCGAAGATAATTAGACGCCGCCTAGGGAAACTCTGCCGAGACAAGGCGCAAGGCTTCGGCCTCGTCCCTCATTCATCCTGACTTTAATGCTAGCATGTAACAATCCTCGGCCATATCTAGGGTGAGATATATACAAGTTGCAGCATTTTGCTCACTGGGACTGGAAGTGTATCTTCAAAATAGCGGGCTCTGCCTGAGATGTCTGAAGAGGTATTTGCAAGACCGGCTTCCTCGGACCGAGCTCCCTTCGCAATTCGCAATCATTGCTCAATTAGTCAACGTAGCGTTACAAGTCAGTCCTGTAACATTCTTCGCGTTGACACAGGTCGTGTTGGCATTCGCTTTGGTGACTGCATCGGTCAGGTGGACATCCTTAAAGTCGATGTTTGAACATGGCGCCGCTGCTGAACAGTTCAATGCGATTCCAACCTTACTGCTAACGGTTCCCGAGACATCAGAGAACAACAGGTTCTCAAATTCAAGAGTACTGGTGTCGCAGTAATGAGCCTGGTCGGGCACCTTGAAGTAGCATTTGTTGATGAAGACAGCCTGGCTAGTGTTGTGAGTTGTCAGTCCTGTAAACGTCACATTGGAAACTTTCCCCGTGCCGCCACCACCGCCTTGTGGAGGTTGTCCCTCTTCTTTGCCGACCCAAGACTTGAAGTAGGCCCCGCCGGCTACTGCAGCCCCCCCGGTGCGTGGTTTGATATCTTGTGAGACTGAGATATTGGTGGCCGTCACATTGAAAATGAAGTCTGGCGAGTCAACGTATTGCCCGATTGAGCCGAAAGCAATGCCGCCACCAACGCAGGTCATATTTCTGATCACCATATTGGTCGTGTTTCCTTTCGGGGCCAGACAATCATCTCCCCCATGGAATTGCCAATCTCTTACCAGAAGGTGGTCAACTCGTAATGAATCGAGGCCATCAATGTTCGTTTCGTAGTTGGAAGAATTGCCGTAGGGATCTGTATTGGTACCATTGATATACACCTTGCTGATCTCAACGTTGTAGGAGTCTTGGATCCAAAAACTCCAGAACATCGGCTGGCGTATGGCAAAGTTGGTCACAATCACATTGGAGGAATTGAAAATCGAAATCACAATTGGGCGGCCAAACTGGTTGCTGTGCCCGGCGGCGTGGGTCATCCATGCCTGTCCATTGCCATTGACACCGCCCTGCATCCACCCTCCCCCATCGATTTCAAAGTTGTTGCCTTCAACAATCCACCCCGTAGACTGATTCTGAAACTCAACACGGAAGGAGTTGTCAATCCAGTAAGTCAAGTCTGGAGTGAAAGAGAGAGTCCCAAAAATTTCCAAGCGGGAATTCTGGAGCTTCATGTACATCCGCTTTGAAATCGTGTAGACGTATGGAGCCGGAAGTGTAATGGTCCCATTGATACCGCATTTTTGGACAGCCGCAAGAATCTGAGACGAATCGTCTTGACCCCAGCCCAAAGGTGTCACGATGCATTTGAGTTCGCTCGGAGACGGTGAGCGTGGGAAAACCGCCTGGGCGGGAGCCTGTCCGAGGTATGGATAGGAAGCATTCTTGTGGTAGGGAAGCGTTGTTTGAGGCGAAGATACGGAAGTGGTAGCCGCTTGAGGGAAGTAAACGGTTGAGGAACCGTCAGCAAAGGCAAACGACACGTATCCAAGAGAGCACAGGAGAGTAAATGCCTGTGAGAACATGACGTTTAGAGATCACAACTTATCCCCAGGCAATTCTAACCAGCCTGTTTCTTACACGTTCCTGGGTTGTTGTAGTCTACCTGAGTGTGAGCGAGCACCAGTCGCGCTATATATGTTCCCATTTTTTCATGCAGGTTCAAGAACACATGTTGGAGGACGAGGTTGCACTTGGAGGTTGCTGGATACATTATCAAAGCAAATGGTCCGACCCTGGGTGCTCAGACGAATCAAGGAGGGACTGACAACCCACGTGGCTTCTCGTAGCAATGGTAGATCTTTGAATGTAGGATGATGTACCGGGGAGAAGTAGGAGTTAAAGACGTCGGCTGACTGCATCCTTGCCGTGTCTGAGGACAGTGAGCTCCTGGTACCTACTTGTATGCGAACAAGCATTAGAAGCTTTTCGCGAGCACAAAAGGGGAATCGAGGTCGTGAAGATGATGGAGTCGGCAGAGGACGATGTTGAATAAGGCGGCATGATATACTTTATGTGTGAGCAGGGCGGGCACGGGCGGGTCAGAGCTTCTACTCGGTACAACCTCGGGCGCTATACACAACACGACAAAGCGGCATCAATCTCAGCCCAAATTCAGCACCTGCTTGGCGGTCTCCGAAACCGCTTGGTCTGTGAGTCCTCCACCTCCTGCGCTGACCCAAAATTTTTGATACAGAGCTTGTCCCTCTGTATTGTTGTGACTCATCCTTCGAAGTGATACAATATGTTCAAGTCTCACTGACCTTGATGAAGTAGTACTTACTTATCTGCCGCATACGCCCTTCTTCTGCCGCCATCATGGCAGGCCGGCGCAACCTCCTATCTCTTGCATGCAGGGCTACGAAACCCTCTCAACGAGCGCAAACCGGGACCTCTTTCCTTGAATCTGTTCTCCCTGCTTCGAGACGAGCCAAAAGCACGAATTCAACCTCAGCTCTAGCGTATAAGGCTCTCCACAGAAGGTCACCCCTTCCATTGCCGGTGTCAGACACTTCTCCCCAATATGGCGCCGCCGCAGCTGTGTCCTCCATCCTCTACGAAACCCCGGTCGCATCTCAAGCGCCGCCCAAGAAACACATCCTGAACTGCCTCGTTCAGAACGAGCCCGGTGTCTTGTCCCGCGTCTCCGGCATCTTAGCGGCCAGAGGATTCAACATTGACTCTCTGGTTGTGTGCAACACCGAGGTAGAGGACCTGAGTCGGATGACCATCGTGTTGCAAGGACAAGACGGTGTTGTCGAACAAGCTCGCAGGCAGCTAGAGGATTTGGTACCTGTGTGGGCTGTGCTGGACTATACATCTGCCGCCCTGGTGCAGCGCGAGTTACTGCTGGCTAAAATCTCTATTCTGGGCCCCGAGGTGTACGAAGAACTGATGGAGCACCATCGCGAGATGACCAGCCCCGATTCCGACCAAGGCCCAGTGGATGTGGAAAACGCCGAGGAGAACGCAGACAAGAGGTTGCAGGAGTTGGAATCAAATAAGCCTGAAGAGCCATCTTTGGTGCAACGAGCGAAAGAGATGCTCGGTCAAGGCGCTAGCTACCATCCCAGCCGTCTTGCTGCCAGTCAAGCTTTGCGACACAAGCATGAACATCTCGAAGCCATCACCCATTTGACTCACCAATTTGGTGGGAAGGTCCTGGATATTAGCACCAACAATTGCATTGTGGAAATGTCAGTGTCTGCCGTTGATTTATTTAGTGTTTCAAAGCGCTAACGTGAGAGAACAGCTCTGCAAAACCCAGCCGAATCGACTCCTTCATGAAGCTGGTCTCCCCTTTCGGTATCCTCGAGTCAACTCGAACGGGGTTGATGGCCTTGCCTCGATCACCTCTTTATGACCCCAATGAGGAGCACACGCGGGAGGCTGATGATGTGGTTGATGCTAGCACTCTCCCTCCCGGTTAGTTATCTACATATGTTACCATCATGTTGGAATAGCGTCAGGCGCCCCTTGACATGAGGATGCTTTCTTGATTTTGGAGTAGGTAGGCTATTCTTGATCACATACTGTGGATCGTGTGAGTTCAAGCATTTTGAGGGACTGATGTTGTGGTAAGGTGGATGGCGGCGGTGATACCATTGTGAAATGGTGTTTTTGAGGCATGCGATATTAGTCTCCAAAGCTGAACTTGTTGGTCTTGAATAATGTAAAATCCATTACCGTATGCCGGGTACATACCCTCATATTCAGATGAAGTATATACCCAATGGTGATGCCGGCAGGCGCAGTCTGGACCTTCAGCCTCGTCTTCGTCGTCTTTCTTATTCCCCTGACGATGAATGACCAAAATTTCATTGCTGTGACTGCAATCACCCGCGGCGAGACACTGGTCATTGGATGGTAGCGAGGTTGCCGCCAGTGTTGTTTCTCGCAAGGGTTGTTGATGCTGGCCTGCACCTGGAGGGCATGATGATGCACTGGGAACCTGGAGTTCTCTATTCATATTCAGATATCCTGCAGGTTGAGTTGGGAGGTATTCGCTGGCACACTGGCTCGAGTCAGAAGAAACGCATAGAAGCTGCATCGTTGTCTTCGGTGGAGTAAATGACTAACGTCACCGCAACCTGCATGACCATCGTCACCACTTACTATCACAGTAAATACAACGCTGGTTCTTGCAGCCTCGATGCAGTCTTAGAATTTATTTTGATTCCTTGATTCCTCTCATGAGTCCCAGTGGACCAAGTATGGCGTCCTATTTGGCAGATCTACCCTCGCCGGGCGACTTCTTTCCTCCAACACCGCAAGCAGCCAAGTTGTCCCTCGATGTCTTCAGACTATACATCCCCGTAAGTGTACTACGCTCGCTTTCATTGTTCGTATTTGGCGACAATTGCAGAAGTCTGGACCAAAAAAAAAAAGGGAAACGGGAGTCTCTTGCTGACGGGAGCTCACGCTTCTACATAGGTTTCCCTCGCGCTATGGACACCCTTAAAAAAGCTACAGGCGATGGGCAAGACCTCCTCCAACTCTCACCTGAGTCTTCCTGGTTGCTATGCCTGGGCGGTTGCGGAACTGGTTGGGCCGATCAATCTGCTCTACATTCTCTACAGTCTGCCAGATCGAGTCCGGCCCCGGCCACAAACTGGGACGAGCTTCCTAGGCACAGGGTTGCCTGCCCAGAACGAGATATTGGCGTGCTTGTATCTCCTTCACTACGTTAACCGCGCCCTTGTCAGCCCGCTCTACCTGAACCCGAGCATGTCGCCCATCCATCCATTTGTTACGGCATTTATGGGTATCTTTCAGTTTACGAACTCGACAAACATTGGGTGCTGGCTTGTGTACTCGACACTGACTGCCAATACGGAGAGTCGCGCCGTCGTCTCTTTCAGTTCGGCTCTCGGGATCCTGTTCTTTCTGTTGGGATTAGCTGGCAATATCTGGGCAGAAATGACACTGTATGATCTACGACGTGGAGCTGCTAAGAGGAAAGCCAAGTCAGAGGGCAAAGCGACGGTGAGCTACGACAAGGTCTATGTGATTCCTCCTGCTCAAGGAGCTTTCAAGTATATCTTGCACCCACATTACGTCCTTGAGTGGCTCGAATGGACGGGCTACTGGTTGCTTGGAGGTGTATGGGGATTGGGATGGGGCGGTGAAAGTGCCGCTCTCTGGTTTGTGATCTGTGAGGTTGTGACAATGCTTCCTCGAGCAGTGACTGGCCGACAATGGTATGAAGACAAGTTTGGCAAGCGAGCTGTTGGAGGGCGCGCGGGAGCAATCCCTGGGCCTATCAGGCTGTGACGAAGATAGAGTCTCAATACTTGTACATGAACACGATCAGAACTGTTTGTTCGAGACTGGAGCAGTAAGACGACAGGGTATTTGCTTGGGCGGGCGTTTACGAGAGCCACTCACAGCGCAGGCGTCAAGTCAAGCTCATGTACCTCGTAGTCTGGAGTGTTTGCTCGTAGATGGCGTGATTGATGGGGATGCTCGGGTGCGCTGGAACACTCAGCAGAGGGCAAAGAGGGTCGGGAAAAGTATACTCGGGTCTCACTTGCTGCTCAGTGGCACGCGGTGACTTTTCGTAGGTTATGCAGGGCGAGCGAATCTCGGAGAGCCATTGCGGCGTGGGCGGCCAAACAGACCAACACAAGCATCCGCGCATCCCACCATCAGCCACTAAAAACGGTAGCCGCCTTGTGTCACTGATGGTGGCCCTGGCAGCATTTTGAATTTTTTTCCTCATTAACTCTCCTTCTCGGGCTCAGGTCACTTTCTCACCGCCCTCGTCTCCTCCTCCTCCTCTTCATTTTCTCTTGTCTTGTCAACTGCCTCTCAGCACATCCTGAGGACGTATTGGAGGGTTGCTGTCCGGACTGTTACCTTCAAATCTCGACCCAGTTTCACCCGGGTATCTACAAAGATGGTTCAATCGTAAGTTGAACACACAATGTCGCCCAATAAGTAACCCAGCTGCTGATTGTGTGACAGCTCCATTCTCGGTTTCCCTCGCATGGGAGTCAACCGTGACCTCAAGAAAGCCACCGAAGCATACTGGGGCGGCAAGATCTCGCAGGATGAGCTCCTTGCCGAGGGAAAGAGATTGAGACTGGCACACTGGAAGATTCAGAAAGATGCTGGCATTGACATCATCCCAAGCAATGACTTTGCCTTCTACGACCAGGTCCTCGACCACATCGAGCTCTTTGGGGTGGTTCCAGAGCGGTACACAAAGTACAACTTGGCTCCCCTCGACGAGTACTTTGCCATGGGTCGAGGTCTCCAGAGGCCTGCCACCGATAGCTCCCCAGCTGTCGATGTGCCCTCTCTGGTGAGTAAATCTTCATTGAGTATCGTCAGACCTTTATTAATATGTATAACAGGAAATGGTCAAATGGTTTGACTCAAACTACCACTATGTCAAGCCCACTCTCCAAGACAACCAGGTCTTCAAGCTGTCCTCAAAGCCCAAGCCCGTTGTTGAGTTCCTCGAAGCCAAAGAAGCTGGCATCATCACCCGTCCTGTCATCCTCGGTCCCGTTTCTTTCCTATATCTCGGCAAAGCAGACCGTGGTCAAACCATCGAGCCGATCTCCGCGCTCGACAAGCTTCTTCCTCTATACGTGGATCTGCTTAAGCAGTTGAAAGATGCTGGTGCCGAGTCCGTCCAGATTGATGAGCCCGTCCTGGTCTTTGATTTGCCCCCGCACGTCAAGGAAGCCTTCAAGCCGGCGTATGAGAAGCTCGGTGGACTTGGAAGCAGCGCCCCGAAAATCGTGCTTGCAACCTACTTTGGTGACATTGTGCACAACATCGACGTTCTCAGCTACCTAAAGAACCTCTATGCCATTCACATTGATCTCGTACGAAATCCCGAGCAACTCGAAACTGTCACCTCTGCCTTGGGTCCTCAACAGGTTCTGTCGGCTGGTGTTGTTGATGGCCGTAACATCTGGAAAACCAATTTCAAGAAGGCCATTGAGATCGTGGAGACTGCCATTCAGAAACTCGGCAAGGACAGGGTCATCGTTGCAAGCTCTAGCTCTCTCCTGCATACTCCCCACACTCTCTCCAGTGAGAAGACCTTGGACCCTGAGATTGCCGACTGGTTCAGCTTTGCTTGTGAAAAAGCCAAGGAACTCGCTATCATTGCAAAGGCTGTCACGGATGGCCCAGCCTCTGTCAGAGAAGCCCTCGAAGCAAACGCCAAGTCAATGCAAGCTCGTGCTTCTTCAAGCCGAACCAACGACCAGGCAGTCAAGGAGCGACAGAGCAAGGTTACCCCTGAAATGTACAACCGCAGGTCGCCATTCCCTGTTCGAATCAGCCAACAACAAGAACGTCTGCATCTACCGCTGTTCCCCACTACCACCATTGGATCCTTCCCTCAGACCAAGGAAATCCGCATCCAACGCAACAAGTTCACCAAGGGTGAAATCACTGCTGAGGAGTATGAGAAGTTTATCGAGAAAGAGATTCGGGATGTGGTCAAGATCCAGGACGAATTGGACCTCGATGTCTATGTCCACGGCGAGCCCGAGCGTAATGACATGGTCCAATACTTTGGTGAGCGACTGAAGGGGTACGCTTTCACGACCAATGGATGGGTTCAGTCCTACGGCTCCCGGTGTGTCCGACCTCCTATCGTTGTCGGTGACATCTCTCGCCCTGCTCCGATGACAGTTAAGGAGTCCAAATTCGCTGCTTCTATCTCCAGCAAGCCGATGAAGGGTATGCTCACTGGACCTATCACCTGTTTGAGATGGTCGTTCCCTCGTGACGACGTCCACCAATCTGTTCAAGCGGAGCAGCTGGCTCTGTCTCTCCGTGATGAGGTCATTGATCTTGAAAAGGCCGGCGTCTATGTCATTCAGGTTGATGAGCCTGCTCTGCGTGAGGGTCTTCCACTCCGCGCAGGCAAGGAACGAACCGACTATTTGAAGTGGGCAGTGGATTCATTCCGCCTCGCGACCGCGGGTGTTGAGGATGCCACTCAGATTCACAGCCACTTCTGCTATTCTGAGTTCCAGGATTTCTTCTATGCTATTGCAGCCCTGGACGCTGATGTTCTCTCGATTGAGAACAGCAAGTCTGACGCTAAGCTTCTGAAAGTGTTTGTTGATGAGGCTTACCCGCGTCACATCGGACCTGGTGTCTACGACATCCACTCCCCTCGTGTTCCTTCGGAGCAGGAGATCCACGACCGGATTGCTGAGATGTTGCAATACTTGAAGCCGGATCAACTGTGGATTGATCCTGACTGTGGTCTCAAGACCCGACAATGGAAGGAGACCAAGGCTGCCTTGACGAACATGGTCAATGCGGCTAAGAGCTTCCGCGCTCAATATGCCAAAGGCAATTGATGGATTATGTACCGGTCCAAGGGGAACGGTTGAACTTTGAGCTCGATCAATCAACCTGATCTGAGCAGATGGCGTCAAGGGGATTTGATTGAACGAAACGGATGAACGACAAAAGTGCTTTTCAACATGATACCACTGTAGCGATGGGGGCTGGCAAAAGTCCGATCTTAACATCGGCGTTTTTGGCTGGCTCTGAAACCAGACAGAGGAAGGGATCCATTATGGTGATGGGATAGCCATGGTACACTGGTAGAGAAGAATGTCAGCTTTCAACAGAATAAGTCGATAGGATAGGCTTCTGTATGAACTTTAGCAGAAGAGACAATGCTATCAAATAAGTCTTCTGCCTCTTACCCAGCATACAGAAAATGCTCATAGAAAAGGCACGTGAGTGCGTGTCGTCGAGGCGCGTTTTGTTACTGGCCCGCGATGTGGTTCCGGGTCATAGACTCCATCACCCCGCCAACATTTTACAAGATTTCTTTGCCTGCGGATGAAGCTGATCAGACAGCTGCGCCAGATGGAGTTGGCACGAGCGACATCCTTCCACCGTCTACAAGTCCACCATGCCGGGTCAACATCCCAAGCAGCCGCCGGCGCCTCAACCGACACGCGCGTTCTTTGACCCGTTCAATTCATCTTCGACGGGCCACCAACGGGCAGAAAATCGGCTCTCCGGATCCACATCCTGGCGTGAGTCTCGAACGTACAAGCTCTCCCACCAGTTCAAGGACGCGAGCGGCCGCGGCGGGGACCGACACTTGGCTGATCTGGTCGGCGCGGGGAGCGAGAATTTTGGCCAGGACGGGCGCAAGGCTAACGGCGACTGGGAAGACGGGTCGCAGCAGGGATTGAGGCGGAAGGGATGGCAGGATGTCCGAGATTTGATGGGTGGCTGTAAAAAGCGCCCGAGCGAACGAGGAGGGCAAGACGGGGAACCTGGCAACAAGCGCCTCAGGGCCGGCCAGGGTCAAAGCCACGATGGCCCCCAACACCAACACCGCCACAAGGACGAGACAGGGGAGTCTTGTCGCTTGTCAATCGGACGACAGCAAGACAAGGCAACATTATTGCCCGACAACAGAAATAACCACAACGCCCATCACACTACGACGACTGGTACTGCTGGTGCTGGTGCTGGTGCTGGTGCTGGTGCTGGATCTTCTTCGTCTTCTTCTTTGTCGTCCCAACCGCCCCAAATCTTCCGCAACCTGACCATCTACCTCAACGGGAGCTCCTTCCCCGTCGTCTCGGACCACAAACTCAAACACCTCGTCGCCCAACACGGCGGCAACACGTCCATCTCCCTCGGACGCCGCACCGTCACGCACGTGGTCCTGGGCACCAGCGCCGCGGGCGGGGGAGGCCTGGCGGGCGGCAAGATCCAGAAGGAGGTGCGCCTCGTGCACGGCAAGGGCATCAAGTACGTCACGGCCCAGTGGGTGGTGGACAGCGTCGCCAGGGGCGTCAGGCAGCCCGAGAGCAGATACGTGCCCGACGGCGTTGGGGGGAGGATCGGAGGCAGTGGACAGGTCAGTGTGAGGCAGATGTTTCAGCTGAGTGGATGAGCTGCTATTACGGAGTAGACCACAGGGTAAGGAGGTTTTTTGTTTGGTATTGTATAGCATCGCATTGCATGGTGGGTGGGTGGTCATCATATGCATCGATTACGACTTGTTTCTTAGGCGTTCGAAGCGACGGCTGGTGACGGGATAGAGGGGAGGTTGGGTGTTTCTCTCCCTTTTTGCGTGGCTGGTCGGGGCATATACACTTGTATGAGTACAAGGCAACGGATTGGAAACGTGGGGCAATACAGAACCCTTATGGTCCTTTCCATAGATAAGACAGTCCTCAGGAGGTATGAATCAAGAGGTTATCACGACAGGTCGCGCACCGGGTAACAGACAGGGGAGGAGAAGTATCTTTTGTTATGTGATGTGATCTCCAAGAGAGTTTACATAGATGCCACAACCCTACGTATATGAAGACACATACATGCACGCATACACATAACGTAGATTGGCCTCAGGAATGCTGACCTTCACAACCCCCAATCGGATTCTTGAAACTCGCAAACAACAGAAAACGCCAAACGGGGAGAATAAAACAATAAGTCACCCACCCCTTGACAACTGTGCAGAAAGAGATATCGTCATAAGAGCTCAATTGGTGCTCAGGTTCGGCCACTCTGTATTTCCAGACGATAATTCATCATTGGTCAGCATAGTATTTCAGGCTTCCTTCCTCTTACACGACAAGGCTTTCTCGTAAAAGGGTAGAGAGATAGGGGTAGAGAGGGATAGGGAAGAGAGAAACTCACCAAATCTTGTCCTCTCGCTGTTCCGCCGCACAACCCTCACCTCGTCGCCGACTTTGATCTCGGCGGCGGACTTGCCCTCGGGGACCCTGGCGAGGAATCCATACCGCCCAAAGACCGGGCTCCATTTGGCGCCGGGGTCCACGCGCCGGTCGCTCTGTAGCTTCTTGAGGATCTTGCCCGACTCGCCCTCGCCGACCTTGCCGGTCGAATAGTCGACGTTGAGCGAGTTGCAGCGAGCGCAGTTCTGGGTCAGGACGATTCTGGCGCCGTCGTCGCCGCCAATCAGGAGCTCGGCCCAGAAGTCCTCCTCAAACTCCTCCTCGGCGCCCTCGACGATGATGTTCGGGCGGAACTTGGAGATGTCCATCACTTCGTTGTCTGGGAGGCGGCGCTGCGCATTTTCCCACGACTTTGTGGATATCACGAGGTATGGCGCTACATCGGCAAAGGAGATACCCTGATCTACTCCCTCAGGGTATTTCTCTCGGTCCTCGGCTGTTTCCCCCACGCCAGTGACGGCGCGAGCGAGAGAGGTTGCTGTGGACGTGATGCTGCCCAACCACGAAGCTGCACTCGAAGTTCCCTTCAATTCCCCTGCAGAGCGATTTCGCTGCTGTGCTGCGGCGGCGCTCGGAGGCATGTTACCCAGCACTTTCCTACTGTTGGCGCCGATATAAAACAGCTTGACTTGATAGCCGAAACGCTCACTGAACCAGCGGTTGTACTCCTCGCCCATGTCATAGCCAACGCAGGGGGAGTAGTGCATGGTGACCTCGACTTCTTCAAGACCCGCCGTGTCCGGATCAAGGGGCACCTGGAGCGGTTCCGGGCTGACGTTCTGGTCAGGATGATCGAACACGTGGTCCTTGGTATAGGTGACGGTGACCCTGTCGTTGGGTCCGCCTTCGCCTTTGGAGGAGGAGAATGCCGTAGTGAACAGACACATCTCAGTGAAATAGGCAATGGCCATGTTCTTCCCCTGCGCGACGTTGAACAGCATGAATCGTCGGTCGTGAGGGAATCCCATGTACGTCGCCGGCATGGCGGGAAGGGAGACGCCGCGGAGGGATTTGATCGGGTAGGTATAGATCTGTCAGTGTCGAGAGAGACGAGAGAAGATTGGTGTCAGTATTTCAGGATTCGAGACAAGTGAGTCGGGTAAGATGGCATCCATTGAGTCGTCGCAATGTGCCTATCCTCTTTCTCTCCCCCACTCTCTCACACACATATGCATGAAGAGGGATAGATGGATGGGACAGTCCATACCTGCTTGACGCGCAGCTTGTGCGGTGCCATTGTAGTCTGTGACTCCTCGGCCGCTATTTCTGCAAGAAACCCTCTCACTCAATGAAATATCTGGTTTTAGGACACAAGTTGCAATCACCAATCTTCGCAAAAAACTACCAAAGTCCAATATGTGATTCGTTCCTCACTCCTCTCTTCTGGCTCTCTCTATCTTTGTGGCCGCTGTTGTTGTCCTCTTCAGCGAACGAGGTCTTTTTCTTTTCTGCCGTGCAGCCTGTGATCAGCCAACGTGAACCCTGACACGTCCACCCTTTATATTGTGCGCTCGCGCGCGCTCTCTCTCTCTCTCTCTCTCTATCGTCGACCTCCTCGTGCGACTCGGTTATCTCACAGCAAGATGCGGAGAAGCGCGATCTCGAAATTTGTAAGAGAGTGGGGAGACCAACTATGGGAAAGAGGCTCAGGCCCAAGCACGGCAATTCTTTCTTGAGAGATACACACAGAGAGGAGAAGAGGAAGACTGACCGTCTAGCTCTCAAGACAGTCAGGCGGAAAAGAGAAGGATGCGGAATGGAGAACGAGAATGAAGAGATAGGGAATCCGAGTTTGTCCTCGCACCCTTTCGTCCTTGAGCCGAGCGACGAACAGTTGATGGCGGAGATGAATCGCCGGCGCCTGAATCACCCCGAACAGCCGCTCTACGTTCTTGTACATACAAACCCCGCAATCCAGCCTCACGACGGGCCGAGAACATGACCGTATCAGTATACCAAATGAGGACACAGACTAGCAGCCATGGCGTATTCATGACCGAAAATGGATGCTTCGAGGATTGAGTTGAAGCGTACATGAGAGAGAAAGAGAGCGAGTATACCAGCGACGATGATAAATACTAACCTGGCACTTCTCTTCGCCCGATATCATTTGTACAAAGCTGCTCATTTCAGCAAGTATACTAGGTATATAGATTTCTGCCCAGTTACAGCTGATCGAGGGACATCTCATCCTCAAGCCACTTCATGTTGCCTCTTTGTCCCCCTCCTCTATCCGCGCCCCTAGCAAAGTGAGAGGCCGCATAGCCCACGACACGACTGACCCCTTTCATCTGCCTGTCCAGCCACCCTCCCTAAGACTCCTGGATCTTGCGGAATATGGGATTCCGCGCCGTAAAGCTCCGACATCGCTTGCCAAAAATCCACATGGGGATGGTGAGCAGGCAGATGAAGATGTGGAGGCCACCGATGATCGAGAAGACTTCGAGGGGTCCTTGCTTCGTGATCCAGTCTATGGATTGTCCCGCGGACAGGTTCTCATGATCAGCTCAGAACAAACGGTCACTGGGGAGAAGAAACACGACACCATCGAACAACTCCTGGGAACTTACCGCTGATGAAATAGTTCATGCCGAAGCTGTAGATGTTGCGCAGGTTCAGCGACGCAAACGCCTCGGGCGCCTTGTTCCGGTGGCACTCAGTGATGTAGCCGTAGATGCCAATGTTGAGAAACGACATGGAGAAGTAGATGATGCCGTACAACACCACAGGCCCAGCCCAAGGGGCCTCGTTCTCCAGTGTGGCCCCGAATCCGAAGAAGCCGATGACCCCCAGGATCAGGGTGAGCACGTTGAGCGAAAGTCGGAATTCCTGGTCGAGAGAGATCGACATGTCAGCAATAATCTGATCAATCCGAAGGCCGGGCAGCTTCTTACCGGTTCGTAAATGCCTCCATTCCATCGAGCCAGCTTCTTCACCGTCCAGTCATTCAGCGGCCCAGCCACGAACCCCAGCAACGATGCCACCAGCGCCGCGATGCTGATGAGCCCGACGTCCGACACGCTGAAGTTGTAAGGCGGACCCGTAAAGAGCTGCGCAAGCACCGAGATCATCACCACCAACCACGACGTCGACAGCCCGTACGTGATGAAGCCGTAGAGCACCTGCGGGAAGAGGAGCATGCCAAAGGGCCGGAAGACAATGTACAGCAGGTTCTCGTCCGACTCGGCGCCGCGCCACGGCCGCATTTCCTCCCAGAAAGTCCACGGCCGCTCGTCGGCACCCGTGTACAGCACTTCGGTGTGGACCTTGCTGCCGGATTTGGTGGTCTCGAGGTGTTCCATGTGTTCGCCCTTGACCTCTTGCACGTCCAGTGTCTCGAACGTGTGGTCCGTCGTCCCCAGATCCAGGTTGTACGCGGGATCTCGCTTGTACACCGTCTCGGGCACGAACAGAAGGATCAAGATGATAAACACCCCATACAAGCAGGCACAGATGCCGTACGTCCAATTCCAGCCCAAATCCTGCTCGACATATGAGCTTGAGAACCAATAAAACGTACAGAGGCGAGATGAAGGTACCATACCTGTATAATATATCCCGAAATAACGCTGCCGCCGCCGACTCCGATACTCAAGCATAGACCCCAGAAAGCTAGACGCAGGCCGCGTTCATGCACAAAGTAGATGTCGCCAATGATGGCTGTCGTGAGAACCTCAAAGGGCGACATTCCAACCGCGCCGAAGATTCGACTGGAGGATGTTGTCAGCACCGGTACTGAAAAACACGATGCCCCAAACCACGATCCAAGTCCCCAGAACAATGGTCGACTCACCTTGCAAGCAAGCTGTGATAACTGTGCGCAAAATAGCCCCAAACCGAAGAGATGAACAACAGAAGGTTCCCCAGAATGATGACCGGTCGACGACCGTACTTGACCGAAAGTCCGTTGGTGATGAAGCAAGAGATGCCAATGGCGAAGATGGCCCACCCCAGGCCGCCGTTGAGCGTGTTGTAGGACATGTGCCACTCCTCAGCCATTTCCGCAAATCCAGGAGAGATCATGGGGCCCCATGCGCCAACAACGGCCGTGTCGATGCTGATGATGAGCAAGAGAAGGTCCTTTTTCCACCTGGACCAGTTCAATGGATCTCTGGGTGACTCGCTGGGTTGGGGAACAAGCACAATGTCTGCATTGCGTCCCGTGGCATGTTTCAATCTCGAAGTATCTCGTCCTAAAGAAGTCTCGTTAACCCTTTTTACCGTGCACAGAAGAAGAAGCTAGAAGCACGGCTCCTACCATGAAACTGATGATGTTGCGCATCGACCATGTCTGCGAGCAACGCCGTGCCCGGGACATGGTCCAGATGTCGGTCTTCGAGAACTCCGAGACCCATGTTATCTTGTGCTCAAAGGGGCCAGTCAAGGATCTGAATCAATCTCCTGTGAAGCAACTGATCTCTACAGACAAGGACACGGCCAGATCAGCAGTTTCAGAGGTCTTGGAAGAACAGGGTGTGCCACAGAAGAAAACCATGGCACTAGTTATATGCGAAATACTTGTGCATCTTGCCTTTCTGCGGGGCTGTCGGCAATGGACAGGGCTGTAGATACCGTAGATTAGGTCGGGAACGACCAAATAACCAACAAGCACAGTCTCGCACAGAGGTCATTCTCCCATCTTGCGGTTGTGGTGGAACTAGAGGTTTCCCCAGACCAGACCAGCCTCCCATTCTCCAGGTTGGACTACCCCAAGGTGGATCGGCCTGTGGCGTACAGTACTTGTGCATTTATTTGCTTGACCAAAGATCGGCAGATATGTTGGCACATATTGGCCCGCATTGACAGTCAAGCAGGCCAAAGTGAACACGTTATTGGTAAGGAAAGTCTCCGTTGATGAGAAGTGCGTCGTGGGCCCCTGATATCAATCCACCACAAACGACAGAGGCGGGGAAGAAGGATTGTCCATTGCATGCTAGATCTGAATGGATCGTGTGCTTCGTGATTGGACAAAATTCGCAGGATCATGGCGGTGGTTGACTTAAGGCGTGGAGACAAATCGCTATACCATTTTGAGGAAATGGATTTGGACGTATCATAAGGACATGCTTTCCAGGTCCCTTTGCTTCAATTCTCCACAGCTTCAGTGATGAGCATCAAGGGGCGCATAGCGGCTTCATAAATATAACCGAGTTTTAATGGGTTCATTCCTGGTCTGCTGATCAAAACCTGCCTCGGTTCGACCGAGTTCTCATTCCAATGCAGCCTCGCCACACTGAATGGGTTCCATGGCCACACGTAGGCGTCGGATACTGCCAGATTTGCTGTATAACGGTAAAGATTGTCTCAGAGAAAGCTTCTCCGGAACAGTCATTACTGGTGCGGGAGCAGAGCTATACCGTGGTAGCATAAATGTAACTCAGCTTCTCAGTCGAGGCATCAATTTTATGACGGTCTGATCTCGACAGCTTCAGATCGATGGTGTATGCATCCTAGGTGAGAAAGAGACGGGCTTCTGACTTGCAGGGCCCCCCTTACAGTGCACCTTCTTGCCTCAAAGCTCGAAATATCGGCCGTGTTCCTCAATTGCGACGACCCTTCTCTGGGCTATGTACTGACTGATACGTGTCTCATCATCGAGTTGGTGTGCACTCTCTTTATGGACATCCTGTCTCTGCAGTCGGATTTCCCACGGATCTGACTGCAAGACAATTTTTGGAATAGTGGTTGGTTTTCACAACCAAGAGAAACTCCATCTCGAATTCCATTTCTCGCAAGATGAGGCAGGGAACAGAGGCCGAGAAACGCATATACTATTCGACTCTTGTGCTTCGACTGCCAACAGAGTCTTCTGGAATTGCAATGGTCGAGCTTCTCGGTGAAGAACCTTCACGGCATTCTTCTCGTCGCTGGAGTCTAGCAGGATTCGAAAAAGATCCCGCACACGGCAGGCAGTATAGAATCGCACTCATTTACCCTAGCCATGGTGATCCTACGTCTTCAAAGTCCACAGCATCAAGGAAAACCCTCCTTCGTCATGCCCTCGTTGTAAGATCATATCGACTCGTCCCGTAGACACAGAATTGTGTCTAGGTAGCTCACATGAGGATTGTGAAAACCTTAGTCTGACCTAGTAATAATTAATGTATGGGAACAACTGAGGTTTGACTATAGGCATTGAGAGAGCGGAAACCCAAATAGCATTTTCTTGGCTCGAATAAGATTCCGCCGCGCCGCTTGCCAAGATGGATTCTAACTGTGACTCTATAGGCCAAGACCCAAGGCCATTCTCGCTCAACCTGCCGCGTCGCTCGTCTCCCTCCAACCAAGAATCGCCGCTCGCCCGTTTCCGACGCCAATAATTCGGAGATGTGACAATTTTCAAGGATGAAGCCGTCGAGTGCAGACAATCCAATGTTCCAGCACCAGGCTTGAACCCTCTATCTCGACTCCTGGCGCTCACTGACACTAGTTACGTGCCTCCGCGCGGGCGATGCAGACGGCCGTTGCGCCTTCTCGGAGTCTTCTGCGCTACCTTCGATCTCAATCAAACTCGATCTTCACGAACTCCAGTTACTTCACAACATGTGCTCGAACGCCGTGTCGAGCCCTATCCACCACCTCCAGCCACAAGCGTCTCTCCTCAATTGAGGATATATGGCATCCTGTCCGCGAACCATGCAAAGCTCTTCCTCCCCCAAGAACCTGTCCCCGGAACTTTCCACAGTCTCGTAGTGCCAGCACCGAAAGTCATAAGCAAAGCTTTTGGCGACGATGGCTGCGTCAAAGGGCCGCTGCATCCCGTTCAAAAGTGCCACGAGATTCTTCGACACCATCTTCACCCTACGGGTACGACGAGACTTCGGCGCAACTCTTCAATCTCTCTCGTGCCCTTTCTCGCAACACCAGCGGCGCAGAATTGAAGCTCCGTTGTACCGAGTTTGACGCCAATGGCTCCGTCACAATGGTATCAGGCGAGTTCAAGAAATCGGAACTTATCGCCAAGTATGGACTGCTGCCTCGAGACCTTCGAAAGATCGACTCCTCCGTCCTTCCCCATATCCTCGTCCGTCCTTCGGCCATCCTGATTAATCTCCTCCATCTTCGAGTCCTTATACAGTCTGATAGAGTTCTGGTTTTCGACGCTTTTGGAAGCACTGACTCTTACACTCAGTCGTTGTTCATGTATGATCTGGAAGGGAAACTTCGACAAAAGGCGGACCCTAGAAACGGCTCTTACAACCTGCCATACGAGCTGAGAGCTCTTGAAGCAGTTCTTATTTCTGTCACTTCGGGCCTGGAAGCAGAATTTGCATTGGTTCGCGATCCAGTCACACACATCTTACGAGAACTCGAAGAAGACATTGACAGAGACAAACTACGGCACTTGCTGATACACTCCAAGAAACTCGGAACATTCGAGCAGAAGGCAAGACTGGTTCGAGATGCCATCGACGACCTCCTCGAAGCAGATGATGACCTTTCTGCCATGTATTTGACCGAGCGGAAGGCTACGGGCAAGCCCCGCGCCGAAAACGACCATCAAGAAGTTGAAATGCTCCTCGAGTCTTACCACAAGATCTGTGATGAAATTGTCGAAATATCAGGCAATCTGATCAGCAACATCCGAAACACGGAAGAAGTGGTCCGAGCGATTCTGGATGCCAATCGCAACCAGCTCATGTTGCTCGAGCTCAAGTTTAGCATTGGGACGCTCGGACTTGCTGGCGGGACACTTATTGCCGGCCTTTATGGCATGAACTTGAAGAACTTCATTGAAGAATCAGACTGGGCTTTTGGTGGAGTCAGCGTTGTGTGCTTCGGTCTGTCGTGGTTGATCTGCATTTATGGCATGCGGAAGTTGCACAAAGTGCAGAAAGTGCGTATGTGGGGCGAAGGGCTCGACCACAGCATGGGCTTCCGTGGTGGCAAGATCGGGGGTCGAGGGAATTGGCGTAATGAAGCAGTGGAGAGCCAGGCGCATAAAATTGGTCGGTTGAAAGCAGGAGGAAGTGCTCAGACCGGCCGTGTGCTTTGGCCTGGTATGGACGGGTTGGGAATGCATAAACTCAACAATGCCAACAACGATGACCAGCAGCAGCAGCAGCAGCGGAAGGGAATCTTTGGCAGCAACACAAACGCGAGCGCAGACGCGGATGCTGGGGCGAACGCACCCGGCATGACGATTCACGAAGACGTCGATAACGTCGAGGCCAAGATGAAGGCTGATGCGAGGACGGAGAAAGGTCTGATGACCAAGGAGCAGATGAAGGCACAAAAGAGGAAGTGATGCAAAGTCGCTCTCTACCGTGTCTCTGTAATATATCTGTGAAGTTACGCGATGGGTGTTTTGTCTTTCTCTCCTTTCTTTTTCGGGTATATAGATAGATGGCTGGTCTCATCTCCCTTTTGAGCGTTCAAGCGAGGACTGGAATGGGCGGTTCTTGCATAGATCTATATAACACGGGGTCACTGTGTTTGAGGGGCACACGATAGACAGGTTCCAGGTCTCAGGACTCAAGTGTTGGAAGTAGGGCCCTTGTAATCGAAGACATCTCCGATCTCAACACTCTCGTAAGTTAGTACATATAGTACCGAGTACCGAGTACTGCGTGCAGGCCGTGTGCATTCTGCGTACCAGATGGAGTGTGCCGTAACATAGATATATGTACGTATCTATACGAGCATATATGGAGATGTGATGCTTGTTCCGAAGGTGTGAGTTTCGAGTCTCGAATCTCAATGGAAAGAATATCATGACATCGATTCTTTGTGTTTGATTGCTGATGTCTCAAGTCGAATTGCGTCTCCTTTTGATTTCTCCTATAGAAGCACGCACCGTTCGGGCTTGCTCTTTCTGTTTATTGGACCGCTGTGCTCGTAGCTATGCTCGTTGCATGGACAGACGGCGAAATACTCTTCGAGCGATCGTCTCTTGAATCACCCAAGAGAACCACTTTTGAGCATTCGTCGGAGTCACCATTGATGGCACCCGTACTACCGCACCAGTATCCACCGTTCACACATCACGTCTAGTACCACCATATTCCTCTTGTCCAAGCCTGAACCGTTACAAGGAAGCATTCGGAAAGGCCATAAACGTATCCAAGCTTGTGGAAGGCTGTGTCGGGATCACCAATCGTCATCCTCATCCTTCTCGTCATCTGTTACAGCAAAGTCAGCATCGGTTCACTGATCGAGTGATAAAGGACAACGCATTCCCAAGAATTTTGGGAACCTCGCAACCAGGCAAAAGGGGCGAACTTACCGCTGCCACTAACTTTCTTCTTTCTCTGGCTCAATGCTGCGGCTAATGCTCCAGCCAGACCACCCCCTTGGTCTCCCGCTGGCGTTGAGGGAGATCCTGACGCTCCCGGAGGCGGGGGAGCACTACTTTCTCCTCCTGGTACCATTGCCGCACTACGGTCCCGTTTTTCGCTGTCCTTGACCTTGCGTAGGCCACCCCCAGCTTTGCCGCCTGAACCGCGAATAGCTGCGAGAAGCGAGTCACGGTTATCGCCTCCTGCAGGAGGCAGAGCGGGAGGAGCAGGTCCAGAAGAGCTGGGCATGGGAGGAGGTGGGGGTGGTCCACCAAAGGACGGCATGGGTATGTGGTAGGGGCGGGCCACCAAAGGAAGGCATGGGGGGCGGCGGAGGAGGTCGGCCACCAAAAGAGGGCATAGGGGTGGTGCGGGAG